CCGAAACCAGATCCACCAATCACAATCACCTTTACATACAGCCTTCCTTTACCGAGACCCAGGGTGGGGTCGGTGCCTCTCTGGCTGACTGTACAGTCCGCTCCCTGAAGAAGCAAGACTCAAGCTATCAAAGTTTATCCGCACTTTGTTAAATATTAAAGAATAAACTTTTATTTAAAACTGTATCCTAGTCTAACCTTACCTAATATAAATTTACAGAAAATATGATCAAGTTTCAAACAATGGGGTCTTTGTACTCACCAAACACGCTTCTGAAGTTCTAACCTGTAAGACCATAAGCCAATGTTAGTTATATATGATTTCTCCCCTACTAATACTATTCTCTATAAAAATTTAAATTCGAATCTTCACTATATATTAGATTTTTTTTCATAAGTCAAAACTGAAATCTCATTAAAAAGAATTCCTCCTATATGTCTGTTTCTAGAGGTAGGAAAGCTTTTATCATCTAGGGATAAATTTCGTCAGGTAAGCTGCTAAGGCCGGAGCAACATTTTGAACATTGGCAAAAAATACTACAAAATACTCACCGATCTTGCTGATGGCGTCATCCTGAGGTCACTAAGAGGGATCACTTTTCACTTAACTGCGATCACCAATTTTCACTTAACTGAGTTCACTTATTTTCACTTGAGTTGAGATCACTTTTCCCTTAAATGAGTTCTTATTTTCACTTAACCGAGTTCACTTATTTTCACTTGAGTTGAGATCACTTATTTTCACTTAAATGAGTTCTTATTTTCACTAAACTGAGATCACTTATTTTCACTTAAGAGAGATCACTTATTTTCACTTAACTGGATAACACTATTTATCAGTTCACATTCATTAAATATCAAAGCAATATCACTCACTATATTATCACTTAACACTAAAGATGATTGATTTTGTTTACATTTTTAAATAAGTTTGAGAAGGGTTTTGCTTACGTCCACAGCAGCTGATCTTAGCATAACACTAAACTTCCTCACCTTTCCACACCATAGCTTTTATCTTAGATGTTTGTAGAGTTTTTATACAGTAGAAGTTGGAATCAGTTTACGGTAGTTGATATAAAACAGTAAAGTGTTATCGTCTGTCTGTGTGTCTGGTAGATTTTGGTGACAGGCCTGATTCCGTTCGTTGTCTGGCTACATTTTTCATTCTTTTACTTATTTTATCATCTCAAGTTTGTGTTCTGTTGTAGTATATGAAGAAAGACTATTAATAAAATAAATATAAATAAATGGGTTAAAGAAATCTATTAGGTGTTATGTATATTTGTAGTTATAAATGTTTAATATCTTTGTAGTGACTCCCTACAAATGCTCTACCTACTCGCACTGCACCAAGTTTTCCATCTTTCTTCATTTGTTTTTCCATTATTAATGCATCTATATGTACAGTCTCGTTCAAGATTCTTCTAACACTGCTGGAGACAGCCGGCAACTCAAGGCCGATTGTTTACTATAGTAGGTAGTAAATATTATGAATAAATGTAAAAGTGATCGGTTATTTAGTTCCCTGTCGCTTAATTTAATGGTTGGTCTTTGTTTTTTCGTATTATATTATATTACATACTATAGTAAACAAATGGCCTTGAGTTGCCAGCTATCTCAGCAGTGTTCGAAGAATCTTGAACGAGACTACAATCATCAAAATACTAAACAATATACTGTATGGAATAAGGGCACGATGGAAAACATATCCTTTAAAGGGATAACTTAAGATATGTGACCGGACTCGTTTTAATATGATGGCACTCCTTTGAATATATCTCGTACTTGCTAACTGTCACGTACACTCTTAAAATGACCTTGAAATCAATCTTGGGTAAATTATTGATATTGATTTGTAAGGTTTAGAAGTGAAACCTTGATATAACGGACTATATGGGAGAGGGTAATCCGTTATATCAAGGTCATTTAGAAGTGAGACCTCCATAGAATGGACCAAATAACCCATAATGCAACTATAACGAGAATTAACACTTTCTTGACAACTGTTGGTAAGGCAGAGGACCAAGGCATCTCGATTCACTAGATACACTGTTAGGTATAGAAGTTGTGGTGTCATGGTTACTAACACAAACTATCACCTTCAATACTCTTTCATTATTGTTGTTATACACACACACACACAGAAACAAAGACAGATCTACACACACAGACAGACAGACAGACAGACATAGACAGACAAGGACACAGTAAAAATACAGGCAGACAAGCAGAGACAGATACAGTAAAAAAAACACAGACAGTAGTTGTCAGGGACACAACCTCGAGGGGTTGCTGAGCTATGATAAGGTTGTGTAATTACGTTCCATAGTAGCACCTCTGCGTCATGTTGTTGTTGTGTGTTGTGTAGTGTATGGTGTGTTGTGTAGTGTATGGTGTGTTGTGTAGTGTATGGTGTGTTGTGTATGGTGTGTTGTGTAGTGTATGGTGTGTTGTGTTGTATATGGTGTGTAGTGTATGGTGTGCTGTGTATGGTGTATTGTGCATGGTGTGTTGTGTATGGTGTTGTTGTGTATGGTGTATTGTGTATGGTGTGTTGTGTTGTATATGGTGTGTAGTGTATGGTGTGCTGTGTATGGTGTATTGTGTATGGTGTGTTGTGTATGGTGTTGTTGTGTATGGTGTGTTGTGTTGTATATGGTGTGTAGTGTATGGTGTGCTGTGTATGGTGTATTGTGTATGGTGTGTTGTGCTGTATAACACTCTAGCAACACACACAGGTATATCACCTTTACAATACACAGGTATGTCAAGAGCTGGTGAGTGTACAGATGTAAACATGATAACTTGTCTCATGTTATCTGAGGGAGTGCAGCTCACTCTACCCTCCCTGGTGTCTTCTGTGCACACGACACCAGAAACACTATGCACACTGCACACTTTGCCCTGTATGTAGCCAGGGCTCTTATACAAACTAAACTAAACTAAAACTTATCAAACCTATCCTTATGGTTGAATAAGGTAAGGATAGATAAAGTTAGGTTTAAATAGGTTAGGTTAGGTTAGGTTGGCCTGCTTGCAAGTTATTTTGCACAATTACCAACATGCTTGCTGGTCATTTTGCAAAATAGCCGATTTTGCCCCCCCCCCCCTCTCCAGTAACATATACTGTACAGTACAAGGGGAAAGGGTGAGAAGGGTGTTTATGCAGTGTGATGGTCATAACAAAGAAACAAAGAACAGACTTCCTTCCCAACTGGCTGGTGAGCTGATGAAGTTAAATAATAAAAAGCTATGAAAGGAAGCAAAGTTTCAATGGTGATAACAGGAAAATGAGAGAAGAAGCTAGGATCATTGACTGACCTGACTTAATTAACACTAAGAATGTTTATATATACAATACATCTTGTGCTTGTATGTACAGGAACCACCAGGAAATATTTATAGTCACTCAAACAATTACCTGCGGGGAACTGGTCTAAAATAAAATAAAAACAAACAAATGCCAAACTCAGGATCATTCCTGTAGCAAAATTCAAAACCAGTCCAGTAATAGTCGATGGCAAAATTTATCCATACGAAACAGTAGGCAAGTAACAAAATGAGGATACATAAACTTGTTGAAAGATTAAACCAGAGCAACAAGACTAGCAAAAATAAAAAGATTCAGGAACCTTATCACAAATAATAAGAAAATATACACAACACTGGTAGTCACCAATGAACTACCCACCAATTCCACTACACACCTTGAGCAAAACAAAGCCTCAAGTCCCTACAAGTAATCCAAAACAAGCCTCAAGTCCCTACAAGTAATCCAAAACAAAGCCTCAGATTTACTTACAACACGAAACACACCGACCGCATTACAAACAAACAATTACATGATAGAGCAAACCTCCGAGCTCTAAACGTCGAAATCCACAAGGCAAAAAATATTTGGAACAAACAAACAGACCTAAACTTAGAAACCTACCAAAACTGGTTAAATGAGGACCCACCCCCTTATACTTAAAGAGAACAATAAAACAAAAATAACTATCACCATAAGATGAGAGCCCTCCTACCAGCTCCAGAAGAGAAATGCTACAATGTTCAGATGATCAAAATAAGTTGAAAAATTAAGTCTTAAATTGCATAAACTATGTAAGGGAGTTTAGTTTCATTTATTGACCCATCTAAGTGCAAGTACAGTATCCAGTAAACAATGGTTAACGGGCAATTTAACCAAGGATGACCAATGAGTCATCAGATCCTTATACTGTATCCAACTACACTTAAGACTACTGTATCTGGCTACCCTGCACTTAAGACTACTGTATCTAACTACCCTGTACACTTAAGACTACTGCATCTGACTACCCTGCACTTAAGACTATTGTATCTGACTAACCTGTACACTTAAGACTACTGCATCTGACTACCCTGTACACTTAAAGACTACTGTATCTAACTACCCTGTACACTTAAGACTACTGTATCTGACTACCCTGCACCTAAGACTATTGTATCTAACTACCCTGTACACTTAAAGACTATGGTATCTAACTACGCTGTACACTTAAAGACTATGGTATCTAACTACCCTGTACACTTAAGACTACTGTATCTAACTACCCTGTACACTTAAAGACTATGGTATCTAACTACCCTGTACACTTAAAGACTATGGTATCTGACTACCCTGTACACTTAAAGACTATGGTATCTAACTACCCTGTACACTTAAGACTACTGTATCTAACTGTACCTCACTAGTTCTATACGATTCATTTCTCTATTCTGCATCTTTAATTATCAATATTTCGTTATTTTACAATCATCACATCTCACCCTTGACCACTGTATGAAACAACATTAAGTGATTCTTCAATGGACAAATGAGAAAAATGTCATTCTCTTTTGCTACATCCTCCTCACCACTGATATTGCTAGCCTCTTATAATGTAATAACAAAAGAATGGGTTTACTGCGGTCACTTTCAATCACCCAGATACATCAACGTGCGATTGACTAATTGATAACTTTAATAAAACTCGTCAATAATTTTTGAAGAGGATTTATTTATTTTTTCTCATATTCATAAAACACTTTATTTCATATCCCCTATAATAAGAAAATTTAAACTAAGGAATCAATTAATTAGATCTCCACTTATTTAATTATCGTATAGTACCATCACATGTTATAGCTACATATATAATGCTACTGTAACTTTCTTCAACACCCCTCAACTACTGTACAGTCACTCTAAAAACTATATCTACTTCAGAGGTGATCGACGAATTTCAGAATGAACACTGGGACTCTTGTTGTCTCGGTAGGGTTGTCAAAATCCTTCGTCCATATTCTCATATTTTTTCAACACAATTTTGTATACATAGTTTTTTGAGTGACTGTAAATGAATTTGTCTATCTACAGTACTGGTCTATCTACATCTACTCATCAACATTTATAAATTTTCATCAGTCATAAGGTTACATCTAATATATAATGAGAATAATACATAATAAAAACTATGAACAACACAGTTGTTAGTACATTACAGTATTTATGATGAATCAACACAACACTATAGTACAAATGGATTAATCTTTAAAAATATAGTACAATTATTCCTTGTTGTTTATCATCTTAGAACTCAGTGTTAATTATGTGGAAGGAATCTGGAACTGTCTAAATTGATGAGTGAAAGTGCGTCCCATTGGCATGACTGGCACACTGTATACTAAACCATCGGTACACAAGGAGGCAGCATGGCCGGTACTGCTCTTGACTACGCTCGCTTCCCTAACTTGTTAGTTTAGGTACCCATTTACAGCTGGGTGAACTAGGTGTGCCTGGGGTTCAAACCAATGACCCACACAATAGGAGGTGAGCGCTATTTCCTCTCGACACATCTCAAAATGTTCCCAAGCCACACTCAGTCTGTCGCACGCTTTGTATCTGACAAGTTAATTAAGTGGTGATACAAGTAGTGATAAAGATGATCAAGTACAAAAGACTGAACTGTTGGATAAACTTGAGTGTCACTTCCAGCCCCCCACCATAGTGCCTCAGGTGACACACAACAATACACTGGTGATATGTACAGTAACACCTCGATTTAATGGACAACAGTACAGTATATGGAGAATAAAGTCCGTTAAATCGAGGGTCCATTAGAAATAAAAACTCCATCTAACGACCTATAAGGAGATGAAAGTTTGATATATCGAAGGTCCATTAGAAATAATACCTCCCCTGTAGTGGATTATATATAGAGAGAGAAGTCTGTCATCTGGAGGTTTCACTGTAAAGAGCATTAAGCCTCAGGGGACATGATAAATCAAAATAAGGTGAAGAAAGGCCCAGAATGTGATCTGTAAGACGGCCCTCAGCCTTTTTTTAATACTGTACTATGGCTCAATGGGTGGCGGGGACCTGGTGAGGAGAGCTAACTTACTTCACACCACAAGCAAAGGAATTAGAAGAAAAGAAAAAAGAAGAGAATCAGTCCTGTACATTAATATTTTCTAATACAATTCTTAATTTATCTATTCAGTTTGGCACTTAGTTAAGGTAGGTTCATAGCGACCAACAACGGTATTCGCGGACCTGTCCCTCAAGAATAACAAGGATTAAGTGTACTGTACAAATCTGAGTTAAAAACTACATAACATCTAATATATATAAAACCGTATCTCACATCTGGAACTACTGTACATTACGAATACATAATACTAACCAAGAGTAAAATATTAAATCTAAATGTTAAAATAAATCTTCATAAAAAATTATACTATTTAGACATAAAATACAATACTGTTGGCATCAATACTGGTGAGCCCTCTTGTCTACATTGTTTTGATGGGTGAAATATATAGATTCCTTACTGACAGCACACCATCACCTGATATAACTATGGTAACACATCTGACACCTTACCATCACCTGATAGTTATGTTAAAATATCACCCATCTCTTGGACAGCTCTACCCTGGATGTGTCACTGTATTGTACCCAGTTTCATACTATTTAGAGCAGACGTCAATAAATCTCAGTTCTTTTGTTTTCCTCCACTTCACTACTTTTATCTCAAGTGTTTCCATTCTTATTGTTCAGTGTAACAATGTCCAAACTTGTTCAGTGTAAGAATGTCCAGGCTTAGTCAGTTTAAGAATGTCCAGGCTTGTTCAGTGTAAGAATGTCCAGGCTTGTTCAGTGTAAGAATGTCCAGGCTTGTTCAGTGTAAGAATGTCCAGGCTTGTTCAGTGTAAGAATGTCCAAACTTGTTCAGCATGCAACAGTATGCTTGGAACACATGCAAGCTTAGGAACGACAAGAGACCAATACACAGTAGAGTAATTGTGGGTTGATTTTGCCTGTTATAATTAATTTGAAATGAGAGAAGGAACTGAACCAACCAAACACCTCGGCAATTAAAACATCACACAAGTTAAAATAAACTATCCTTAAAACAGCACATCAGGGAGGAACAAACCTGATTCAAACTTTTATAACCTAACCTAACCTGATTCAAATGTTTTATATACATCCCTGCAAGAGTAGAAGAATCACACCCATATAATAATGAAGTGATGCTTTCGTGATGAGACTTGTGGCAGAGCTGTCACGTTGGGTGGGAATTGAGGCAGATCTAACTTCAGGTAGTGTGGCTATGATGCGTGCAGGAGCGCCACTACCACCCTTAATTTTCATGGGCATTACAGTCAGATGGAACCCTGTAGTAGGCAATTTCTGTCAAAAAAGAGAAATGCTTACACTTCCTGCCACTAATGGAGAAAATCAAGACTATATCTATAACCAACACTTGATCAAATTAGACTAGGTACAGTCCCCTTCACTAGTGCGTTAACAGGGGCTCGTCATATAGCCTAGGTACAGTCCCCTTCACTAGTGCGTTAACAGGGGCTCGTCATATAGCCTAGGTACAGTCCCCTTCACTAGTGCGTTAACAGGGGCTCGTCATATAGCCTAGGTACAGTCCCCTTCACTAGTGTGTTTACAGGGGCTCGTCAGGTTTTGTGCTGTGTGACAACGCAGTGTTTGTTTACATTCGACAGAAGGAAACTCGCAATAGTAAACATAATATAGACTCAAAGTATAACAATATTAAAACCCTGAGACTTGTAAACCCTGAGACTTGTGAACCCTGAGACTCGTGAACCCTGAGACTCGTGAACCCTGAGACTCGTGAACCCTGAGACTCCATCTACAAGTCCAACAAAGTGCGAGGTTTCGGATTCACAGAGATAAGATTCACAAGGTTGGGAGAGAGGAGTGACGTGATTCGTTATGGTAAAGAGCACAAATGGACAAACTTTTAAGGGCTCATGTATGTTCGGATACAGTCGAGCCAGTACATGTCCAGTACTTGTCAACAGTGTGTAACAAAGAGCCAGTACTTTTCAAGTGTTTAACAGAGTCAGTACTTGTCGACATAACAAGAGCCAGTACTTTTAAGTGTTTAACAGAGTCAGTACTTGTCAACAGTGTAACAAGAGCCAGTACTTTTCAAGTGTTTAACAGAGTCAGTACTTGTCAACAGTGTGCAAGAGCCAGTACTTGTTAACAGTGTTTAACAGAGTCAGTACTTGTCGACAGTGTGTAACAAAGAGCCAGTACTTGTCAACAGTGTTTAACAGAGTCAGTACTTGTCAACAGTGTGTAACAAAGAGCCAGTACTTTTCAACAGAGTTTAACAGAGTCAGTACTTGTCAACAGTGTGTAACAAAGAGCCAGTACTTTTCAACAGAGTTTAACAGAGTCAGTACTTGTCAACAGTGTGTAACAAAGAGCCAGTACTTTTCAAGTGTTTAACAGAGTCAGTACTTGTCGACAGTGTGTAACAAAGAGCCAGTACTTGTCAACAGTGTTTAACAGAGTCAGTACTTGTCAACAGTGTGTAACAAAGAGCCAGTACTTGTCAACAGTGTTTAACAGAGTCAATACTTGTCAAGTACATCCCCAGCAATGCTTAGGCATATATACGTTTGTCTGCACCGAAAACTACTGAAACTCAATGTTCTGTTATGTACTTTAATCAATGTCCTGTAATGTACTTAAAACCCAACAGGATAAACACTGTAATACTCTATAATGATTAAGTCAATAGAATAGTGTTGCCAATCTCATATTTATAATTAAAGAACAACAATCAAATTTATTTGTCAACTAACAACCAATTGAAAAGGTTTAATGTGTACCTCCAAAACTACAACTAATTTAACCTAACCTAACTTAACCTATCCTAAACTAACCTAACCCATCCTAACTGGTGAAGGAGAGTGGACACATACCTTTAAATTTGCAACGTTCTCCAGACCAAAGATGTTTGCCGAGCTAAATTCCACGTGTGAGGTGAACAGCGTTGATGGACCATAGTCAAGGGAGGGAGTATCCAGACCTACACCAAAGACCCGACGACCAGTGGCTGCTTCATACCCTACCAACAGCTGAGCAGCTCCGGGGCTGAAGCCTGCAACACGAGACACTTGATGATGTGTTGACTGATAATTGTTACGTGAAGGTCTATTGGAACAAGGCAAAGTACCAGCACAGATCAACACATATACAGTATATTAAATATGTTAAATTGTCAAACTGGCTGGTTAGGTTATACAAGGCTACAGTAACAGGAGTGTTATTAGTGATCATTTCCGCCACTCGTCAGCTTTCTAAGTGTTTGGGTGGTCTGTGTGTGGATGGGAAAGATATGCAATAACAATCTGGCATATCCGGCCTTTTTTTAGCTATCTAACCGGATATTTCTACCATCCAGCCAGATATCCGGCTTTTTATAATTATTGCACATAATTAATGTCTATTACTTAACTTGCTAGTTTCATTTTATGAGAGAGAGAGAAATACATTTTGCTGAATATTTCATCAGTGCTTACAGTACCTGTATTATAATACAGTTGGAATACAATTTTATAGAACACTGAATGTAAAGACAGGCACCCCAGTTCACAGCTCAGGGGACAGCTGGGTATTGAGAGTATTGGTCAAGTTGTGTAGAGGCAGAGGAGATGATTCAGGCATGTGGAGAGAATGTTATGAGAACAATTGGATCAAGAGGTGGATTGAACCTACATGTGGAGGAGAGAAGAACTAGAGGTAAGTCAAGAATAACATGTGGAGAGGCTGTAAGAAATTACATCAGAGTTAAGTTCCTGACAAGAGAGATTGCAATATGGAGAGCTGCCATCAGGTAACCTCACCTAACCCACATAAGCAAGGACAATTGTTGTAAAATAATAATGATGATGATGATGATGATTATAACTTGTACTAAAAGAGAGTGAACTTCTGACTTCTATTTAAAAAGTTTGTCTCATTTAGAATAAGCATATTTAGATACAGTCGAGGTGAAAAATTTGCACCCGCTCATAATGAAGCAGCATCGACCCCAACAGTCAAGGTAAGTCAGTTTGGAGTCTCATTCCCGCAAACTCAGTTTCAAGACGGAGCCAACTTTTTCTTCAATAAATTTCCCCAACACATTAAGAGTCCGATTATATTTAATAATTACTCTACCGTACTCAACATAATTTAACAACATTTTAGTATTTGTCAATCACCAGCATAAGTGAACATCCTCATTTAAGTTTATCAGACAAAGACGTTCCCACTAACACAAGGTGGTGCAGCGGAACCTCTATATAACGAACTTCACTCTCCACCTAATCCATTAAATGGAGGTTTCACATATAACAGACACTCGATACAATGGACTTTCATCTCTATATAGTTCATTAAATGGAGGTTTCACATCTAACAGACCCTCGATATAATAGACTTTCATCTCTATATAGTTCGTTAAATGGAGGTTTCACATCTAACAGACCCTCGATATAATGGACTTTCATCCCTATATAGTCCATTAAACAGAGGTCTACTGTACACTGCATTATCCAGTCTAATGTACAGTACACATAGTGAGTTAGTTATTTATACATTATTAAAAGCACTTCACCTACACACACATTACATCAGTAACTCACCTGGAAAAGCTAGTTTGCTTGTATCATTACCGTCTGTCCCATAATACGCCGTTCTGTTGCCAAACCTGAAAAAAGTTATTCCCCGTTAGGATTTTTCTATGGAAACAACTATCTATATATATATATATATATATATATATATATATATATATATATATATATATATATATATATATATATATATATATATATATATATATATATATATATATATATCCAACCTAACTTAACCACACCTGGGAACTAATACCTAACCTGAACTTTATTAGACCTCATGACCAGCCAGTGATCTGACAAATAGTGGGGTAATTATTCTGATCGTGACAGTCTGCTGTTTTTCATTAAAAATGGGTTTAAAAATACCCCCATTTTCACTGACTTTAATTGGGGATTGCTACTGTATTGTTATGGAAAAAAATAAAAATGGCTGAAATCATGTACTAACCTAACCTATATCTAGAAAACTAAGCATTTACACAAGAAAATGAATAGAAGTGAAATTAATCAACGTACAAAACTGTGTCTAGAAATATTGCTCATAATTACCCAAACGCTGATGGTCACGAGTCGTATATTAGCCAATGGTGAAAACAATAATATCTGCCACACTCATCTATTGTTACAATTATTCTCCTTCTTTTTACACAAGTTTTGTTAATCACATTTGTTTTCTGTTATACATAATTTATTTTTTTGTAATGACCACCCTCCTCCCCTCTCCACCCTCACTAACAACCTCCTCCCCTCTCCACCCTCACCAACCACCTCCTCCACCCTCACCACTACATCAGAAAACTTCACCATTAGCTACAGCACCATAAGCCCTCACCTGGTGCCCCATCCAGTTCTCAACAGGAGGATTACACCATCAGGAAGAGGACCGTGCTCCCCCAACCACTCCATCAGGTCATCTGTGGTCAGCTCGGCATTTGGGTCTTCCTCTACCTTTGCTTGTATGTCAATTACCACACCTGGGGAATATATAGTGTATGAGAGAGAGAGAGAGAGAATACTGGGCACCTCAGTTTATTTCATCTAAAGATTAACCGCCTTCATCAATACCAGAGAGGGTTAGATAAGGTCACCTAACCTGACCTGACCTGACCTCTGATGTTTGCTAATGAGGGTCATCCTCCATGGTCCAGTATTAGCATGATACCATGTCATCTCAACTGTCACAAACCCGTCAACTCGCATCCCCGTCAATCCAACCACTAGTAAAATGGACTTTGTGCATATCCTTAGGAGTCAACAGTCACTTGCGATGATAAATCATTAAGAGCACAAGATACTGCCCTACGATGTTATCTTTTTTATCTGATAAGTAGAGCAAATACTTGGTCACCCTGTCCCCTGGTTCTCTCACACTTGTTGTCTGTCTGTCTCATAATACAGTAAGGTGATTTAACACCCCCCTCCTTCCCTCCCTAACATTACACAGTAATAATTAACTGCCATTTTCCCTTGTTCATTTTTTTAATAAATTTCATAGAGCACAACAATTATAATGTTTTTTTTTCGAAAATGTATGGAAACATTAGCCATCAACCCGCTTTTAGTCAGTCGTCAATTGTCAAAATTTCCAAGGAAACGCCAAACTGAGAGGCTGCAAACGTGAGGTGCCAGCAGTTATAACATTACATGCAGGCCCGTCCTTTAGGGGGGGGGCAAACAGAGGCGACCGCCCGGGGCCCAGCACTAGACCCAGTAACCTCGGACACATTGCCTGTTGACTGGTTAATCTGACCTGACGGTTTACGCCACCATCGCAACCGTGACCTTACCATCCATAGTGACAGTCCCATGGCGGTTGGTGGGGGTGGGTTCCTCAGACCGCATAATCTGACTCCATATATATTTTTTCTGGGGCCCCGCACCCTCCTAGGGACGGCCCTGATTACATGACAAGTGTTATAACAACTGACACCATTTAGACAGACACAAGTGATCTGTGAGTTGATTACACACAATAAATTTGACTTAATTTTTATTTAACTTTCACCCCAAAAAAATCCGGGCCCGCAAATGTCCACCAAAGATTTGCCAAAGTAAAAAAAACTATCTGGGTAAATAAATTTCAAAAGTAACTTACCTACCAACAAAATAAATAAATACAAATAAATAATAATGGGTGTTGCAGTAAATACCTGGTCCCATGAGATGCGTGAGAGGGATCTGGTCGACAGTCCACTTTCCCTCAGCAAAGTGTGAGGGAGAGTCTAAGTGCGTACCGTAATGTTCGGAAGAGCAGAAACTATTCGTCTCATACCTGGAAAAAAGGGCATTAACGTCTTCCAACAATAAACTTATGATAATGACCTACTTAAATAAAAAATGGCCACACAAACGAACAATTTGCGAAAATGTTAACAATGACTGCCGTGCTATTTATAAATCAGTTAATCACAAAATATGAAATAATAAGCCCTAAAATAAAACAAAACCGTAGGAACCATCTCCTCCCATGGTAAAGGGCGGTATGTATTGTTATCGTTTCGGTCATGCAGCGAATTGGGGGATTTTTAAGTTGGGTTGGTTATGGCAGATATGTATGTCACATGCACTGGATTGTGTCACATTAGCTGACTGTTCCACGAGCTGGGAAAGTGTCATGTGAGCTGGGAAGTGTCACACAGCTGGGAAGTGTCGCACCAGCTGGGAAGTGTCGCACCAGCTGGGAAGTGTCACATTAGCTGACTGTCATACGAACTAAAAGTTTCATGTGAGCTGGAAAAGTGTCAAGACAGCCCATGAAGACTCAAGACAAACGGAGGTGTCAAACCAAACTGACAAGTGTTGAAACGTTACCACAAAGTCTCAAGACGTGACCACAAAGTGACAAGAAACTCACCAGTACCCACCAGGGATAGTATAGCCCCAGGCCTCTCTCTCTCTCTCTCTCACACACAAAAGGCTTGGTGCCCGGATGAGTCATGGCTTGGCTGCCCAAGTCGTAGGTTAAGTCCACATAATTATTCGCTAATCACACCTTGCACCACAACCACACCGAGTAATGTTAAGAGTGGTGGTGACATGGTGATGGTGCTGGCGCGTCTATAAAGATACTGACTCAGTGAGCAAACGTGTGTGTGTGTGTGAGAGCTAAATAGTTGTAGTGCGTTTATCAGTGAGCTATAAAACTGTAAGAACTTTATACAAGTAGATCAACATTTTCACGAGACGATATAACTCAGCAGGTATAAATCTGCTCTAAATCTTTCAATTCTAGCTAATTTATGTTTTACTTTCAAGATTTAAGTAATAATGATAAAAACCCGGCCAGAAATGCCTCACATTTTGTTTCAGGTTCAGCCGTCATGCCCGAGACTTCGTGAACACAATATTCCGAGACACATCGTTCACAAAGTAGAAAATACACTTGTACAGCAAATAAAAAAAAGTCTTATAAACCATATAATACGCCAAATAAAATGCAATGGTATAAAATCACTATGACGAGTCACAATAATAAGTATATAATAGCACACGATATAATTTTGACAAAGATTAAGTACAAATATTTATAGCCTGTCCTACCCGTTGACGGCGAGTGTTACTGTAGTGAAAAACTCGCCTTCCATAAAACCTATATTGTATTCTGGTGGTGTAAATTATTTCTATATTTTCCACCATTTTCTCACATTTCAGACATCTAATTACTTATAAGTGCAAAGTTGTATTATTATTCTAGTTAGCACCTCACCACACACGTTGCCATGTCTATTTAGTGCCAAGGCCACGCCACGCCTCTTCCGCTTGCATTATTACCTTTAATTAACTTTCTTACTTTTATTTTCTTCGCCACTGATCGGCTCGTTAGCAGCGAGGGCAGTCGGTCATATCTCTGTTACTCACTGTTGGCACGTACTATACATGAACTGGCTCCTTGATATATCTGCAACGTTTTATTTAATTTTTGTTTCCATTCATATAAAGATATTTATTCCGTACTATTGTCATACATGTTCAAACTGATTCATGTTGTGTATATTTACGGTGTAGGCAAACAGAGTGGTGGTGGTCCCAATTTGCTGTCACAGAGAACAAAGTAGTGTATTGTTGTCTTGGTCATCCAGCCCAATTTTAGGATTTTAAGTTCCCATCGTCCGAGCGCCCCGTGTGTTAGGTTAGGTTGAAATTATGTTTTTCCGGTGGTTTTTGGGGTGTTTTGAACGAGTCTGGCCTTCATTTCTATCGCAATTCACTACTTTAGGTGATTTTCCCCCACCCAAAACCATGGTTCCCCCCTCCCATTATCGTTGAATAAGAGGGTGTCGGGTAGCTAAAAAAATTTAGTGATTTGCATATCGTAGAAATATGTGAATACCCGAAACGATAATAACAAGTGTACTGTACCAGTAGCCACTGTCGGAGAAGCCTTTCCTCGCATCTACCCTCTTGTAAGGTAGGGATCCAGGCCACTGCATGGGTCCCTCAAAGATGTCATGTCCTAAATCCACGTACTTTTCACTCGCACTTCTTGCCACATTAGCCATAATAATGCAAAATAAAGCTGGAAACTTTAACATGATCAATAAGTGTGATGGTTCAGCGGAGTACAACTACCATCTTAACCGTTTAGTGTGTAGCTGATGACTGACGAATGAGGTGGCCAGGTAGGCTGCGGCAGTGTTGCCAAATGTGGCTGGTGAAAATAGGCTAGATTGACCTACAGAATCCGCTAAGCACAATGTTACGCGCGTATCCTAAACAATGTGCAAATGTTAAGTACTCACCACTTCATTCTCTAAAGACTTGGGTACTGAAGAAGAGCTTGGACGAGCTTCTGGTGCTCGTAATGTCGATGAACTGCTGCTACCATTATACCTATTTGCTTTACCACTTGTTTTGGCAGTTCATATGAATGACAATATTTTCCAACTCTTCCGAGTTCACTTTTCACTGCAATAATCCGTGGCACAGACTGTACTTGTATTCAACCGATTTCTGAGCTTTGATTTAACAATATTTTGCATTGACACTCGCATTATCAACTCCTAGTAACTTCTGTGGGTCCAGTACATCCAGGGTTGCCATTTTGGCGGTTTTCCAGCTAAATCTAGATGTTTTAATCCACCATCTAGCGGGTATATTTGCTGTCTTGCTGCTAGCGGATTTTACTGATGTCTGGCGGATTTCTAGCGGTTTTAGTTATATAATTATACTTGCATATGTATAAACAGTCAGTGGAAGGATTTCATTCTTGTGAAGTGGAATGAAGTTTCACAAACTGTCCTGTTTTGGAATGAAATACAATGAAAGACAAAGGTTGTGTCGTGAAATTTGGAGAAAACATATGCCGAAGGGCTATACTTCTGGTGCGCTCTGCCTCGTGGTAGTCTACCACACTGCTTAGTCCCTAAGCAGTGTTGCCAAATGCTGGATATTTTTTCTTCTGATCGTTATTACATAAACTTCCCTTTGAATTATGATATATATATATATATATATATGAAAGAGAGAACTCCAGGTAAACTTATATACATAACCCAAATGAAAACTTTTATTAATTTAGAAAGTAATTTTCAAAAAGACACCGATGAAATAAATTACGTAGGCATATCATTACAGACTGTTAGTCTACCGAGGTAATACTAATTTCCTTGACTCACCTATCAGTACTGTACGGGTCGTCTCCAACAGCACTGGTTATGTCATATATGAAATGAGGATACATAAATGTTTTTAATTACACCACTACATTTTGATCTTGAAGTTTGTGTCGGCTGTCAGCGATGCAATCTTACTATCAGTAAAGCAGTTTGATAGTCTGTAGATCATGCAGTCACTCCCTGCAGAACTAATGTGAATAATGAGTCTTGGGCATTTTACTGTGTTGAGCAATAATTTTTCAAATTAACGCCAATCCTTTACTAATCACAAATATTGTAAGCCCGACTTCTAGCAGGGCTGCAAGCAGACTAAATTCAGGGAACGGGGGAGGTGGGGGTCAGGGGGAGGCCGGAGGGGAAAGAAAATGCCAGGACTAAAGAATGCCACACCTCCAAACGAGGAGGGAACAGATTAGTGGCAAGCAAAACGGCATAATTCGAACTTACAGTTGCAATCAGTTATTCTCTCTGATTTGCCCTGCCATCCCGCTAAACAACCACTATTCAAATATCTAATCCCGCCAGCTACTAGATCCAATTTCCTTCCGCTAGACTTAAAGCAAAACCTGCAGATTTAGCGGGAAACCCGCTTACTTGGCAACACTTCTTGAGCAGTAAGCCCTGAAGAAGGTAAATTGGGAAAAGCCTTGGGCAGTTTGGCCAGGTGCTGCTCGCTGATTGGATATTTATACAAGAACAGTCAAACACAGACCAGGAATATTTTACACTTGTAAATAACCGACACTCTTTGTATGTATATGGAAACAAAGGTTACGCGGTCAATTGAACCCGTGAAGGTCCGCGTAAACCGAGAAGCGTAATCCGAGAAACTAGTAAACGAAATAACAGAACATATGGGAATAATTGAAATAGAGACTGGGCCGACTCCCAAACTCCACTTTTTCCGACACAATACGTACCTTGTAGTAAAAATAACATCATAATTTTATGGTGGTATTGCTACATACACATAATATCAAAATAAAAAACTAGAAATCTAAAGGTGTTTAACACTTACGTTAGTAGAAGAGATGGGTCGGCACACGTGGATGGCGGCTGGTTCCGAGGCAGAGGGCAGATTAGTGGCCCTCCGGTGAATCACTATCACTATTCACAGAGGTTTGCAGGGCCTCCCAGACAAACCCCTCAAAGTCCATATCTTCACTGTCACTATCACTGACTTGGGCTGGCTGTGGTTCTGGTGGGCTGCGGGCGAAGAAGTCCTTAATACTATGTTGAGGACTAGCATTGATGTTGTCGAGATAGATCTGGATATACGGCTCCATAACTTTCGACAGAAGGTTATTAGACATTTCATACCGATGCTTGTCTGGGTCGTTGTCAAGGATGAGCTTAATTTTCTCCCCCAACTCGATGATTTTCTTCGCATAATCATGGCTTGGTCCAGGTAATTCAAGGTTTTTCTGGGGTGGTGGGGCTTCAGTGGAAGCCATTGTGAGGGGAATAGAGGGCACAACTGTATATGCGGACTGAGAACAATGAGACTGGCCCGGCTAGGTCAGCGACTTCTGGTGGCAGGGCACGTCATGTTACATTAGACCAATCACAGCTAGCGGCAGAGGGAATGCGTGGGTGGTAAGGATGCGTGGCCCAATCACAGTCCGATGCGTCATATGACGTCAACGATAACGTAAGAGCGACCAAATGCGCACCCCTCACCGCTTCCCGCGTATGGTCAAGAATGGACAGCATGAGTAAAAAATGGCGCAGCGTTTCTGGACCTCTCCAGCCGCTTGCCACGTAAATGATGAAATTTACCGCGTAATTAAAACAAATCATTCTGGCAAGGCACCGCGTAAATGACCAAACGCATAAACAAAAACCGCGTAAATCCAGAATACTTGTATACGGTATACCTTATATGATATTTGTTACTTTCTCCAACTGACAATTTCTGGCAGTGTAATATACAGTAGCTTGCTGCTAAATCATTCAGCTTCAGGTATACAGTAATGTAATGTATTCATATATGCCTCATAACTTATAGTTTTAAATATAAGTATACAGTTGTATATACAGTACACATGTTTGGAAAGATAATTCGTTCCTCCACATCTTATATTGAAACATATTTCCTCATTCAGGTGACCAGTTCTGTGAAAATCCTTATTTAATAAAAACTTTTACCTAATTTTTTTAATTTTTTCCTTATAAACTTAACACTGTATTCACTAAAAAACAACACAGTTAACAAGACGCTGACAGTAATTCAGTCTTAGAGGTGGTAACACTGTTCATAGCCTCAGCTGTCATGGTGGTGATCACGGCCAAGACGTGCTGGTGTGAATCTGGCGTCTTTCTACTAATTATGTCTGGGATTATACCGGTACCTTGTACTGTACAGTATTTCTCAAAACCTAGGGTCATATTATACAAGAGCTATATGAAAAGCTCACAATTATTTAACAACAAGATCAGGGATCAAACTACATGAGATCAGTTTATGCACGAGTAAATACGGTAATAACAACTTGGGCTACAGTCATAAAGTTTGCTCAAGTGGTTTTAAGTTGATGTATTCAAGTGTCACATTACTCTTCTGCTGAACTGATTCAAAAATTTATTTAATTCTATTTTTTTCATGCACAAGTAAATGGCGCCTGAGATAGTTCTTCATGGAAAAATGTTTCCCACATTCATCACATTTAAAGTTTTTAACACCAAAGTGAACAGCCTCAATATGTCTCTTGAGATGACTATTTTGTGAAAAATGTTTCCCACATTCATCACATTTAAAGTTTTTAACACCAAAGTGAACAGCCTCAATATGTCTCTTGAGAGTACTCTTCTCTGAAAAATGTTTCCCACATTCATCACATTTAAAAATTTTAACACCACAGTGAACACCAAGAATATGGGCCTTGAGAGTACCCTTCTCTGAAAAACGTTTCCCACATTCATCACATTTAAAGTTTTTAACACCACAGTGAACAGACTCAATATGGGTCTTGAGCTGACTATTTTGTGAAAAATGTTTCCCACATTCATCACATTTGAAGTTTTTAACACCACGGTGAACAGCAAGAATATGGGTCTTGAGAGAATCATTTACTGAAAAATGTTTCCCACATTCATCACATTTAAAGTTTTTAACACCACTGTGTGCAATTATGTGTTTCCTCAGAGAATTCTTCCAGGGAAATGACTTTCCACATTCCTCACAGGAGTATGTTGTTTTCCCACTGGACATAGTGTACACGGCGTCAAATTTGGTCCCGAGATGTGGCGTCACAATGTCTGAAACATGAAGTTTAACCTTAGATAATATTCCCACCACAAGTACACTACTGTACATTTGTTATTTTTAACAAACAAAGAGAGAGATCAGACAAGTGTCACTGTCAAATCTATTCACCAAGGCATCCTCTTCCTGAAGGCTGAAGTGATTGAGGTTATACCACAGAAGAAAAACACTGAGGTAGGGAGTTGCACAGAGTGCCAGTACACAATACATGGTCCTCACAGGGTGCTTGGTGGTGGCACTATTGAGTCAGCACAATGACTGTGGACAAACAATTCTGTACAGGTGACTCAGCCCTTCACTCTCACTTCCCCAGTCTCATACTCAAGGAGATGAAAAGGTAGTCATGACAGTTAAAAGGCTAAGTCATCAAATTCTTGTTATCTTATTCAATGGACCAATTCATCATCCTCAATAGTTTAAGTCATCATGCTAAAGATATACTTACTCAATGGGATATTGTTGTCCTCATACTAAACATATCTTACTCAACTGGTTAATTCATCATACTGTACTCCACAGGTTAAGGAAGTGTTGTAAAGTTCTTGTTATGGAATATATACTTGAATGATATTTTAAAGTCTCCCTAAACACCATAATTAAACAGATAACAAAACTCTTACCTTTTCCTGTAGTACAAGAGAGAAGATGTCCATTAGTGACTCAATCCTCGTGACTGTCTGGAGTGTAGAGGAAGGACAGAGCATTAGTTAACAATTATGATGTTCTGGCAGTGATGTACAGTATATAAAATATAAGGGGTAAATCACTCAAAACAAATTACTGTAATTTAAGTGCCAAGTTATGTTCTCAACAGCCAAACGTAACAATTAAACATAAGAACATAAGAATAGAGGAAACTGCAGCGGGCCTATTGGCCCATACTGGGCAGTCCCGTTTACACCCAACCCCTATTGCTCATATGAGCATCCAACCTATGTTTGAAGCAATTCAGCGTATTCGAGTTAATGATGATATTTGGTAATTTGTTCCATTCATCCACTACTCTGTTTCCAAACCAGTGTTTACCTATTTCACGCCTAAATCTAAATTTGTCTAATTTAAAACCATTGTTACGAGTTCGCTCCTGGTTGGATAGTTTGAGTACCTTTGTAATGTCCCCTTTGTTTAGCTCTGCCTTCCACTTATACACCTCTATCAGGTCGCCCCTCGCTCTACGTCTCTTGAGGGAGTGCAAATTAAGATGCTTTAACCTGTCTCTATACTCAAGGTTCCTAATGCCCGGGATTAGTCTTGTCATTCTCCTCTGAATTCTTTCCAAGGATTCTATATCCATTCTGTAATACGGTGACCAGAACTGAACCTGTGATCTTTGTTAATCACACCTGTTTGTTAATGTTAATCCGTCGTCATGTTAACCTTAACCTTGTATTGTGTTGTTAATATCACCACGACACCTGTTACACACCTGTCTCTTGCCTCTTATACTTGTTACCGTCACCACGACACCTGTTAAACACCTGCTTCTAACCCAGCTATATATCAACACCACAACTACCACCACCACCACCACCATACTACACCATCACCACCACCATACTACACCATCACCACCATACCACACCACCACCATACTACACCATCACCACCATACCACACCACCTCTTGACATGACCCCCCCCCCTACCACATCCCCTCTTTGGTAATCTAGGGATGAAATGTACCCAAATGTAGCAAAATGTAGCCGCACTGTAGTCAAATAATGGTCCTACATGAATAAATCGGACTGCTAATCACTTCTCGACTAGTATTTGGTGTCAGTCACAAAAAATTGGAAAACTTACTTTCATCTGAGTTAGGTTAGGTTAGGTTAGGTTGGGTACATGCACTTGATCTATTAACTCAGATTAAATTAAGTTTACCAATTTTTTGTGACTTCGTGACACCAAATACTAGTCGAGGTTAGGTTAGGTTCGGTATATGCACTCGATCTATTAACTCAAATTAAATTAAGTTTTCCATTTTTTTTTACTTTGTGACACCAAATACTAGCCGAGAAGTGATTGGTAACCCGATTTATTCATGTAGGACCATTATTTGATTCATTGAGGCTACATTTGGGTAATTAGTCGGACCCGTAAAGAACCTCTCCATATACTTTACACTGTATAGTATTTTAAGTCATATTCCTCTAATAATAAGTCAACTGAACGAGTATCATCACTTTTTGAATAAATTTCTCATCCAACTTCGCTACCAGTGATGTCTAATGACGCCATGAGTACTGAGAATAAAGTATATCCCAACAGCACAAAACACAAGGTTGAAATTATTACTCAGCACACATAATACTTACAGGGTTCTTCTCTTTTCTACGCGTCCCTTCTATACAATACATCTTCTTTTTCTCCTGTTCTTTACCTTTAAGCCATCTTGTTATCTTTACTGGTTCTCTTCACTAATTACCGTTAATAAAAGGGTCCTTGTTCCTGTGTTGACAACTTGACACTAAACCTTTTCTTTCATTAAATACTACATCAATACATTTACATTATGGTTTTGTTGTTGTAATTAATTTTGTTTTTCTATAAAAGTAAATAATATTTTTTTTTACTGTAGGTCATAATTATTTAATGTGTGTTTCTTAGGTTATCAGTATGTTTCTTCTGCCCATATAATTGCCCTCGTTACTTCCAGGTTTTATTGTTTACAAGCTATTTAGAACATTCTGGGTAATCATTCTTTACTTTATAAAGAAAAGGATAGAAATATAATACGCATTTTAAAGCTTTATTCCGTTCTAGTTTCTTATCTGATGCAAGAATTATTTTATTTAACATTCGTGGTCTTGGTTTAACATGTTCGTGGTGATGACTCAACATTGTTTGCCACTTTGTTGTTGTTGTTGTGATGTCCTGCGAGTGTGAATCGTTTCCTTGATATTAGTTTATTATTAGGTAATGGCGGGTTATTGCGGTTTTATGGATGTTTTTAGCGAGTATTGTTGGTTTTAGTGTTATAATTTTAGGTAGACTAACAGTTACATGCAGCATAGACACAGATATACAAGTAAATAGTTATTGACATGTTGCTAGGGACGTAAGATATATAAATAATTACCTATAGTTTTCCAGTACACGATCCTACAGTTCCTCTATACTGTACTCTTGGTGTGTCTGTTCTTCCCTTTCTAAGGTTGGTAATCCTGGAGATGGCTACCACCAGAAGGCATTGTTTAATTTCGTAATTTTTTCCACATGTTCTTATCATTATAGTATTATGAAAAAGGCAACATTTACTCCAACCTGACCTAACTAATCCAAGAAACTTACCTAACATCCTAGCCGGGGGGGAGGACATTAAAGAAAGTACTTATTCGGCTATTATTTTACTTTAGGACACAGCGAGTCCGAAAGTTATAAACTACTGAAATATCTAGATCTCCCTATTGTGAGCATTTTGAACCCATTTATACCAACCGGAAATGGAAAATAACTACACAGTTGAATTTAATTGATTTTACGTAATTTTTCAGTCTTCGTCTCTGAGGAGATGTTATCGGCGTGAAACACAGTTAATTATGGATCACGCATGCGCAATATTGATTGATGTCATCGAGTCGTGACCAATGATGTATCAATACCATCCTGTGATTAAATTTTTTTTTATCCAATCACATTTGAATTTTTCAAAGCAGCCTGGGTGCAGATTTGAAATTCAGTGACCAGTCTGATAATGGCCGTGGTTGAGGTTGGGTGTCAATGGTGCTCCTACGATTATTTCAAGTTTATTGCCGAGTTTTACAAGAAAGACGAGCATTCTATCCAATTCTTACGTAATCACAGTGTTCTCTCTACGTCTGTTGAGTGCCTGCACTGCAAATTCCCTTGTAAATATAGAAAGGACAAGAACCAGTGGTTTTGTAATCGTTCAAGGAGGTATGCAAAGAGTAAGAAAAGGAATATTTGTCAATACATTATCTTCCACTTCTAACTAAGGTATTGTACTTTCGGACATGGCGCGCCCCAAAGTTTTAAACTACTGAAACAATTAGGTTAAGTTAGGTTAGTTTAAGCTAGGCCTACCAGGGTTCCGGAAGCAGAGCCCCTGGCTAGGGGTAAGGTTAGGTTTTGTTAGGTTACATGATTCGTTTTCTTCCCCACCCAAAAACACCGATTTCCCAGGCTCTCCCCCCATTATTGTTGGGGGGGCCACAAAAACTATAAATTTCCGACAAAAATGAAGGTCAGATTCGTTTAAAACACACCAAAATACACTGGAAAAACATATTGGTCAACCCCGAGGTACTCAAGCCCTACAATAAAAATTTACCCTTATTTTGATATCCGGTACAAATGAAAGCAACTGTGTTGAAGCGTCTTGGTGTAATTTAAATTTTTTGTGGACATGAGACTACGCTCAGACCGAACAGGTTGGTTGAGAACAAACTGAAGACGACAATACGCTGATTCGGTAGATTTTGGGAGGAGTATTAACAGTTAATAATTTATTTCTTCATGTATAAAGCTCATAGAGACATCACTTTAGTGTCGTGATCAATTTTACCCCCACAGTTTCCCTCATCCTTCAAGACCTGCCCACTATAGGTGATCTACAAAAATAACAATACCTCTGCCAGTTTTGAGATACTGTTTTCATTAAGTGAAAAAGAATTTTATCTAAAGTCGATGGTTAACCGACACTTGACCCAGTCCTGTTTTACCCAAGTGACGCACAATTTAGTAATTTCATCCATCTGTTAATAATATCTAGTACAGGAGGTCTCTACAGCTGGTGATTTTAATCTTTACAGACCAAAATGAATCGTGGGAAAATATTGTTTGGTAAGATTGGGCTGAACCTGGCTAGCACGACCACCACAGCAGTGCCGTCCCCACCACCGGCCAGGGAGGATGATGAGGGAAGCACCGCTACTGACACCACCACTGACACCACCGCTGACACCACTGTTGTCACTGGGTTTGGAGTATTTGGGAAGATGCAGCCAGAAAAGAACAAAGAAGATGGTAAAAGAGTCACTAGAAGTTTAAACTCCCCAGTATAATTGGAGATTAAACTCCCTAACCTAAACTAACCTAATATAACTTAACCTAATCATCCATAGAAGTTTTATTTTCATTGTGTTTTATCTTGCAAGACGACCAAACAATTGCTGTACCTTGATGATGTCGTGGGTTATTCTACTGTACCATGAACAAATACAGCCAACAGTACTGTACCCATTGTTCAGTGTACAAAGAGAAAAACCCAGTCCTTGAAACCAAACAGAAATCATTGACTTGTGAGGTTTTTAAAATGGAACACAAAGTAATGGCCACTGTTTGAAGGTTAATACAGTACCTGCAGCTACCTGAAATACAACATACTGTAGTTCCTTTCTTCAAAACTGTATTTGTCTTCTTCAATTGATAATTTTTAAGTGACAGTACAAGTGTTAATTTTGTTATCCACAGATGAGATGGCAACCACAATGGGATTCTCTGGTTTTGGTAAGAAGGCGAGGGACTTTGATATTGACAAGCTTGTGGTGGAGACGCGTGAAACTGCCATCGACAAGAACAGAGAAAACATTGGTGTGTAAACATTCCACACAAAATACACGGTATCTCGGACAACTGTGTACACACACACACAGAGCCTTACAGAATTTGATGAAGTCTTATTTTACTTCAGCAATATTGTCCTGACTTGTAGGGGATAAACATTCGGAAAAGTTTGTAAGGCGGAGTGTGTACATACTAGAGACTGCCGTAGAAGTTGTTTAATTAGATCATCTGCCATTGACATCACTAGATTGACTGAGAAAGATTATTTGTACAGTAACTTATCTTTCAATATTTATTATCTTAATTTAAACTCATAATGTTGCTGTCTATATTTAGTTGGTTAGGTTAGCATTAGGGTGTTCAGTCTTTAGGTTTGGCCAATAGTTTATATCCCTCCATATCCTCTGTAGGTCTCCTAACTTAAGTCAATGATAATCGTGTGCATTTAAAAATTACACATACAGTATCTAAAATAGAAAAAAGTACAGTACTTAGTTTACAGTATAGTCTGCATTTACGCGGTCAATTGAACCCGTGGAGGTCCGCGTAAAACGAGAAACGCGTAAATGAAATAACAGAACATATGGGATTAATTGAAATAGAGACTCTGCCGACTCCCAAACTCCACTTTTTCCGACACAATATGTACCTTGTAATAAAAATAACATCATAATTTTATGATGGTATTGACACACACATAATATCTAAATAAAAAACTGCACTACTGTACAAATATAAAAGCGTTTAACACTTACGTTAGTTGAAGAGATGGGTCGGCACACGTGGATGGCGGCTGGTTCCGAGGCAGAGGGCAAATTAGTGGCCCTCCGGTGAATCACTATCACTATTCACAGAGGTTTGCAGGGCCTCCCAGACAAACCCCTCAAACTCCATATCCTCACTGTCACTATCACTGACTTGGGTTGGCTGTGGTGGGTTGCGGGCAAAGAAATCCGTAATACTACGTTGAGGACTAGCATTGATGTTGTCGTGATACATCTGGACATACGGCTCCATAATTTTCGACAGAAGGTTATTAGGCACTTCATACCGATGCTCAACTGTCTTTGTCAAGGATGAGCTTGATTTTCTCCCCCCAACTCGATGACTTCCTTCACATAACCATGGCTTGGTCCAGGTAGTTCAAGGTTTTTCTGGGGTGGTGGGGGTGCAGCGGAAGCCATTGTGAGGGGAATAGCAGGCATAAGAGAGAACTGTATACGCGGAGACTGAGAACATTGAGACTGGCCCGGCTAGGTCAGTGACTTCTTCCCTCTGGTGGCAGGGCACGTCATGTTACATTAGACCAATCACAGCTAGCGGCGGAGGGAGGTAAGGATGCGTGGCCCAATCACAGTCCGATATATCATATGACGTCAGCGATGACTTAAGAGCGACCTAATGCTCACCCTCCAGGCGCCGCTTCCCGCGTAAATGATGGAATGAACCGCGTAACTTAAAATTTTCATTCTGGCAAGGTGCCGCGAAAATGACCAAACGCGTAAACCAAATCCGCGTAAATGCAGACTATACTGTATATGAATACCTTATACTGTACTTATAAAAACTAGCTATTCCTATTGTAGTAGACAGATTTAGTACGTACAGCTCCTATTAAACTAGATACAGTAGCTATATTCTATCGTAATTAGAGAAAGATTATAATGTTTTTTACCTGTACAATACTGTATTATGTTTCAGAAAAATTGAAACTTCAGTCACAGATGGAGGCAGAGAAATGTGATAAGTTGGGGGAATTATTACCTCAAACGTCGTCCTCTCGGTCCACGACACACAGCGACGACGACGACTTCATAGGGCCGCCGCTTCCTCCAAGTTTACCTGAAGTGAGCGAAGAAGAAAGCGACGAGGAAGACGAGTACACGATACCCGTCCGTCACGAACTGATCTTGGAGCACGGCACGAAGACGGTCACGGGGTTGGCCGTCGACCCGTCCGGGACGAGGCTGGTCAGCGGAGGTCTGGACTACGATGTGAGGTACTGGGACTTCCAGGGGATGGACCAGACACGAGAGGCTTTTAGGTCCTTTTGTCCCGCTGACGGCTATCCCATCAACAGCGTGGAGTACAGCTGCACGGGAGACAAGGTGTTGGTGGTGCCGGGCTCCCAGCAGGCCAAGGTCTACGACAGGGACGGCATAGAATTGTTTGAGTGCGTCGGCGGTGACATGTACTTGCACGACATGGCAAAAACAAAAGGGCACATTGCTGGGTTAACCTGTGGAGTTTGGCATCCCAAGGATAAGGAAGAATTCATGACCTCCGGGAGAGACGGAACGTGTCGTCTGTGGCACACTAGTCGACCTCATTGTCAGAAGAACGTCATCAAGGCTCGGGCGTCCAATGGTCTGAAGACCGTCCCCACCACTAGTGCCTTCAGTAAGGACGGGCTGTTGGTGGCCTGTGCCTGCGATGACGGCTCCATACAGATGTGGGATCACCGCAAGAATTTTGTTAACGTGACCATAAATATAAAGAACGCCCACGCCAGAGGAACTGATACATCGGGATTGACTTTTGCTTACGACAACAAAGGTTTTGCCACGAGAGGGGGAGATGACACTCTAAAATTGTGGGACATCCGCAACACCAAACAGGCCGTCCACACCGCTAAAGATCTGTTTAATAGATTTGGTATGACTGACTGTGTGTTCAGTCCTAATGACCAAATTGTTGTAACTGGAACTTCTTTAAACAGAGGAGAAACGTCCGGTAAGTTAATGATGTATAACCGAAACACTTGGGAAGTAGTCCGAGAGCTTCACGTTGGACCGAGTCACGTCGTGAAAATAATCTGGCATCCTAGACTGAACCAGATCATGCTCGGCTGTGGTGACGGCAAAGTGCGACTCCTTTACGAACCGAAGGTCTCACACAACGGAGCCATTCTGGTGGCCGGGAAACACAAGAAGCGCAGTAAACAAGCCGAGGTCGTGGTGTCCCAGCAAGTCATCACGCCTCACGCTCTACCCATGTTCCGGGAAGAGAGACATAAGTCCACCCGTAAGTTGGAAGAACGCGACAGAAAGGATCCGGTGAAGTCGCGTCAGCCAGACCTGCCAGTCGGCAAGGCGGGCTCGGGGGGTCGCGTCTCAGCCGGGGGATCAACGCTGTCCTCGTACATCATCAGGAACATGGGTCTGCGTAACAAGGTGCACGAGGAGGGAGACCCGAGGGAAGCTCTACTCAAGTACGCCAAAGATGCAGAAGAAAACCCTTACTGGGTCACCCCTGCGTACACCAAGAATCAGCCCAAACCTGTGTTTCAGGAGAAGGAAATACCAGAGGAAGAAGAAGAAACTGATGAACCAGACACAAAAAAACCTAAAACAGAGTAAAACATTGGAGTTTCTTTTTTGTTTTATGCCATTAAATGTACAAACTTATGAAAAATGTGTATTTATAATGACTGTATTGCAGTGCTTTTAATAAAGTGTGAGAGTGGAGGATATTTCCCCGTGTTTAACCTTTGACATCTCTCTAAACACACTTGACCTCCACTACACATCTGTACAGTATTGTTCCCTTACTGTAACATTTTTCTACACTCTGAGGCCCCCTAATAGAGATGGATAAATAATGAAGAAAATAGATAGAAATACGAGTAAAAATTAAGACAGCGAGAACAGCACACTAACACCCCTCCCTCCATTATTAATTTTGCCAATAGCTACGTGGCCGACCCAGCTGCCATACTCTACACTCCTAAACCGCAAGACTCGTCTTCAGTCCTGAGCCAGGCAAGGTTAGTGGGATACTGTCTGGTAAAAAGTTCCTCAATGGCCACATGTGAGGTGAAGCCCCTTACCAATATGGCTTACCTCACCTGGTGGGTTATTTTGGGAGCACAAGATGGTGGTGGGTGTAAATTTGATTTCCAGGACAATTTGTTGCAAAGTTCACAGCATTACAAGAGCTGTGACAGTATACTACAGTACAGGTGGACAAACTAGTATAACCTGGATTACTTATTAGTGTCAGGGAATTTACAAGTACTGTAGTATGTTAGGATCTTTTTATTTACTGTACCAGCAAGTTAATATGGCTATGAAAGTGATCTATCTCTGGTAACTTTCCTGAGGATATTTACCATCAATTGAATGGCTAGCATATCAGGGACCAGACAGGATCGTACCAACAGTAAGGAGGCGTATCACACGTCACAAAGCGATACAGTAAACAGTACAGGTATCCCTCCCTACACTCGGAATTCCATATAACTCGGCATGGAGGTGGTCTCGGAATATATTACTACACGTATAGTATAACTCGGGAAATGCCGATATATATAAAATTATCTGGGAAAATCTCTGCATATCTGGCCACCTGTGTCACCAACCATGCCTCTGTGTCACCTACCATACCTCTGTCACCTACCATACCTGTGTCACCTACCATGCCTCTGTGTCACCTAATATAATGCTTCATTCTTCACCTACAGTGCCGGTAAGTGTTACTTTTTTTTTACATTTAATAATTACATGTACACATATATGGGTCGATAATGTTTGTGTTGTATTTTTGTAGGAGGGAGAAGTGCCTCGATAAGTTGGAATTTGGGATAACTCGGCAAGGTTAGAGCCCCGTATGTGCCGCGTTATCGTGGGTTTACTGAAATTAGATGCAAATTTACAGTTCTGTACAACACTTCAGTAGGTTTTTCGTTTGTAAACTGATTTCATTTTTATTTTATACATTGGGGGGTTTTAATCTTGTAGTTAGATATTAAACCACAATAGTTAGGTACTAATTTACAGTAGTTAAGGCAGGTTTTTGTGGCATGAATATATTTCTTTCTTTTTTCTATGTATAATACAGTATACTGAGATTTTTTGTCACTGGGGAACTAAATCCTATTTTTTCCAATATGTTATAGTATTTGATATATGAATATTTACTTAACTAATGGTTTTCAATAAACCTAACCCATTAATATAGTGAGGGAGGGATACCTGTGAAGTAAATGAAACATGTCATGCCATTACCGTACATACGCTGCTCTCTAGTACTTTACACACTATGCTGGTCAAACTCAGCACACTGTAATTATTCTTGGAATGTTTGAATATACTGTAGTACTGTACTCACATAAACTAGTTTCCAGCTGCTGAGGATCTTTTGGTCTTCTAAGCATCTGCAGAAGAGGATTTTAAGGGTCTAAACTAGCTCGTTGCACAACTCTTGGAACCTGGGTATACACACTGTTAAGGCCAGGCTCTTAGGAACCTTTAGCCTTGACAATCTAGTTCATCAGTAAAACATTCTTCTAATAACTCAATCAGCTTTAGTGTTGTCAGGAAGTCTGTTTGCATCATCTCTCTGAACACTGAGAATACAAATATTTAAAGCTTTTGCCTTTTCCTGATCTACAAGAATGATTAAGATAATATATTAAAGTTTAATGGATAATAATTGGACTTTGGACAAATAACAAATGTTAAAATTCCTGACAACTTCACTCCAAGGCTCAATTATGCGCTAAGTACAGGGGGTCCCCGGGTTACAGATGGGTTCTGTTCCTGAGGACGTTCTTAAGTCAGGTTTATATTTAAGTCGGAACACATGCTGTATGCATACTGTACTTATAGAACAATGTTTAAAATCCCACTATATCATAGCCCAAGTCCTTAAATACATCTAAAATCACTTAAATTAAGATAAAAGAACAAATAGAATGATAAAATACAGTTAATGAAAGTAAAAAATAAGTCATCAGGTAAATTTCAAGGGTAACCTCGTTCATACCGGCGGGCATTCGTACGTCGGGGAGCCCCTGTACTTTGTTTGTATACCTGCAATCTAGACACAGTTTTTATATACTGTACTGTACATGCATTGTTTAAGTACACTACATTGTTTGTATACCTACACTACGTACGAGACAACAGACGAAGGATTTTGACAAACCTACCAAGACAACAGGAGTCAGTGTTCATTTTGAAAGTCACAGGAGTCTACATTGTTTGTATGTATATCTGCAGTGTATACATTCATGACTGAACAGTATGCAGGTATATACAGTTTCTGTATACATACTGAACCAATTGTATATTTGTGTGATGATTTTACTGAATGAATAAATACATACCAATGAAAATTACGAACAACACACAAACAGGAATAATAAAACAACAAAATGCAATGCAATAAAAACTGTACAATTAAATTTTCTGAGAAATATAAATGTTGCTATTTACCTAAAATACAATGTTTTTTTTTTTCTACATTAATAATAACAGATATGATTGATGGATAAAGGAGAAATTACAGCAAATGTCTTCACCTTAACATGGACCCAATTTTTTGTCACCTTACCAGTACGTTCCTTTCATGCAAGTATACTGTATGTGTATATATATATACATATCTTATATATATCTTATATATAATATATATATATTTTTTTTGAACTTTATTAGTGATATAGGTCTTCCAGTGACATGAAAAATGAAGCAAAATTATCACAGGATTGGCTTAGGGTGAGTGACGGTAAGACACAACCTACCTACTGTACCGTAATGTATAGTACAGTACAGTAATACCATCTACTGTACCGTAATGCATAGTACAGTAATACCATCTACTGTACTATAATGTATAGCACAGTAATACCATCTACTATTCTGTACTACATAACACTGGTGATTGTCAACCTCAAGTACTGCCGTAGCTATAAATATATTCTTGCACACCTACCCGGTACTTCCTTCTTTTTAAAATGGTGAAATAAATGAGTCATATATCACACAGAATCAAAATCTGGATTTTACCGTATGCTCATGGACGACCATTCCCCCCCCCCCTCTCCACGGGTATCAAAACATAATATCTCATCAGACGACCGACAGGAACCCACGCATTATCTGTACCTTTCGACTCACCACTACGAGTCTTCCAACAACATTTTAATTGATACTAAATTTTCAAGAGTACACTACTGGTCTTCATAAGCTACTTTTACATTTACTACTTGAAATAAATACTGAAACACTTAATTATTCTTAGGAGTAATTTATCACATGACAGTAACTACAATATCACCATGAGAGAATAAATGTTAATAAATAAAATCAATATATATTTAGTGGTTGAAGTACTTATGGGTGGGCTGGGAGCATGGCTAACATGATCTGTGTTACTGCAGTGATTACCTCAACTAGCAGAGTGTGTGTGTGTGTGTGTGTGTGTTGTGTATTAGTGATGCTTCTGGGTCAGGTCACAACTTATGAATCACTCTGTACTGTAATGTGGCATCAAAGGTTACAACTTATGAATCACCCTGTACTGTACTCTGGGAGTCAAAGGTTACAACTTTCCCAAAATTAGTAATGTCTCAGTAAATCAAGATACAGTAAGTACAGTACTCTTGCCACCCACAGGCTATAGGCTACTTGTACTGGAGTTGTTCGTGACTAGAGTGAACAAACCAGCACCAGAGCAGCTACTGTACTGTACTGTAGTCTTGGGCCCCATAGTATAGTATTGTATACTGTACTCTTACCATACAGTATAAAATCATCATCATATTCTTTATTGAATTGACAAAATTTCAGAGTTTCATTTAGGTTGAAAATAAGATTTGTGAATGTTTCCTTTAGTGAGTGTGTGTGTGTGTGTGTGTGTGTGTGTGTGTGTGTGCAATGGTATATATATATAAAATATATGAAGAACTACATCATCATCTCAGCTTTATGTATTTAAAAGCAAATGAAAAATAAATAAAAACTTTCCCACATGACACCCAGCTTGTAGGTGTGCCATACATCAGCTGAGGACCGCTTGAAGCTGGTCGTACAACCTATCTAATTATCACATATGCTCCTCGGAGAACTAATAAACAATATCTTATGTATATTTACTAAAGGAGAATGGAGGTTAATTTATCACTACACCATAAAATTTACTGAGAAAGAAGAAGGGACTGTTTTTCACATACCAAATAAAGAAGGGACTGTTTTTCACACACCAAATAAAGAAGGGACTGTTTTTCACACACCAAATAAAGAAGGGACTGTTTTTCACATACCAAATAAAGAAGGGACTGTTTTTCACACACCAAATAAAGAAGGGACTGTTTTTCACACACCAAATAAAGAAGGGACTGTTTTTCACATACCAAATAAAAGAAGGGACTGTTTTTCACACACCAAATAAAGAAGGGACTGTTTTTCACATACCAAATAAAGAAGGGACTGTTTTTCACATACCAAATAAAGAAGGGACTGTTTTTCACACACCAAATAAAGAAGGGACTGTTTTTCACATACCAAATAAAGAAGGGACTGTTTTTCACATACCAAATAAAAGAAGGGACTGTTTTTCACACACCAAATAAAGAAGGGACTGTTTTTCACATACCAAATAAAGAAGGGACTGTTTTTCACATACCAAATAAAAGAAGGGACTGTTTTTCACACACCAAATAAAGAAGGGACTGTTTTTCACATACCAAATAAAGAAGGGACTGTTTTTCACATACCAAATAAAAGAAGGGACTGTTGTTTTTCACACACCAAATAAAGAAGGGACTGTTTTTCACATACCAAATAAAGAAGGGACTGTTTTTCACATACCAAATAAAAGAAGGGACTGTTTTTCACACACCAAATAAAGTAGGGACTGTTTTTCACATACCAAATAAAGAAGGGACTGTTTTTCACATACCAAATAAAGAAGGGACTGTTTTTCACATACCAAATAAAGAAGGGACTGTCTTTCACATACCAAATAAAGAAGGGACTGTTTTTCACATACCAAATAAAAGAAGGGACTGTTTTTCACATACCAAATAAAGAAGGGACTGTTTCCACATCACAAAGCAACAACAATTTTATCCTGAGAAAATAACGGAGAAAATTACGACTACTGTATGAGTCACCAAAACAGAGTCAAGTACAGAACGTCATTAAACACCACAACATTGGTCAAATTAATCACGAAAATTCACTATCAAGAAATGGACTCGTATGGTGCCAGTGATTAGTTTCTCCCCATTACAGTGAGTGTACCTGTGTTGCCCTAACTATCTCCAGTATTATTCTAACCTAACTACCAAGAGTACAGCCAACCTATCCATTACGACTGAGTAGTACACCTAACCTATCCATAAGACTGAGTACACCTTACCTATCCATAAGACTGAGTACACCTAACCTATCCATAAGACTGAGTACAGCTAACCTATCCATAAGACTGAGTACACCTTAACAGGGACCAGTTTAGCCCTGTAATGTGAGAATGAGGAAGGCACTCACTAAAGGCATCCCATTCAAGAGAGTAACAACAACACAATTACATACCCAGTCGTGTATATACCCAAACTGGCCCTAACAAGCAGTTAAACCAAACGACACAGAATACTTCACTACGGGTCTTATGAGTCTCACCGCACCCCACTATAAACTGTCGCCTGTGACCGTCACACTAGACAATGAAGGTTCACACACACACACTCATTAATGCATTCACCACACACACACACACCCATTAATGCACTCACCACACACACACACACTCGTTAATGCACTCACCACACACACACACACTCATTAATGCACTCACCGCACACACTCATTAATGCACTCACCACACACACTCATTAATACACACACACAGTCATTAATGCACTCACCACACACTCTCATTAATGCACTCACCACACACACACTCATTAATGCACTCACCACACACTCATTAATGCACTCACCACACACACTCATTAATACACACACACAGTCATTAATGCACTTTAGTATACCTCTCGTTGTAAGCTGTGGTCAAGGAGCGCAATAGAAGCAGTGTGATGTTAAAAGTGCCAATCATTTTATCAACTCGTGTACACTCAAGTCCCCAAACAACAAGAAGGAACGTCTCCTCCACCAGTGTGTCTGCTTCATATTTTCATCTTAATGGGAACCAAATTTATCAAAACAAAGAACCAATACGTTTCCCAACATAATATAGTTTCTCATACGGGTCATGGGGACACGACATGACCTCTACATAATGTATTGAGGTTTTACTGTAATAGGTAAATAGCAAATGCCACACTGTAGGACACTACTTGTCTTACCAAAACTATGCTAACTACTGTACTACATATCCACCCTAATTAGGTATTCTTTGCAACTGTGCCTCGTAAAGAAAATATATAGACAAATTTATTCTCAGAACCTTTGACAGAAAATGCGAGTCTCTTGCTTGTATTTGACGTAAAAAAAGAAAAGATTGACTTCTCGACCATAATAAACAAATTATTAAATGTGAGAATTACTTTGTGAAACAGGTTACTGAACAAAGAGGAAAGTTCAGTGTTGGTGGCCTAGTTAATTATCCCTATATCCAAGAGCAAAACAAAAGTATCATTCCTGTAACAAAACAAAAGTATTATCCCCATGACAAAACAAAAGTATTTTCTCCACAGCAAAACAAAAGCATAATCCTCATAACAAAAGGATTACAGTATATTAAAGTCATCATTCATAAAACTGGTGGATTTACAGGATAATTTTCAAGAGATTAATAAAACTTAAAAGTAACTATACTGTAGTATTGTGATTCTCTACCACATTCTACAAAAGGCCATTACTGTACACAATAAATAATAAAAGAAAAGCACCAAAACTTGTAAAAAACACAGTAATTGTTCAGGTACTGTACATGGACTTGTATCTGTAATCTCTATTAACCACAAAACACAAAATTATATTCAAGGTTATGTCTAAATGTATCTGTTGGTATGTAAAGTAAACCACTATTCTGAATGATCCTCAACAAACGGCTCGAAACGCTTAGTGTATTAAGAGATTCTCGACGCAGACAGAGCGAGACCGTTCTGTCGTCGACCAAACACGAGTAGACGTAAAACACCATATTCGTTTATATACACCAAGAGCGTAACCATTAAAATTAGTCTTTTCCTCACAGAAGAGCGCTGCAGACTGTAAACAAGCGTTAGTAGCGGCGCATACATCAAGCAGTCATCTGTTAGCACGTGTTAGTAAACTACACTGAGAAGCAGTCGCACCCTCGGCGACCCCAGGAGTTTACAAGGCCATCTCTTCCTGTTTGTTTTGCTCTTGGGAAACAATATTAATAATAATTACTACCTGGCCATAAATACTAACATAAACAAATAAGATTGTTGGTAAAAATTAAGTTTAAAAATTAATGACTGGGTACACAAGAGACAGCTTTTTGTGTTAAAGGTTCCCTCAGTAATTGATCAAGAGCTCAATTTGGTGAGTATCATGGTAACCAACATCTGGCGAGTATCATGGTAACCAACAATTGCTGAGTATCATGATAACCAACAATTGGTGAGTTTCACATTTTTGAGCAAACAGAATCTCATAGAGTAAGGAAGGGTGATCTTCAACACGCATTTATACAAAATCAGAAAAATCGTCTTGGAGAGAACATTACAATAACTGCACTGCAAATGTTAAAGGATCCACAATGCTGAGGAACTACCATCACACGAGACAAGGTACAGTACAAGCTACACAACAGCCGAGCACGAAGGAGCCACGGGAAATAGAAAAGAAGAAGAGCTTCGCTAACAGAACAACTCGCAGTAGAAGGTTGGGAATAGTGTGCCGTGCTGTGCCGTACATACTGGGCAATGAAAAAATAACAAATGTACAGTACATCTTTTAAACCCTGAAGCTGTACTTGTTTAATTCAAGCGAGAATTATTAATATGTAAGTAAAAAAAAAATCATAATTAAATAATTTAACACTCGCCTTGTGCACTTACTCTACGGCAGCCACGTAGTTTTACCGAGTAATGACTAACCATCACTTCTTAAAGCACAAATGTATCACAAGAAATTATTAGTAGATTTGCCTCAGCCTAATCAACTCTACACTACCAGGTAAATGAAGTAATAGTGTACCTTAATTTAAAGTTTAAAATAATCAATATACTACAGTATAGTGAAACCTCTATATAATGGACTACATGGGGAGGGAAATCCATTATATCAAGGGTTTGTTAGAAGTGAAACCTCCATCTTACAAACTATATAGAGATGAAAAGTCATTACTATATCGAGAAATCCGTCATATGGAAGTTTCACCATAACACCTGTTGACGACGGCTTGGTACAGTACTACAGTGTTGCACCGTAAACCAACAACTACTGTAATCTACTGTAAACAAAAATACTGTAATCTACTATAAACTTTTGTACACCCAATCTTTCCTCCTCATCGACTACAAATTTTTTTTTACTGTTTGTATACATATGAGTATAATACAACTAAGTGTATAGATAAGTATAATTTAACTGTGTATGTATAAAGATGAATATAATACAACTAATATGTATATATACAATAAATATATCACACCAATGGTACGATCAGCTAATGTAATTATCAACTTTCGAGACATTTTTGTTTATATAATACTTGCCTATAACATAAATTCCTTTTAGGCCATAATGACTCACCTATTGTACAGTTTGGTGTGTGTGTGTGTGTCACCAGTTTTCACGGCTGTAGTTAAGTTCCCTGGCCACTGTGATAACTTCCTGGCCACTGTGACAGCTCCCTGGCCACTGTGACAACTCCCTGGCCACTGTGACAACTCCCTGGCCACTGTGATAACTTCCTGGCCACTGTGATAACTCCCTGGCCACTGTGATAACTTCATGGACACTGCAATAACTCCCTGGCCACTGTGATAACTCCCTGGCCACTGTGATAACTTCATGGACACTGCAATAACTCCCTGGCCACTGTGACAACTCCATGGCCACTGTGATAACTTCATGGACACTGTGACAACTCCATGGCCACTGTGACAACTCCATGGCCACCTCATGTTATTTATAGAAAGAACCACAAAGGTCAGGGTTAGGTTAGGTTAGTGAGGTTGAGGAAATAAAAGAATTTATTCATTTACTGTTTTGAAAATTCTCTTTATTTCCTAAACCTTACAATCCTGAATATAAATAAATAAATTCTCTTAAAACCAGTCCTAACTAACCCCCGTCTAGTGCCATATATACACAACACAATGTATATATGTATGTATGTATGTATGTATGCATGTATGTATGTATGTATGTCAACTTGTACTGTCATTTGTAATTCTAGTGTTCAATAATTGGCCGGTTCCTTCAAGCTGTGTAGAGACTAAGGCAAGAGAAGATATGACCAGTGACCACATTACTTTAGTTTATACCAGGGACCACACTACACCAGGGACCCCATTACTTTACACCAGTGACCCCATTACTTTACACCAGTGACCCCATTACTTTACACCAGGGACCCCATTACTTTACACCAGGGACCCCATTACTTTACACCAGGGACCCCATTACTTTACACCAGGGACCACACTACACCAGGGGCCCCATTACTTTACACCAGGGACCACACTACACCAGGAACCCCATTACTTTACACCAGGGACCACACTACTTGAAAAAAAAAATAATAAATAAATGATCTGGAAATGCATCGACAAAGGAACTCTCGTAATAAATAATCACAAGAGAAATACTGCAAGTCTATGAACGTATACTAATGAAAACAACCCACGATTACTATTCTAATAACACTCACCGGACGATTAGTCGAGGCATGGGTTAATTTGGCGATCTACAGACTGAGGACGAGAACACATTATGTCTGGGGTGAGGAGGTAAGGGCAAACCTCAACAGCCAGTCACCACTACGTCATAGGGAATATTCTCTGCCAGTTTATCTGCTAACTCCGTCGATTTACGTCACACGATGGAATATTTAATGCTCGACGACACACTCTTATGAATAGGCCTTGCAACACACTCTTGAGAATATGCCTAGCAACATACTCTTGAGAATATGCTCAGCAACACACTCTTGAGAATAGGCCTAGAAACATACTCTTGAGAATATGCCCAGCAACACACTCTTGAGAACAGACCTAGAAACATACTCTTGAGAATATGCCCAGCAACACACCCTTAAACCGAGATCATATTTAATCCTCGCACCTTACATAATTACGATCACATGTACTCAACAAATCACGAATATACCGACATGAAACTTTACACCAATAATTCACTGCACACAAACAAGGGAATACGGAACTATTATTACATTTTCTTTAATTCTATGAGACGACAAATCCGTGAGTCTCGACCCCAGAGTATAAAAGAAAGGCCTGGACGGTAAATGTTTGTTATGCACCGCAGATTTAAGAGTGTTTTGCATTAGCCTACACCTAACTTATAGCCTCTTTAGAAAAATATTACACTACGCCCATAATCTACGGTAAAATATGTCTTGGTACAATGGATGACCGCACTACGACATACCTTACACCGCGGTTCGGTCTTTAACATATCAACATAATCACACAACTCAACGAGGAACAACACATAAAAAAAAAAACTTCCGATTATGACTGAACGAGCATCACATCCAAGTTGGTGAACCACGGGTAACACCAGAAAGACTAATATTACGGTATACAAAACTCGATAAAAAATAACTTCACTTAACATGTTAAGTTGTACTAACTAGTGTAGAACCTCAATCGTCGGCGAGATAACCTGAGCATAAAGTAGTCTGTCTTGTTCGTGATTATGGGAGCAACGTCACGAATGTCAGTGAGTAATGTGTCTTGTTCGTGACGTTGGGAGCAACATCGGCAGGAATAGCAAAGTGATACTGAACTCTGGAGTCTAAGTCATATACACTCCTACCTACCCTAACCTAATCTTTACAGTCAGGGCCACTGCTTAAAAATGAGGTAGGTTAGGGTACTGTAGGGTACACTAAGGTAGTGTAGGTTAGGTTAGGCTAAGTTAGGTTTGGGCTGGGAAGAGTAAATTAAGTTAGGAGAGGATTGGAAAGTTAGTTAAGTTAAGTTAGGCTCGGGCAGGCCAAAACACATCTGAAGACCCGCATACAGTATATACATGTAGTGTTAATAAGCAGCAACAGCAATATAATATATAAAAAAAAGGGGGAAGAAAACGAAGAAAACAAAAAAGCCTCGAACACATGTAAAAAAAAAACTACAGTCAAATCAGTAACTCTTCACCCAAATTGACTTATAAAACTCTGTTTACCCTTCTTGTAATGATACTCTCTTTATTGTAGCCTTATGTACAGCCTTATTAAATTATAGTTTGATAATAATATGTGTAGTAATGGCAAAATATTAGTGGAATTCTTTTTATGTACAGTTTATCCTAGAATTATTATTTTTTATCAATTCAAATTAATATTATCAACCAACTTAATGATCCTTGTAGGATAATATGAGGAGAAATTAACTTAAAGTAATAATATGAATGTTAATATGAGTCAAAATTAACTTAATATACTTGTATGAATGTTAATATGAGGAGAAATTAACTTATCAACCCATTCTGTCTGATCATATGAGAAGTATGTACTTAACTGGCTGGATACTATTGTTTACCTGACCTGGAAAAGTTACATCACCCTTCATATATAAAAAAAAAGATTGAATAAAAATGCTGTAGTATTTTGACTACATTTGATTGTGAAGGATGAAACCACGAGAGCCGCTAACTCCCACACACACTTACAGCTTGACGGGTGACAGCTTTCTGCCACCGTCTACACCGTACATGTGATAAATGACCAACTTTCTATAATGTCCCTCAACTATATGTAAATTTTCTGGGACAGTTATCACTCTGGTGAATCACACACACACACGTCTCCACACATTGTACCTCACCACACACGTCTCCACACATTGTACCTCACCACACACACGTCTCCACACATTGTACCTCACCACACACGTCTCCACATACTTTACCTCACCACACACGTCTCCACATACTTTACCTCACCACACACTGTACCTCATCACACACGCGTCTCAACACATTGTACCTCACCACACACGTCTCCACATACTGTACCTCACCACACATGTCTGTCTCCACACACTGTACCTCACCACACATGTCTCCACACACTGTACCTCACCACACATGTCTTCACACACTGTACCTCACCACACATGTCTCCACACACATCTGAAAATATTAAGTTTCCTCCACACTGTCTCCTCATGTGACAGAAGACATCACAAGCATATATTTGTGCACAAACTCCTGAGAATATCCATAAAATAAAGTTACTTTAGTTCTAAGTTTCAATAAAAAGGAGGACACAGAAGAGAAGTCTCCCCCCTCCCAACTAGTGGACAGGTCCATTTTCTCTGAGGTAACAACAAGAACAACTTAAATCTTCTAATTAGTGAGAAAAATAATAAAAACTTATTCGTGGAGCTAAACTTGCAGGTACTGTACTAACTAAGAGAGAGAGAGACTGGAGGACCAACAAGGGATTTGCCTCACTCATATTCCTTTGAACTTTTGAACTTTAAAATAGGGGTCAGCCGACAATGGAATCACAGTTAAGCGGACACTCGAGCACCTTCAAATTAAAACTTTCCTTATCAAAGCACATCTTACAAATAAAGTATTAAGCAAAGGTTCTGAAGCATCTCAGGCACTTGGTGGGAAGTGTCCTAACAACATTTATACACTGCAACTTTCTGCAGTTGTGGACACCTACCAGAGGCTAGAGCTTCCCCCTATGATAATACTATACATTCCTACGTCCTCTTCAGGTTTTGGAAATCATCCAAATAGTTAATGTATTTTAAAGCCTCAAGATTAGAGCACCATATGTCACTCAATGATCCGTGTGGGTCAGTAAGTGGTCCTGTACTGTACTGTGTCAACCTTGAACAGCACCACCATATTTATTATATATTCTCTTCACTAATAAGGAGATTTCATTTTGAATTTGCTCAAGGCATCCTCCACCAGAACACACACAGGCACCTTCCTCTATAACACACAGGCATCTTCCTCTATAACACACAGGCATCTTCCTCAGTGGGCCACATCACAAGGGGCACTTAAAGAGATCATATAAATTTAACCCATTATATACTGTAGTGTGTTACACTGTACCATCATATCACCGGGTTAGCATAATCTACCACAAAATGTTAAGGACATTAATTCTATTGAGATCAACCTACGGTGAACTGGGGAAAAAAGTTAACAATTTGAATATATATATAATGCTAAATCTATCACATTAAGGGTGTGTTAACCAAGTTGGTACATAAGCTAAATCAGACTACTGTACACCATGTTTATAAAAAACTCCCAAGTGCCCCTGTAGTAATATGTACACTTTCAAACTTTTGTCATCACTCTATGGCCAAACCACTTAGGCTTGTTCTTGTGCGTGTAGCTGTTGGCGTTCCTCGATAACTTGCGCGGGGCCACGTTTGGGGGGGAGCAGGAGACAGGCGGAGGCATCTGAGAGTGGACGTAGTGTGGGGGAGTGGTCGACTGGTACACGTAGGTGGTACAAAAAAATTGCAGAGGTAGTTCGGGACACTGGCGATTCCTGTAGTAGGGCGGAGAATGGTATCCCTTTTGATGGAGATTGTTGGGATTGCTCATGAAACAATAGTTGTGTTGATTCTGGTAATTGATAAACCCGCTTCTATTCTCAGTGTTGCCATCGGAGGTACTTCTGGTGGGCGAAGTTTGGTCTTTCTTACCGTACCTGGAGTATGACTTGGCTGGGGTGGACTGTGTGCTGGAGGGAGGACTTTGTACATTGCACGAGTCCACGTTTCTCTCCTTCAACACATCTACTGACTGTAAGAATAGTGACAACCGTTACTTAACATGCTGTAAAGTAAATCACATTACCTAACATGTTATAAAGTAAATCACATTACCTAACATGTTATAAAGTAAATCACATTACCTAACATGTTATAAAGTAAATTGTGTGACTTAACCCCTTGTGAACCAGATTGCCTCAGGAGCTGAATAAATTTGCCTGACGTTAACCAAACAAAAAATTGGAATTGTCGTCCCCAAAGTGAAGGTGTTAAGGACAATTATCATCAAGTTGGAGGTTGTAATCCATTCTGGTAATGACTGTTATACTAAGGGGTTAGGGGACCTGAAAAATCCTTTGATAAGTGATCGATCATATATCAATATTAATAACTTATGGAGGAAAACAGGTTCTGTGCCCGAGAGCCTTAACAAGCTCTATATCCTGCTGCTGTAATAATTAAAAAATGTCTAAATACAACAAGATCCTCTAAGTCAAAAAACCTCATAAGTCGGACAAGCTCTGGCTGTTACTCAATAAACGGACATAATATCAATAAATTTATACAAAATAAAGACAAAAACAATAAATTTATATAAAACAAAGATTTATTTTCATTCATATTACATGATAATGACGTACGTCTACAGTATTATGTTGTGATCCCCAGCGGCCACTACAAGTAATTTGGTGTAAACATAAATAATTACCTTCTTTCTTTTTGAACTGTTACATGTGCACACAATCTTCCAGACAGAATGTACCAAAAAAATATCTAATAAAAAATAAATAAGTATTATCATAGAGTCAAAAACATATAAGATGCACCCCCCCCCCATTATAGCAGGGAGTATTTAGGAAAATATTTTGTGTATATTCCTCCTGTAGCCATAGTTTTCTTATATCAATATTTACAGTACCAGTAAATGTGAGGAATAAATACAAATAATACCAAAAAATAAGTTAGAACAAAAAATACTACAGTATATTGACAATCCAGAAAATAAAAGCCAAGTGAAAGTTTAACACAGTCACCATTTGCATATACAGTACAGTAAAGCCTCGAATAACGATGTTAATGTGTCCTCCAATATTGCAGTGTAAGGCGAGTTGTCTTATCGCGAATCATTAATTACCATTAAAATAAAGCAATAATAATGAGATGCATTCCCAAGTGTGACCTTTTCATATCTTTTGTGAGGCTTTTTACCCTCTTTTCCCCAAAAAACAATACAAGTACCGTAATGAAAAGTAAAAACTATATTCTTTAAATAATTTTTCTGAATTCACCTTATACAATATAAATGAATTATAATATGGTCACACAAGAGGAGATGGGACGCCATTGTTTTCGTTTGTGTTTACAGCCGGGAGTTCGGGACGATAGTTCTACACGAGAAAATGAAGAAAATAAGAGCCTGGTTGTAGCTGTAGTAAATTTAATGTAAAAAAATAATATATATGTTTTAAGTAAAGTTATTTAATGTTAATAAATGGAACAATCAAAGTAACTAACCACTAATGGCAAAGAAAAAAAAAAAGAGATGGATTGGGAACGCCAACATAAACGTGCGCACTCAAGGATACCGCATCATTTATCTTAAGAATATGTACAAAAGATTCATTATTGTTTATTACTGAATGTGTATTTGATTGAATTAATCTTTATATATGCGAAATGAACAATACAATTCATTAATACGTAGAATATTAAAACACACAAGAGGATAAGAGACAACATTGTTGTCAGTGTTTACACCCAATGTATACTGTACGTGCGCACTCAAGGAAACAGCGTCATTTATCTTAAGAATATGTACAAAAGATTCATTATTGTTTATTACTGAATATGTATTTGATTGAGTTAATGTTTATATATGTGAAATGAACAATGCAATTCATTACTAATACAAAGAATATTAAAATACACACGAGGAGACAAGACGGCATTGTTTTCGTGAGTGACAATGGTTCTACATAAGAAACTGAAGAAAATAAGACCCTGGTTGTAGCTGTAGTGAACTTAATTTTTAAAAATTGAATACCTGTATGTATGTTTTAAGCAATGTTATTTAGTGTTAATAAATGGAACACTAAGAGTAGCTAACCACTAATGGTGAAGAAATAAGGTGAGACGATTGGGAACGCCAACGTATGAACAGTAAGTGCGTACACAGGGCCAGATTCAGGAGTGGGCAAAGTGGGCAGCTGCCCAGGGGCCTCCACAATCTGGGGGCCTCCACATATCAGGGCTGGTCGACTTGAAACCACATGAATGACTCCAGTCATGTCTCACTTTTGTGTGTGTGTGTGTGTGTGTGTGTTGGGAATTTGTACACTATCAATAAATATACAGCTAATTAAAAATTTCTCAATGTTCTAATTTCCTCAATACAACTGCATATGGCTTCAAAATTCCCCAAAGAAGATGTTTAGGCTCGCTTCACTCGCCACCCCACCCTCTCGGGTAGTTATAATGAGGGGGGCCTCCACAAAGAGGATGCCCATGGGCCTCCACAGGTCTAAATCCGGCACTGTGCGTACATGTGAAAACGTATCGTCATTTCTTAACATATGAATATGAAAGCAGCACTTATTTACTGTTCATATATATTTTAAATAATATTTACGAATGTAAAACTAAAATTCTGTTCACCAGAGGCAGTAAAGTCTTAACATAAGGACAGCCAATGAATACAGTATTGTGCGAGTTTTTACTCAGATGACGAAGTCATCAGGTTCAACTCTAGCTGTAGCTTTGCATAAAGCTGTTGCTGAAACTGTTACTGAACCTGAAGTTGATGGTGTAGCTGCTTATGATGCTGAATTTGATGGTGTAGCTGAAGTTGATGGTTTAGGCCTTCGAATAATAAAGCTTTCGAATGAACCTAGCACAGCTGCTTTCTTTTCTCATTACACATTTTTATGTAGAGGTCATTTGCATTTATTCAAATTTTAAGGCTTTGTTCTGTTAATGGATCCACTCCAAAAAATATGTTCATTGCTTGCTCCATATAATATCCAAAGACCTCTCACCTTTTTCATATCGTTTTAGCACATCTAGTTTCTTGGCTAAGCTTATACACTTTCTATTAGCTTTTGAAACAACACTACCATCACTTGCTCTCTTGCTCATGCTGAATAGGGATGAAAAAATGCTGTAAGAAACCCGAGAAAGTTTTTCTCCTGATCCTGTTCCAGATGCATGAAAACAAAAGGCCCGCCAAGCTCAGAGTGTTGTTTACCACTCATTAGCAAGGCAGCTTCTTTGCTCAAGGCGCTCTTTATCTTTTTTTACAGTAATTTTTTTTTATAATACATATCGGGATTTAGTTCTTATTTCCCTGAAAATGTAATTTTATTTTATTTTTATTATATTTTGGTCGTAAATACGAATGAAATAAGGATGTAAACTGAATTGAGTCCTAAATTATCTAGGGTTTCAAATACGAAAGTTGTTGGACGAATCGTTGTTATCCGAGGCTTTACTGTACAGGGGCCCCCCAAATTTGCGGGGGTTAGGTTCTCAAAATGGCCGCTAATCGCCAAATCCACGAATAATACAGTATTTATAAAATACAGGTAAAAGAAATAGCTGTCCTAAGGGCAAACACATAAAGGGAATATACATTTCTTTGTACACAAGTAACCCCCCAGTCTACAAATGTTATTCGCCATTTTGAGAACCTAACCCCCGCGAATTTGGGGGGGCCCCTGCACTAAGTTAAGTTATGGTGGTTAATCTTAAAGTAAAATAAGCTGAGGTGAGTTAACTACAAGTGATCCCTTATTACACAAAACAACAACACTATTTCCCACACAAACCTTTAACATGCCAGACGGTGTTGAGTTTGGCCGTTGTATCTGGTCCAGGTCAAGACTCTCCATGGAGTTCTCCTTGGAGCTGTCCCCAAAAGAGGCGATGGTAAAGCACGACCCCTTCTGCTCACCAAACCTGCAGCAAACTTCCTCCGGGTCCACCCATATTGTCAGTTCCACTGGCAGTTTCAGATCGTTGTACTTGAGGCCGCAGTCTCTCGCAGCTTGTTCTATGGTTGGTTCTTTCCTCGTATTATTGTTCATTCTGTTGTAGGGATAAGTTTCCTTTAGTTGTGGGGTGCTGGAGTTAGAGTGGTAATGAACCTTTCACTACAATGAGAGGGACTGGACCATGGCCCTCACTACCAAACATGGCAAGTTAACTCTGGGTACTACACTTTACTCCTGTACTAACACTGAACCATGTGGGTCTTAACAAGGTAACCACGACCAATAGTCTCAATAAACTGATAACTGTGGAAATAAAGTATTATAAACTAAGAAAACACTTCTCCCGCTCATTGAGTTTTATGGGATCACCTATAGATTAGCCCCACCTCATATGACATATCCTAATGCTACTTGGGTTAGATTAAGTTAGTATTAAGGCAGTTAATAAGGTGAGGACTGGATGCTAACCACTTAGGTGTAGGTTAGGTTTGGTTATGGGATCTATAGTCTGTTCACTCAAAGCTTACAACTGAGGCCTAGGGTCAGTTTATAGCAAGGCAGATGACTGGTTGGCAGACACACCCAAGGAATCATAAGAGGTCTTTAGTACTGTATTTAATTTATTGTATTTATATCAGGATATTTTAAGGGATAATAACTCTTAATTGTTCATCTCTGATAATTTCCAAAACTGGGGAAGCAAAAATTAGCTACTGAAATGCCCTGGTAACATAAATATCTTGATGACCACAAGAAAAGGATTACAAAATTTCAGCGACATTCTCCACAACGAGGAGGAGGAGGCATATACGTCCCAGAATTTGTTCATGTGTGTGTTCTCTTCATGATATGTTCATTACGTAATGAGTTTCACACTACTAATATTAAAGTCATTTGTTGCTCTAAAATAATTATTAACTTTGTTGCTCTAAAATAATTATTAACTGAATAACCTTTCATACAAATGGGCAACACTGGCATAAATGTGGTGAGTATAATTATTTTACATAACACTGTACTGTACTTTTTTCATTTGTTATTCATTTCAGCCAAACACAATTAATATATACTGTGCCTATTAATTTTGATGTCCAATTTTAAATCCATAAATTGTTCCTGCATGTCCCTGAGCAATAATCCAGCAGTATGTCATTATTTTGTTTCAAAATATATTAATATTTTAACTACTTGTTCATAATTTGTTCACACAATATTCTTATGAAAAACTGTGTTAGCATTAATTCATTTCTGTTGCTACTTAACATTGTGTTCCACCTCCATAAAAGAGTCTGGTAGCTGCCAGATACCACTTTCTGATTTAAAGTTTCTGCAAATACTGACAACATTTTATTAGGGCAATTTTACAACTGGCATCGTAACAATTTAAGTCAAGTATTTGGGCGATGTCACACGCGTAAATACGGTACACGCGAGACTCCCCGATAACGTCCACCAAGCTCACCTTAAACAACGATAGCCCTGGCCCTGCCAAGGTCGCTCAGGATGCCAGTGGTTCCTATATCGTTCCTCTAACAACTCCTTCAGCCTCTTCTCAAACTTGGACATGGCGTCGTCTGTCACTTTGGCACTTCCCCTTACAAGTTTGGATAAGAAGAGTGTGGCGGCGCTTATCTCGTCTTTCATGGTGGGTTATATGGCAGCGTTCCTGAGAATAAGTCAGCTTGTGTAGTAGCCGGGGGCAGATCACACACATGAGTGATGACACTTGGGGGTTCTTCTTCCTCTACCTTCCAACCTGTTGACCAAATAAAACAATAAACACCGACCTTCGCACACAGTACAGGAATGATAGTCAGTAAAGATTCGTTTTTTGCCATAATGAGATTAACCAAAATAGCTTTGCTTATGGTTTTTGTGGTGATTTGAAAGAAAATAACTGCTATATTCACCAGTAAACTTTCTTTATAAGCGATAATTGTGACCCCTTCAACACTAACAAAACAAAAAATAGTTTCTTACAAAGTGGGCAGCAGGGCTTTAAAGATAAGAGAAAATGTTGTTAAAATAAAAAATAAAATAAATAAATAAATCTTTTGAGGCCCTACCTAACCTTCCCTAACCTATATTATAACCTACTCTACCAAAAAAAATCATATCTTATTTACCTAGTGGCAGCGCATCTTATTTACCTGGTGGATGCGCATAAAGTGATTCTGTGAACCTGATTTCGTACACAATAAAATATGTTTAACGGTACATATTTTAACGGGATATTTTAGGCATACATCTTTCACATGAGCTTCACGTGTTCTCCTATGGGTGATTTAAGCATTAGCAAAAAAATGTTCTATCAGTAACCATTCATGATATGGCTCCTTTGTGACAAAAACACCGAAAACGAGAAGAGAATAATCACTTATGTTCTTCCTTTAGTTAAATTAGATAAGTTCTGGGAGGGTCAGGTCGGGTCGGGTCAGGTCAGGTCAGGTTCTGAATTGTTTGTTTGGTGTTTTTTATCCCACAGTTTCCCCTCATCTTCAAAACTGTCCATTTTATGCAAATCATTGTCATGTCCCATTCATTAAGCATAAAATTTGGAAATAAAGGTCATATTCTTTCACATCACCATTGATAACATAAGGAAAACCTATTAGGGTTATTTGAGGTACAGTATACAGGGTAGGCTTTACCTGCCTTGTAAAAGATTCAATTCCAATTATGACATAACAATGAATCTTTAACTGATACACTTTTGTCGCATCACCACAAGACTAGTCGCAGATTATTTCACCCGATGATCAAGCACCCTATACCATCGGTTCCCAAACACGGTCGCAAGGTGCATAATAAGGGGTCACTGGAGCCACCTGGGTCTTGCAGCGGTCACATGTGATTTTTCTTAGTCTAGGTGTGAAGGAGCGAAGGACGTGGTCTATAGGTGCCACTTCGTTAAGTCAGGATCACAAATTATGGTCAAGGGATTAAAGCAGTTACTCTCCTTGTGTCAGGTCAGGTCAGGTCAGTCTTGCCCTGATGACACGTTACACAACCTAAGTTCCACACTGAACTGTTCTCAGCTCAGTTCACTCTCTGCTTCCCATGGATGTAGACAGAAAATGGCAGCAAATTTCAACGATAGATTTCCACGAGTTACTTACCGAGTCCATTCATTTTGTTCAGTGTGGCTCTTTTGTCCTCTAAATGGTAGAACAAGAGACAAGCTAACAATGAGCCAAGGGTGAATTATGACGTCTATGATGACAGTAAAGTTTTGGGTGAATTTATCAATGAGACATTCAGTGGTTAAAGGTCAAGGTTCTGGTACAATTTGGAAGCATCTATGTCTGTGAGGCAGCTTCCTCATCAATGGTGATTATAAATAATTATTACCATAACTGTACAGTACAGTATATCAGACTTTAACTTAGATAATTGTAAGTTATGTTGCTTAACCACATACAGTAATTATACCCCCAAGTATTGAACATTATATGATGGTATAAACATGAGAGTTGTAACCTGTTTCTGCCAGTGTTTACTTTTAGCCAATCATATTGATGTGTTTCATAACACTCCCCAGCGCTGCGCTCTGATCGACGCCTACGCTCGGAGTTTGTACATTGTGCGTCACATGGTCCAGGCGGCTCCTTTATGTCCACAAAAAGCATAAAATTACACCATAACATAGCACGTTCTTTCTGCTTAGGTAATTATTAACGACTGATCCATCACCGATTTTTCATAGAAAACTATTAAAAAACATCACAATATCACTGTTTTACGGAGGACACTGTCATAGTTTGTGTAAATGTGTTAAAAAAAATGGTAATTTGTAATTTAAACCTAACTTAACCAAAGTTAATAAGAAAAACAAGCAGCAGAAACGATGTTAGAAGACCTCTCCAATCTAACCAAACAAACCTACCTAACCTTACCTAACTTCCTAGCACTGGGGCTCTTCCTTCGGCATATTAAAGAGGTAATTATTAACGACTGATCCGTTGCCGATTTTTCTTAGAAAAAAATTAAAAACGCTGCAATTTCACTGTGTTTTATGGACGGCACTGTCGTAGTTTGAGCAAATGATTTTGGTTAATATATAGGACTAACCCGCAAGGGCTGCATAGCGCCGATGCGGTCGTATCACCTCGCATCCAGAAAATGCCTCAAATTTCACCATATCATAGTAAGTTCTTTCTGTTTAATATACCGGGGAAATTAGGTAAGGTTATGGAGGTTTGTTTGGTTTGGTCTGTTCTTCATAGCCACAAATGTTAATTAACGTTTATTTTAAAAATATCAAATTTTTAGCATATTTCCACAAACTACAACAATGTCCACTATAATATAACAATGAAAATCCGGCGTCTTTAAATTTTGTTTCCAATCAATTTTGCTCGCAGGTTAGTCCAATATAATTACCATGATTTTTTTAAGCCTACATATCTACCAAACGAAGCATTTGCATAAGAAATTTTCTATCAATAACATGGTGAAAATAAGAGAAAGAAAATAAACACTAAAACAAATAACTGGTTTGCTGGTCAGCCATTAATATTAACCGTTTTCTAGAAATAGAAGTTAGGACATAGGTAATGTTAGCACATAATTTCAGCCACTTTTTTTCCAAACATAATACAGTATTCTCTGGGTATTTTTTAACCAATTTTCAATTTAAAACAACAAACGCTCTTGATCCGAATAATTACCAAATTACCTTAGTACAGAAAATCACAAATTTTTCTTTTTTTACTAATTTTAACATTACAGTTCAGTCAGTAGTGCTAAAACCAACCAATGTCTGATAGTTTTATATCACACACAAGAAAAGAGACTTAATAAAGAGATTAAAAAGGTATTAATAATAGATCAAGTTGTTGAGATAATTAAACCATCTTGTAAAGTATATAGTTCCATAATCCTTAAAAGTTCACTAAACACCTCCACACTCACTCGTGCACTACTTCACTTTATCATAACACTAAACCCCAGCACACAGCACACCAGGGATAATAATACAGTTATTACGCTGTACTACACAAAGACGTTGTTTACTATACATCAACCTCGTGTTGGTTCACCCATAAACACCACCACTATAAATCTCCATATTTTGCCTTATTTTTCCGTTATTTACGTCAGGTTAGTCTTCTTGTGTACACTAAATCTTCTTTTCTTTAATGGGGTTATATATGAGTGGAGGAATATGCTCTTAGCGCCATATAAAACGGTTAAAACTGCGTAAAACCTCACCAATCAAATCTCTTCCACTTTCCTCGGCCCTGATGACATCTGCTAGCAGGTAAAATAACGCGGGGACTTACATCCACCAATCGCAAGCCTCGGCACAGTACACATAACCAATCACAGCCTCTCTATTATGTCGCTTGAGTAAGACATTCTTTACAGATGTGCCACATATAGTGTTACTGCGCACATTATAGGCCAGATAACGGTGTGTTTTATGGAGACGTGGCACCGTTGGGTCATTGCTTGTGCATGTACCGTAGACCAAAACAGACGCCACTGATTGACTGATGATGGGGTATAATCCACTGTTGACTGAAGTACATCCATTTTATTCACTCATTACCCACTTTCTATAAATTACTCTCATTTAATTCCAAAAAGAACACATTAATTACTAAATATCCAAGATAAATTACCATAATTCTCTCAAAATGAAAACACAATATGTGTCTTGACATTTTTCTTTACAATTCTCCATATTGTGTCTATCTAATTTCCTCTAATTACCATAAAATGCAGTTCAGAAATAAGTAGGTTTTATTACTCCCAGATAAGTTTTCATAATTATCTCAAGGTGATAAGATACAATGGCGATAAAAAAAACACAATCAAGGTGAATCCTTGGTGAATATTTTGATACCGTGAGATAGGTGATAAGCATTAGGTAAAATCGTCATGCACGGTTACATTAACTATGCCGAGGCAAGGAGCTCTATAGCCAGTGGCCTGTGTTTTGTGCATCATCGTAATCGTCGGAAATTTCGTATTAATAATATATCAAGGATTTTTTAATAGCTATGAAACTAAAACCAAAATATATTATAAGGAATTATGATTTTTTTGGCACCACAGACCAGTCTCCACTTTCTGCTTTTGAGCTGCCTCCTTAAATATGATTTTCGTTAATATTGTGATAAATAATAGCGTAATTTAGTTGAGAACAGTATTAGTTGTGTGACGCGTGGTGAATGAGAGAGCAAGTCACACTACATACATGAGTGTACTGTACGCGCTACTTACCCTCACTCTATCAGCGTATCCTCAAACTCAAGAAGATTGTTTGCATCATCTGTTGTAAACACTGAGGAAAAACTGTTTCATGTTCCCGCCTTAACCTGATCAGTCTGCCCAACTATCATCTTCAAGCCTCAGGTCAGGTACGCCGACACGTGTTTTTAATTTCGATTTTGCATAACGCTAGAAAGCCTACAGCAGATTTTATCGCTGGAGCTGATTGCTTGGTAGAATAAGATACATTCAGGTAATATGTTGCTCTGTATTATTTATTTTCTTATTTTCTACAATTGTAAATAATATTAAGTGTTGATACATATAGAGGAACTAGTACTACAATCAATTAATTTCAGTCTCTGTGACTGCTGCGCCATCTCTCGAGACACATAATAAACGTACATGGTGCTTTAAGAGAACGGATTTATTTTACTATAACTTTCTTTTTACTATTTACGACGTCAAGGTTCCTCATCATAGAAAACGTTTAGATATCGCGTGAACGATCTTGTTCATTAGCAGTAAACGTTTTTATCCTTATCATACATTGCATAAATATACATGATTGTATTTTTTAACTTTTATCCTCTTCACCACTGATCGGCTTGTTAGCCGCCCGGGCGATCGGTCACGTCTCTGTTACACACTGTTGGCAAATACTGGGCATGCACCGGCTCCTGAATGTACCTGAACCCGCTCCAGTGTTGGTCAAGTCTTGTCTTGAAAGAGCTCACACTCGGTGCCGTCACAACACTCTCTGGTAGATTGTTCCAAGAGTTTACAACTCTCACTCCGAAAAAGTTTGCTCTCACGGTTTTCTGGCCTTGCGGCTTCTTCAATCTTGAGCTGTGACCCCTTGTGGGGCGAGCGTCCGCCAGCTCCAAGTAAGGACACTCAACTGAGTAGCGCCCCCTGAGATGCTTATACACCTCAATTAGGTCGCCCCTTGCCCGTCTGTAGTATGAGCTCGGCAAGTTCAGGCGCTCCAATCTCTCAGGTTATCTGAGGTGCCGAAGTGCAGGCACCAGTCTGGTGCCCAACCCATACCGATGATTTACGGATTATGGTTTATAGACAGAATTTCACAGAAATAAGGTAAATGGGACCGTTGTTTGCTTATGTATATATTTATATATTTATTTGTTCATGAACAAATACACTGCCCTGTGGTATCCCGCTTGTGACAGGTACAGATGATGATTTCGTGCCATTAATCACCACACACTGCTTGCGGTCATGTAGAAAGTCTTCTATCCACGCTTGGACATTTCCCAGAAGTCCGTACCCTTCCAGTTTGATTTTCAGCCTTTCATGGGGTACACTGTCAAAAGCCTTGGCAAAATCTGGGTATATATTGTCGATATTACCACCCTGTTCCAGAATATGGGTCCAAATATCCAATACCTTGAGCAATTGTGTTAAGCAGGAACGCCCCCGGCTGAAAACCGTATTGGCAATCCTTTACAAGGTTGTTTCGTAGTAGATGTTCCATCGCGGCATTTCTGATAATACTCTCAAGTACTTTACATATTATGCTGGTCAGGCTCACCGGTCTATAGTTGTTCGTGGAGTGACGATCGCCCTTCTTAAAGATACACACCAAGATCACATGAACTCCTTTTTCATGCATCGCCTTACCGTTGTCCGTCTTTAGGGAAGAAATAAAATGTTAGATTTCTGTTATTCCTCGCGTGTTTCCCGCACACCACAGCCCGTGATCATGTTGCTCGGAAGCCATGATTGTATCTGCCGCCACTTAAGGAAAAATATCAGAGACGTGCCCGATCGCCTAAGCGGCTAACGAGCCGATCAGTGGTCAAGAGGATACAGTAAAAAAACCCGCCAAAGCCCATCCTACACGTGACGTCACAAACGTAAACAAACAGACGGTAGAGACATCTGCAGGGGAGTTTGTTCATTAGTGGGAGTCAATTGGTAGTCCATAGAAGAGCTACGTCCTGTGCATCTTCCTTGCTGATAGTACTGTTTGCTTGGTTTCCCCAAGGGAATATTTTTTCCCTAAATTTATTTTTGAAACTCCCCCAAAAAGCTTCCAATTATCCTATAATATCCTATATCCTTTTCTTCAGTGGTGTAAATTCTGTCGCTATCACAATGTGTTATTTGCGGTTTTTACCAATAATCCATTAATAAATTTATAAAGGCATCACTCAAAATGATGCCAGATCTCTCCACCATCTCCAAATCAAATGAGAAACCTCTTGCTTATTCTCTATATATTTGCAACCATAGATTACTATATTGATGTTTTACATATACAAATAATTAATAATAATTGCCTAATGCGATGGAAATATACGCCAACCAAGATAATAATGGAATTGGCATAATAAATTGAGAAAACAGTCAATCATTCCAACGTCAAATTGCTCTAACATTTATTTCCTTACTACTGCAAAGTAAAACAATGATAACCCTAAAATATGATTAAAATATCCTAAACAATCCTTCGCTGCCCTAGATTTTGCAACATATTTGTTTTCCCAAAATTTCACCCTTTAGAAGATCTAAATACCCTAAAATGGGGTATTTTAATTTATTACCCAAAAGCGGAAACACTGACTGTCTGGGCCCTATACTGCACCAAGGATACGTTTGAGCCACGGGGTGTTTGAGCCACGGACGTTTAAGCCACGGTCGTTTGGGGCACGGACGTTTAAGCTACGGATGTTTGGTCCATAGATGTTTGGCCACGGTACGTTTGGTTTGGACCACGGACGATTAAGCCATGGACGTTGGGCCACGGAAGTTTGGGCCAGAGAGTGTTGTGACGGTGTAGTGGATCTCTCCCCTACAACAGCGTAGCCGCATCCCATAGCAATGGAGTTCTGCCAAAGCGTAGTCGTCTAGAGTCGCGCAAGTTTCACTGACTAGTCTCCGTTCCACGTGCAGCTGTATCTAAGCTCCTATTCTCGCCGTGTAGAGGCATTCAAACTGGAGGCCAGCAACACGCAACACCTCCTCTAACGAAGCTCCTGCACAGCAATCCCTCAACACAGGACCTCTGAGCAAGCTTCTCACCACACGGCAACTCCCTAACACTGCACTGTACTTACAGTATATACGTAAAGAAAACGCAATTGTGAGTTTCTCTCCTACCTCGTCCTGAATCTGGGATATCTTCTGGCCACACATTCAGTACGCCACAACAGCACCGAGTGTGAGCTGTTTCAAGACCAGACTTAACCAACACTGGAGCAGGTTCAGATACAATCAAGAGCCAGTGCATGCCCAATACTTGCCAACAGTGTGTAATAGAGAACCAGTTCATGCCCAGTACCTGCTAAGAGTGCGTAATAGAGAACTAGTACATGGCCAGTACTCGTCAAGAGTGAGTGATAGAGAAACAGTACTTATCAACAGTGAGTAATAGAGAACCGGTACATGCCCAGTACTTAAAGCGTAAGAGAACCAGTACATGCCCAGTACTTCCTTTTCCTTTATTGTCAACATAACTGTATGTGTGTGCGGTAGACTTAATGACAGTGTAAACATCCTCTATACGAGCGGATTTCCCTTACCAGATAAACTTAATAACTTATCACTACATATCTCTCTCTATCTGTAATGTACTGCGCTTTATGTTTATACGGTCCCTGCACTATTTGTGTGTATGATTATCTTACTATGATAATTTTTACTGAATATCTATCTATTTATCTGTCAGTCCTTATATTTATCTATATGTTATATCTACCAATTTGTTTTTGTTAATTTCCTAACTATAACCTTTAAGAAACATATCCATTAAAATTGAATATAAATAATATATTGTAGTTACAGTACATTATTATTATTAATTATAGTAATTATAATTATTAGTATCAATTATATTTCGTAATAGCTATGGAGAGCCACTTTTATCTCTTGATGCAATTAGTAGAGGAAATAGAGCCAAAGAGAGCGATAATAGAGGTAAAAGTAGAGGAACATTTAGACAGAAAATTCAAATTTACTTTCGTTAATTGTACTTTTATGTCTTTCAACATATGCTAAATGTTTCTAAGTATTATAAATAGAGGTAATAGAGCCACAGAGCGCGAGATAATAGAGAAATATAGTTAGAAAGTATAGGAGTGCGCAGCTAGGGAGTCACTTGGGTCAGTCAACAACAAAGTGTGGATTCTCGTCCGTCTTTCTTTCTTGGTGATTTGGTGGGAAAGGGACGATCACTTTAAATCCTTCATCCACGCCATTAACAAGTTTCTCGCGTCCATGATTATACCCAATTAAATACTCAACCCCTGGAGAAAATAGGAATTCTATATTGTTTGAGGAAAAGTGAGAATGTCAATCGCTGGGAGTGAAAATTATCACGGTTACTCTGCGACCGTCTAGGCGGCTCGGCCATATTGATTACGCGTTGACTGGTACAAGGTGTGTTTTTTATCATCGTCCATCGGCTCTGGTTTTATTCATCGGTGAGTATGATGGCGTTTATTATAATGGTAGAGGCGTGAGGGAGCTAGTTCCTGGGTAATGGAATAGGTGAAGGGAAAGGAAAAGGTGATAATGGGGGTAATAAAGGAGGTCAATAGAAGGAGGGGTTTGACTCAGCTGATATGACAACTACATTATTTACTCGTATTTTAACCATTAATAATTATCTTATGGATATATTGCCCTCGAATAAACGTGGAATATACACGTCAACCAGAAGCATTTAATATATTCACCAAGGAAGCTCAATAATAGAATGTAATACGTAAATTATTTCACCCGTTCTTATTTAATTCTTCAGTTACTCATAGTAAATAATATCTATCTAGTATGTAAAAAAAAATAAAAAAATACTAATTGGATTTTGAAATATTTGTAGTTTATATTTTTAGGCATTAAGATGGAATTATACGTACTTAAACTAATTGTGAAGCTTGAACAATAATGTACTTGTAAATTACTGATAAATCAATGACAATTCTTATTCACAAAAACAAATAAATACGTTTTGGTAAATTTCATATTTTTTTTTGTATTGAACTAAATATTTGTGGAGTAGAGGTCAGCTGATTCTTTGTTTCTGTCAGTTGACTTTTTTTTAGCTTTGGGAAAACGCCAACCCCTTTTGAGGACGATGGTTAAAGCTAATATTTGATGATGGTTTAACCCAATGCTTGAGGGTGATGGTTTAACCCAATGCTTGAGGGTGATGGTTTAACCCAATGCTTGAGGGTGATGGTTTAACCCAATGCTTGAGGGTGATGGTTTAACCCAATGCTTGAGGGTGATGGTTTAACCCAATGCTTGAGGGTGATGGTTTAACCCAATGCTTGAGGGTGATGGTTTAACCCAATGCTTGAGGGTGATGGTTTAACCCCAACCAATGCTTGAGGGCGATGGTTTAACCCTTGCGAGGGCGATGGTTTAACCCGTTTAACCCAATGGCAGGGGCGATGCGTTTAACCCAATGCTTGAGGCGATGGTTTAACCCGGCAATGCGAGGGCGATGGTTTAACCCAAGCAGGGCGATGGTTTAACTTGATGCTTGAGGGCGATGGTTTAACCCAATGGAGGGCGATGGTTAACCCAATGCTTGAGGGCGATGGTTTAACCTGAGGGCGATGGTTTAACCCAATGCTTGAGGGCGATGGTTTAACCCAATGCTTGAGGGCGATGGTTTAACCCAATGCTTGAGGGCGATGGTTTAACCCAATGTTGGGCGATGGTTTAACCCAATGCGATGGTTAACCAATGCTGATGGTTTAACCCAATGCTTGAGGGCGATGGGTTTCCCCTTGAGGGCGATGGGCGATGAGGGCGATGGATGGTTTAACCCAATTGAGGGCGATGGTTTAACCCAATGCTTGAGGGCGATGGTTTAACCCAATGCTTGGCGAGGGCGATGGTTTAAGCTACAGTATAATCCAGGATTAGGTTAACCCAATGTCTTCGAAGGGATAAGTGTGTAGCAGAATGCCATCTTGACCACTGTTTGAGGCAGTGTACTTATACCTGCCAAGTGCTAGGTTAGGTTAGGGGTTGTTAGGTTAGGTTAGGGGTTGTTAGGTTAGGTTAGGGGTTGTTAGGTTAGGTTAGGGGTTGTTAGGTTAGGTTAGGGGTTGCTAGGTTAGGTTAGGGGTTGCTAGGTTAGGTTAGGGGTTGCTAGGTTAGGTTAGGGGTTGCTAGGTTAGGTTATTGGATATTATAGATGTTCCCTTGAAGACGTGAGGTTAATGTATTGTCTAGTTGTGGAACCATTATACGCACATATAGACGAAAGCTAAGGTGCATTGTTTCCCGTTTTCCTGTGAGATTTTATCAAGACATACACGCTAGGTATTTCGCATCCAGGTAAATAGGGAGGCTTATAATTGTGTTGGAAGGGATACCAGAGGCTGTATCTTGTTTAGTGAGTGGTGGAGCTTCAGGAGCTGTTAAATGTGTTCCTGATTTGTGTGTTGGTACAGTACTCTGTTGGCTGGCTGGCTGGGGTGTGCTAGTACTCTGGTGTTGGCTGGCTGGCTGGGGGTGTGCTAGTACTCTGGTGTTGGCTGGCTGGGGATGTGCTAGTACTCTGGTGTTGGCTGGCTGGCTGGGGATGTGCTAGTACTCTGGTGTTGGCTGGCTGGGGTGTGCTAGTACTCTGGTGTTGGCTGGCTGGCTGGGGTGTGCTAGTACTCTGGTGTTGGCTGGCTGGGTGTGCTAGTACTCTGGTGTTGGCTGGCTGGCTGGGGGTGTGCTAGTACTCTGGTGTTGGCTGGCTGGCTGGGGGTGTGCTAGTACTCTGGTGTTGGCTGGCTGGGGTGTGCGCTAGTACTCTGGTGTTGGCTGGCTGGGTTGTGTTAAGGCCCTAAATGACTAGTATATCGACTTCTTTACCCAATGTGTTCCTAATGACCCCATGAGGTGCTTAAATATCCTTGGATGTGTGTTTTGTTTTGAACCATACATGCACAAGAGATCGTTTATTTATCTCTTGGGGTTAACTGCATCATGCTGTCCACTGCTCGGCACACAGACTTAGTTGTTGTATGATTAGGTTCTAATATTGAAGTAATCTAGTTGCCTGTTATTGTATGGTGGATGTACTGTACTGGCGAGTCAGTCACTTGGTACTTCATACACAGAGCCTGGCCCATAGTCTGGGTACAATATAGTACTGTAATGTTATATTGATATTGTACCAGCTACTGATAGTAAAGGTAAATAGTCAATTTGGTCAGAAGTTAGAATTGGTTTGTTACAAAGGATATTAGTGGTAGTGTGTAACAGTCAAGTCACCAAGTACTGTACTCCTGTAAGTGTGAATAGTGTACATTATAGTAATTGTTATACTGTACTTAAATCATCCTGCTGCTGTCTCTGGTCTGCTGCAGTACTACACATATTGTTGTTAGCTGTGAAAACTTTATTTTGCAGTGAGAATATTGCTAAATTAATTTTTTGAAGTGACCATTTTGGGTCTGCATTTTGATGAACTGCAATATATTTTAATGACACATTAATCTGAGTTTTACATTCTAATTAAAAAAAAATTCTATTTTTTGGTAGAAGTTAGTAGAAAGTACTGAAGAAGATAAGAGAAATACTGTACAGTATTTAGGGCTCGGATTAGAGGTAACCTGTTAAACTTGGAACGGGCTTTGTCAGTAATGAGTGAGAAAATGAATTTGCCATTGCTTTGCAAAAACCTAACCTAACCTAACCTAACCTAACAATTTTCCAGTTCCAAAATTTTAAATGAGAAAATATTGACCAATAATTTTCCAGTGAGAAAGTATAAGATGTTTTGTTGTTACAGGGAAGCAGTGGGGTTGTGAGGTGACTGAGAGTGAAGCATGATGGCAGATATGGCCACTATCCCCAACCATACCTCACCCATGAAGGCCATCATCAACAACCAGGTTGTCAAGTAAGTCTTCCCCTCCTACATACCTCTCTCCTCTAATCTTGGTGCTGCTATAGTGTGCTCTACAGCATATTTACACTATAGACTGCACTGTACAACTTGTCCAGTACTTTAGAATGTGTACTATCATTATTTTCTTGGTCCATTTATAGTAGACATAATTCAATATTGGGGGTTTCTTGTTGCTCATGATAAGTTCAGACAAAAATAAGAATTGTTTATCTAACACTTTTCTAGCATTTTGCCCATAACTTGAGATATTATGAGTTGATTATCAGAAAACTACTAGACAAATTCTAAGCTATTCTTGTATGTATGGTCACCAACTGAATCATGGGGGTTTTCTTTTGCAAATAACATTTCAAGACAATTTTCTACAATAAAAGTAAACTACCATTAACAGATTCTACTTGCTGCACCACAAACATTTATGGTGCCAGATATAATAAATACTATATGCTGTACTGTACATTCATGCATTCATTGTTTGCAGACCTGGTGATGACAAGTCTTGGAAAGCACAGATCGTGGTCCCCCCTAGAGACAGAAGGAAACGCACCTCCGACGTGACAGACACTAAAGGCAACGAGTTTGAGGACTTTTGTTTGAAGAGAGACCTGTTAATGGGCATCTTTGAGAAGGGTTGGGAGAGACCGTCGCCCATCCAGGAGGCTTCCATTCCTGTAGCACTTAGTGGGCGAGATATTCTGGCACGAGCCAAGAACGGCACTGGCAAAACTGGGGCCTATTCCATTCCCCTTTTAGAACAGGTAAGCGAGCGTGTAGAAGTGTTGAACAGTATAATGCAACATGGCTCGTATGGTATTGCTAGTGTTATGAGAGGGAACACCACGTATTATAATGTCATGAGGAACACTATATTAAAACACAGCTCCTGCGGCGATGATCGTGACAATAATAATACCTCGTGTGTTTCAGATTGACCCCAGTCAAAACCACATTCAGGCGATGGTGATCGTGCCAACACGAGAGTTGGCCCTGCAGACTAGTCACATTTGCAATGAATTAGCAAAGCATATTGGAGTGAAGGTTATGGTCACGACAGGAGGTACCAATTTAAAGGTTAGTGTCATCCACATCATTGACAGTTATCAGTGTTTTCAATGTTTACACTACTTTTGCCATTCAACAAAATAGTCTCCAGAAAAATTGTATACAGTGCTGTACTGATGATGGTGGGAACATTGGTAATACTTCCCTAGTACTGTACTGCAACTGGATTGTCGTGGGGGTGTGACCTGACCTCCAGGACCAAACTGTAATCCTCCCAACAATCTCTTAAAGCTGTGTGGATCATTTTATTTATGAGGAATGCTTTATGTTTAGCTTGGAGTCTTGAGGAGATAAGTTTGTGTGAGACATCTATATAATGGATTATATGGAGAGGGTGGATCATTATATTGAGGGTCTTATAGATATGAAACCATCTAACAAACTAGAGATGAAAATTCGTTATCAAGGGTTCATTAGAGGTTATATGGAGGTTTACTACCCTAACCTACCCATGGCCTCTACAAGACATAAAAACATTCATTAACCTGATCTCGGTCACTAAACTTCCATCTCGTTTCCTTGTGTTAGTTTCCCATTGCCAAGATTCCATTCTTTAGAGGATATACATTTTTAACGTGTGTTCTGAGCTTGTATTTTATCCTGGTGAATATATTGGTGAACCTCGTAACCTTCTTCCCCTGTAAGACCCCGTTATTGTCCTTGCACGCAGGATGACATAATGAGAATCTACGAGACTGTACACGCTGTCATCGCTACACCCGGAAGGATCTTGGATCTTATGGAGAAGAAAGTAGCAATCATGGATAAGTGCAAGATGCTCGTCCTGGATGAGGTATTGTAAATGCCTTGGGAGAAATTTATTTATTTACATTTTAATTTTGCAACCTTCCTCCAGACATTGGCACTAGGTGTTGGATTTAAGAAAGGACCGTGGAAAGAATTGTTCAAAATATAACCGATTTTCTTTCACAATAGAAAATACTTAATGCTACTACTGTATAGCGTGTGGTCTACAAGATATCTTCGGTCTCGATCTGACCCAACATAAATATCTTGTAGATGGCACACTATAGTAGTACCTTGATGTTTTACCAATGACGAACTTTGTTTTTTCTTTCCCTGGACAGGCGGATAAATTGTTATCACAGGATTTTAAAGGCATGTTGGATCGTGTGATCTCCTATCTGCCCCTAGAGAGACAAGTCCTTCTGTACAGTGCAACTTTTCCCCTCACAGTTGAGCAGTTTATGAAGAAGCACTTAAGGTAGGTTGGGGTCTTGCTTGTTCTGGCGTGTGCGTGTGCATTAAAGTTTAACAGTATATTACAGATACTGTATCTGGTAGTTTTCAGTTTGCTTTCTTGACAATAGATTTATACATTTCTAGACTTATTCTTCTTTTGATGTGACATAAGTTTAACAGGGTGTTGAGGACAGTTGTTGCTGACCCACCCATGAGAGTGTAAAGTTTAGTTCATTTTTGGTTGGTCTGGGATATAGCCAACCCCCTCCTCCCTTATTAGAGCTCCGTAAGGGTACGGCCACACAAGGGTATGTTACGTAGCCAACGAAATGAGGCACAGGGTTCAAACTCTGGTAGGGTGTGGTCGTGGGCTCTTAGACGCGGCATTTCCTGATGTTGGCGACAAAATGTACCCTCGTGTGACCGCACCTTAATGTACCTTTGAACCTGGTAGGAATTGGTTTCCTTTTTCCCCCTGGGATAAAAGTTTTAACATGGGAGGAAGGGGGATATAATTTATAACGTGTGATGGTGCGTTATTCCACTAGTAATGCCTAACCTAACCTGATCTAACCCCCTGTGAGGTCTTCCCGCAGATCACCCTATGAAATTAACCTGATGGATGAACTGACGTTGAAGGGAGTCACGCAATACTACGCATTTGTTCAAGAGCGACAGAAAGTCCATTGTCTAAATACACTATTCTCCAAGGTGAGTTATGTGCCAGCCTTGTATTCTACCTATAAGTGGCAGCCATTGGTGGAAGTTTATATTAGCATTCCACTTTTGGTACCAATTGGGGGATCATTAACCACCAAGCTGGCCTCCCTTCATGTTAAGTTACATTATTTTTATAGTTTCCTTTTGGCTATTTTTAATTTTACCTGAACCTTTTACCATTATCTCTGGTGCCATATGACCTTTGCTGTTGAGGCACTAAGGTAGTAGTCATAATTGCCAATTACCCAGGAATAATGGGGCGTAAACTAAATAGGTCTGAGTTGTAATGGTTTCCAACGTAACCAATTATTTGGAGGGGGGGGGGTGATGGTCAAATGATTAGGCTGGAGTATATTACACGATGATGAATACAGTAGTGGAGTAATACACTATACTGTACTATACAACTGGGAGATGGTTTTTGAATTTTGGGGTCTTGGGAATGGTTTTGTGTTATTTCTGAGGTGCTGCTGTAGATACTGTAGTCACCCACTATCGAACATCAGGGTACAGTACTCTGCCTCTGTAATAATAACTAATGTGACTGGAGTTGATCTGTAATGTGACTAAAGTTAATGTATCTATTCAGTTACAAATCAACCAAAGCATCATCTTCTGCAACTCAACCCAGCGCGTTGAACTGCTAGCCAAGAAAATCACGGATCTGGGCTATTCCTGCTACTACATCCACGCCAAGATGGCCCAGGCTCACCGCAACCGTGTCTTCCATGACTTCCGCGCTGGCCTCTGTAGGAACCTGGTTTGTTCTGGTGAGTACAGTGGGGTGAAAAACTTATCTAACGGACTATGTGGTGAAGAGTGTGTAATGTCGAGGGTCTGTTATGTGAAACCGCCATCTAACGAACTCTATTGAGAGGAAAGTCAATTATATCGGGGGTCAGTTAAACCTCTACCTAACTGAATAGAGGAAAGTCCACTATATCGAGGGTCCATTAGATATGAAACTCTATACTGTAGTGGATTATAAAAAAAGTCCTTTATGTGGAGGTATGGCTGTATAAAGGCCTCAAGGGGACTTGGTAAAATTACCCTTAGCCTTGAAGATTTTTTAATTCATGGTGATAGAAGTCTTGGTTGATATTTCATGCATTTTGTGTACAGTCAAGGTCAATGGGTCAATCCTTGGCAAGAGAGATTAAAATGGCACAACCACTGAACGACAGTCGGGTAAATCGGTCAAGAGGCTCGTTCCTCATGTCTTGGTTTCACCACTGGGAGCGAACTTTTGTCAAGGACTGTACTTGGCATAACCTAACCTGTAATACAATCTCACGCTCTCCACAAAAATTATAAGATGGTATTCCTTTATTGAACTGCTGTAGTACTAGTTGTGGTAAATTGTAACCCATGTTTCTTATGTCTTGCCATTTCAGATTTGTTTACGAGAGGAATAGACATTCAAGCAGTCAACGTGGTAATAAACTTCGACTTCCCAAAGATGGCAGAGACTTACCTCCACAGGATTGGTCGGTCAGGACGCTTTGGCCACTTGGGAATTGCCATCAACTTAATCACGTATGACGATCGCTTTGCGCTTCACCGTATCGAACAAGAACTGGGAACGGAAATTAAGCCCATCCCCAAGGTGAGAGGTCAATTTAGGTCAGGTTGGGTCGGGGGAAATACTGTATAATCATTACCAAGTCATTAAATGAGTGTTGAGGTGGTGGGTAGGGAACCAATTTATATTTGTACTTTTTCTTTGCCAAATGTAACTAAAAAAAAATTATCTGCTTAGTTCATAAACCTTCTGATAGTTATAGAAAACCTTGATCTATCCTTTATGTTGGTCACCACATAACTGAATACCATGTTACAGTATGTAGGTCACTTCATAAAACTATACCATGTTAAAATATGTTTTAGGTCGCCACATAACACTATACTATGTTACAGGTCATTGATCCAGCCCTGTATGTTGCGGAACATCACTTCGAAGACGACGACGAGGGAAACATTAGCAAGTAACTCCCACGTAGAGCACCGAGAGTTAGTGGGAGAGAGAAGGTGTTAATTCCCAGTTGTTTATAAGAGTCCCCCAAGGCCACCAGTGCCAGCCATCATCAGGGAAGGCAGAAACACCACACTTGCTGCACAAGTCATCGCCCTCGCTCGTCCATCTGGAGGAACATCTTCGACGGATTAAGGAAAGGATGAGAGTAACGTGTAAAAGAAAAAGAATTTCTGAAAAGTTTACGGTGGGAAAAGTACGGAATGGCCCTTGGAACGAAAGTTTAGTCAGTAGTGTGGATTGAGACCTTTTCTCAGGTGGTTATATACAAATGTAAAGTTATAAAAGCACATAGTGATCTTTTTTTTGGGTGGGGGGGAGTTTTTATTATAATACGGCAGCAGTGATGCCGAGAATGGCCGGCTACGTTCTCTGATGCTCGGCCGGCTGGTCCACCAATTGAACTGCTGCGACGGACGGCAATACTGCACAGGCGAAGAGCAAAGTGAACGTGATTACAGGAAGCTAGTGTTTCTACCGAATAAGTGCTGTTGAAAATATTCTGTCTGAAGCGGCTGTTCTCTTACAGACGTTAGTGACTGATAATGACGAGATACCGTCGTCCGGAAAACTGTGGGCTAGTGAAGCGGCGGAGGAGCGATGGCACGTGTGACAGTAAAAATCTCGGGGCCTCGTTCTTGGACAACATTAATTATTCGCAAGACTTTACACTGACTGGCTTATACATGAAACCTTATGTCGGGTTATACAAATGTTAGTCTGTGATGTATTTCTAATGACTGGAACGGACCCTTCTTGTGTGTGTTTGTGTGCGTGCATGGAGCAAAGACAAGTGAGCAAGCAAGAGTGAAAATATTGCCTCCCCTTGTGAAATGTACAGTATCTTGTGGTCTTGGCTACTGAATATTTATGTACAGTTAGATACAAGTGCATTGTCTACCACGGTCTATATATACTTTTCTAAAAATTGACTTCCTCGTAATTGCGTCAAATGTTTTGAGGTTAAAAAAAAGCTTTTAAAAGAGCTCCAGGTTCCTAAACTCGGGGCTTCTTAAACTGACGTGACAATGCACATTTGTAGTTTTGTAAATCTATTTTTATACAAGATGGAGTCGTGAGCCACCAGTGACGTTAAGAGGGTTTGTTTTTTTCCATCTGACAGTGGGTGGGTCCTCTTAGTGTCGGCCCGTTACCGTCGCTGGTGCTCCGTGCTCCGCTGTGTACAGTTTTCCGTGTAAAGGTCTGACTCCGCACTGACGTTATACAACTTGCAAAGCAGGATTATTGTGGACGTTACCCACCGGTGCAGTGCCCTGAGATAAAGACTCTTAACGTGAGGCACCGCGAGTCGGATGTTTTCAAGACTTGCCAAGTCAGTGGTGATGGGTTTGATGGTCTCAGGACCTACGATGGATTTTTGTGAAACTTTGAAAGTTTTTGGATTCGGACGATCGCCTTCCTCGGTTATACTTTGGCCCCGTCGTAAACGACACGGCCGAGACTTTGGCGGCACGAATCCTTAAATTTGGTTCTACATAAATATTGGCTGCAGGGAATCTCTCTGCACTTTTATTAATTTATTTTTTTATATTGTTTTTTGTGACCCACCCAACTTCACCTGACAGACGAAAAATTATACCTGCTCCTGTAAAAATTGATCTCTTATCTTCTCCTCAACTTTACATAGTCAGGTGAAGTTATTTTTCCTCTTCTATATATTGGCAAAAAGTTTTAAAATTTTCAATCTGGCCGAAAGTGACGACGAAGATTAGTCAGGTCAAAATATTGTATCGGCCGAGGAGCACAAGACCAGTGGATGGCGGTAATCCTGCAGCCACTGTGTCAACCTGTTGTTTAAACTTGTACGCCAGGTGAGTTAGGATGAACCGAGTCTTATTCTAGTAACTTAACAAAAACAAAATGAAGTTGACCTTTATCTCCTCTTGCCTGGCATCCTTCCTTCACTGTCTGTCTCCAAAATTAGGATTACCTTTACCTGGCCTCACAAGCCAGGAAGATCGGTCGACCGTAGAGCATTTCAGAGTCGTTGCGAGTCGTCCAGCCTGGGGTACACTGTCTCGGTGGCTCCCGGTAATATTTTGAAAACAAAATATTGAAGCTAGTATGCAAATTGTATGGACATAAAGAGGTTCTTCTCCTGCCAAGTGGGACAGTGTGTTGAAGGCTGGAGGGCTCGCACCTCTCTGGAGGCTTGGACGGTCACCTACCTTAATGTGACTAGTATTCTCTGGATACTTTTAAAAAGCTTCACTTGTAAGCACTAGTTCCAGCATTGCAACCAAGTGACCCAGGTGTTAGTGTAATGACCTGATGAGTGCTATTTGTCCAGATAATACTAAACTTTATAGTACAATACAAGGACTCAACAACTGTACTGTACTGCTAGCTGCTGGTACATCATAACTGCAGCTTGTAAATTTCATGAAGACCATGAATTAAGAACGAAATAGTGACATAGGTTTTATGAGTTAATTAAAATTGTTATTCTTTAAAGTTTATCTTGACGAGGAATATTTTTTTATTCAAATTAATTATGTTGAGAGTTTATCTTTACAAGGAATGCTTTTTACGGTGAGTCATCTGCATGGAATTGTTACAGTTCTCATGGATTTTGTTTCATTGTTAAAGATTTAAACTTTTTAGAGGGAATATTATTTTGAATGAATGTCACATATTGTTGTTAACTTAACAACTCAACTCAACTCATTATTTGTTTGATACAAGAGGTGTTAACCCTTCAAGTGTGAGGTTGTCTGTACGTGTGTCCCAACCACCAACTTGGGTCGCCTCACTCACACTTACTGTTGTCTGCACACTCTAATAATGTTCATTTTAATTTATGAATATGAAAAATACTCAGTGTGACCATTAATAACTTTGAATGAGTTATATTGATATTATGAGCATCAAAAGTTTAGATTATTAATATTGTTGGGACTGTGGCTTAAGACCAGCACAGGACCCACTAGGGGGGGATGGGGAAAAACAACAAAAAAAAGTCTGCATCAAAATGAGTGAGGAAAAGTTAGATTGTAAACCTCCTTGGAAATTTCTTTGTTTAACGTTTGTATTCTTATACAAATTTGTTAAAATTATTTGGTCAAAATTAAAGAATCCTCACTCCAGTTTGTTTCATCTTTACCCTTGTGTGTGTATTGGTCCTGACTGGGCTTGGTGTTTGCCAAGAGCCTAGGCTGGTATGTGATGACCGCCCGGACCTCTTGATCATGAAACGTGGTGGTGTGGATGATCTCGCAAGATAGTAACCAAACCACCTGGCCTTAGTTTAGTTCTGAGAGCAAGTATTCTTTAAAGAAGGTTGGCTGCCTTCACACTATATATAATTAATGTTAAGCAGCTTTCACCTTTAAAGAATAAGGTATTGTCCCCTAAGATACTGTGGTCATGATCGTCTACCACACTTTAAATTCAAGAGGTATAAGTTGGTTATAAAATCTATCCTTCCCAAGGTACAGAACTGAAGTGTATAGATCAAACAATCCAATAAGGTATGAGGTAAATTCTCTTTGGTGACAAATGGATGTAGATACAGACTAGTAATTACATTGATGGAGCACACTAGTTCATACAACACAGGTAGATAAATATTCGGTAAAATAAAGTATAAAATAGTCATACACCGTACAGATGAACAGTAAATCATTGCACAAGATCATATTGATTCAACGTGTATGTTGTACAGGACTGACAAATACATGAAATAAGGATATATATACTGTACAGTATATGCTATATATACAGGACAGTATAGCTAATGTAGATAAGTGGTTCTCAAACCTGGGTAAATCATTCCTCCTTCACATGGTCACAGTACCTTCATCGTGGCCTCTTCCCACCTGATGCCACAACTACTGTTTATCACCTGTGAACACACGAACTATTTATACAGATCAAGAGCCAGTTTTATTGTTCTCTGCTCTGGGTTCGGTGACGCACAACAGTAATCTGTGGAGTTGCTTGGCTGCTGCCAGGTGCAGTTATCCCAATTTGATATCTCTCGCCACTAACACGAGAGGACATAACTACAAGCTGGCCAAGTTATGTAGTGAACTTAAGAAAATAACTCAGTGGTGGTGGTAGATCTGTAGAAGTCTACCAGCTCAAGCTGTGGTATAGAGAACAGTAATGGGCTCAAAACAGTCCTTGACAAGACTATCGAGAACAATGGAGGGATCCAACACAGGCTACTGGCCTACTTCCCACGACATGGCCACATCTAGTGAGTGGCCATCAGGTAAATAAGGTGAAATAATGTGTACAGTATTACAAAAGAAATGATGCATCGAGGAACATAACACGGAGGACGAGAAAAAAAAACACGAAAAGCACATGAAAATATGTAATATAATATAATCATTTTTTTATTCAAGTCATGTCGCACTAATTTTCGCCTAAAAAAGAAAGATGACAACGTCTAATTACAAGATAATTAAATTAACCACATTTCGATATTAAAATAAGTACGAGTAATTTACTTTATCTACGATATGTAAAAATAAAATATCAATATTGCAATGAAATAACCATAATTAAGGAAAGTTAATATTTGTTTTTGTAAATTGATTCTTCCATTGTAATTCCTCATTGTCGATGGGAGCGGAGGCAATAATGGGAAGTCGTGTTATAATATTACCCCGAACATGACTAACGCAGTATTTATTTATTTACATACATAGATTGATAGTGATAATATCTAGAGGTAATGGTAAACGGGTAGATATTCATAGACATAATGATACCTAGATAGGCGGATAAATAGATATGATAGAGACGGATATATCGATGGATAAAAAAGACATACGAACATACTATAAATATGACATTATAACGATTTGAAAATATATCTATCTGTTAATCTATTTATCTATACAGTATAATATAATCTATTGCTGTCTCCAGCTATCGCCACAAACATTTATAAGTTCGTAGTTTACATCCGTGGTAGTTAAGCAACATGAATCATCTAGCGGCAGGCAGTAAACATGGCGGACGTGGGCAGTCAACACTACTCGAGCTCTGACAGTAGGGAAGACTCCAACAGCCAAGATGCCACTAAACAACAGTCGCCAAATATATTCAGAAATGACGGTTCTTTCATGGAGATGTTTAAAAAGTTACAAGAAGACCAGAAGAAAAGGGAAGACGATGGAAAAGGAGGAGTAACCAGTAGAAGCAGCCCGACCCCAGAGGTTGAGAGAAGCCAATCCAAGGATCATAAGAAGACGACTTTAAGTTTTGTAAGGCCAGGCTACCATAGCATTTAATATTATGCTTTTATATCACTATTTACTGTTGTCCTAGTGGTGAGAGTTTAAAGGTTGTGCTGTAATGGTTGTCTGTCACTTCACTTCCCTCGTCTGTTTTATATTCCAGGTTTAATATTTTTTTTTATTTTTCAGAGATAATGTGTGATGCTGAGGTGGTTGGCGGTGGTTTAAAATTCTGTCTTTCTGTTCATTCACGTTACTGGTCTAATATAATTGTTTCAGAGACGTTCTTATGTGATGTTAGAGGCGACCGTTGATGACGGGCCTCGTCGTCCCGTCACACACTATATTACGCTTAATGTATCCAATTATTTCCAGAGACTCTTGGACGTAATGCAGAGACGAGTGTTTGAGTGTCGCGACGCTCATTAATAAACTTGTTTCATTAATATCGACGTTAATTTTTCGTCGATTTTTTTCAATATTTCTATGGATGTCAGCACAGGTGTGAGCGCTTTATTATTGTACAGGTGTTCGGCACAATTTCTACCACTAACACAACGGTATAGCGGTAATGTGTGTATCTCTCCCTGCCAAGTCATGGGTTTGGGTCCTGCTTGGCTTAGACACGCATCAGAAGGTTAGGTTAGGGTCTCCAGTTTCCTCCTAGACCAACCGCCCCCAATGGCTAGTAAATTGATAAATGATTAATTGATAAAATAAAAATAAATGAACAACATTGACATAAACTAACACAGATTCATCTTAAACGGTCAATTTGTTGCTCGGGTATCAAAATGTGAGCGTCATCAGAGCAGCAGAAAGTTTGTTGTCGTACAGTGCAGAGTTACTATGTTATGTCCCCCTGGTGGATGTTGGCTGTATTACTACTTCAATTTCCTTTGAATTTTCTGTCATGCGATGAAACAAATTAAGCAAGAAAGCATTGTGAGTTTGTGAGTTTTTTTTTTTACTGAGTTTGTAAGTTTTTTTTTTTTTTTTTTACTTAGTTGTGCCTGAGTTTGTGAGTCTATTACTGAGTTTGTGAGTGTTACTGAGTTTGTGAGTGTTACTGAGTTTGTGAGTGTTACTGAGTTTGTGAGTGTTACCGAGTTTGTGAATTTGTTGCGGAGTTTGTGAGTTTGTTACTGAGTTTGTGCCTGAGTTTGTTGCGGAGTTTGTGAGTCTGTTACCGAGTTTGTGAGTTTGTTACTGAGTTTGTGTCCGAGTTTGCGCCTGAAAACCTGACGATTCTATGTAGTATTAGTTTATGAATAATATACAATACAGTAAATCATCATGTTAGTGTTAGAACATGTGCCCGACATCTGGGGTATTGTTTACCTATCATGTGTTATTACCGTTGAGGTGACGTGTGGGTTGTTTTGTCATTGTTTTGACTCTATTTGTTTAGGGTTTCTGCTGTAATATTTGTTTTATTGTCTTGAAACGAATGTGTTTTATGCCCCCAACTATTGGATACAGTAGGGTGGTGTTTGCTTACAGTCAAATTACAGTATATACAGATAATGAAACAGGAAATACACTAGTACAGTATTTTAGTGTTCCTTCTTGTTCATGATTACAGAAACAATTAATATATTCAAAAGATACGTATAATTCTGTATTCTGGCGGATTATAGCGTAGGAATCAAATCAGACCAAACTTGGTCATATATTTTTATTTTTATCTCTATGCTTTAAAAAAAATCATTATAATCACAGCAGGAAGTGATAAAATGGTATCGATGAAATGTGAAAATAACTAAATTGGTTTGTTATTTTCCTACGGTAATGATGTGAAGAATTTTGTGGTTAGGACAATTTTTTTTTTCTTTTTTTACTGGAGTGATAGTTTAGTTCACGAAGCAACCAGGACTTAGTGTGTGTCTGTGTGTGATAGTTAGGTTGATGCTATTATAATGTGCGGTCTACATGATGTTTAGGTTAGGATAGTTTAGGGCAGGTTAGGTAAAGTTAGGTTAGTTTAGGGCAGGTTAGGTAAAGTTAAGTTAGTTTAGGGCAGGTTAGGTAAAGTTAGGTTAGTTTAGGGCAGGTTAGGTAAAGTTATGTTAGTTTAGGGCAGGTTAGGTAAAGTTAGGTTAGTTTAGGGCAGGTTAGGTAAAGTTAGGTTAGTTTAGGGCAGGTTAGGTAAAGTTAGGTTAGTTTAGGGCAGGTTAGGTAAAGTTAGGTTAGTTTAGGATAGGGTTAGGTAAAGTTAGGTTAGTTTAGGATAGGGTTAGGTAAAGTTAGGTTAGTTTAGGATAGGGTTAGGTTAGTCTAAGATATCTATGTAGGCTGCACACTATACATTATGCTATTGATGGTTTCGTCAGAGTTAAGGAGCATCCCAATGTGATCTATGTAACTACAAACTACTGGTAGGTTAGGTTAGGGAGGATATCTATATACCTAGATAACCAAACTACAATTTTGCCCATAGATACATCAAGTAAATATTAATGACTGTTGTCTAGTCTTCAAACACTACGACATGGTTTTTAAATTAATACAACCTGCATTATCTGAGCTTGTTGTATTAACCCTATAAGTCTGTCAAGTAGATGGAAGACTATAGTTGAGTTTTATACATACTACTAAGACTATAGGCTACAATATGAGACATTTGTTCCAATACTCTATACTGTGTTTAATAAATATCTATACTATGTTTCCTAATACAGCTCCTCCCCGACTTACGACCTACTCGACTTACGACCACTCGTACTTACAACCGCCTCAGTCGTACCAAAATTTTGTCAAATTATGTATTTTTGAGTCCCAACATCAGTACACAGACAAAATTTTCGTTTGTAATTCACTTTAAAATGGCTGGCAAGCTTAAAAGTGAGAGTTTTGTGGTGCTGAGAAAAAAAAGAGACACCCATATTAGATTTTCTATGTATTATTTAAGCATTTTCGACTTACGACCATTTCGACTTAAGACCTGGATTTGGATCCCTAACCCTGTCGTAAGTGTGGGAGGAGCTGTACTCTGATTCCTAATACTCTGTTTCCTAATACCGTTTCCTAATACTGTTTCCTTATACTCTTGTTTCCTAATACTAATAACAGCAGAATATGATGCAAGTACAAAGCCCCTGAGGCATTTAGTAAGAGACAGACAGACAAACAGACTGTGACAGTAGCTACCTATGGGCATATACTTGCTATTTGCATAATAAGAAAATTCTACTAATGTTTACCTTACCTGAGCATTCATAATCCCTGTAACACTGTGTGATTGTAACTTTTATAATGCTGACTGTCTTGTTGAAGGTAGAGAGTTTGTATGTGTGTTTATTTATGTGTGTGTGTATTTGTGTATGTGTGTGTTTATTTGTGTGTGTGTGTGTGTGTGTGTGTATGTATGTATGTATGTATGTATGTATGTATGTATGTATGTATGTATGTATGTAAAGAAGAACATATGCCAACTTGGCTTTAATTATTTATATTTGTTACTGTAATGCCTCACTCTTGGTACCTACAATGAAGGCCCTCTGTTTCACTCCTATACTGTATTGTCTTATTGATGTAACTATATATTGTAGCAGCCTTATATACCAGTAGCAAATTGTATGTGAAATGATTCTTCAGAAATAGATTGAATTCTTAGCTTTTGATGCAGTGAACCAAACAAAGTCGATCATTGTCAAAATATCATGTACGGGTGTTTTAGTCAATCGGCTGTTGCGTGGGTGTTGGCCGGCCGCCATCACTGGAAAGTATATTATTGGGTCCTTGTGTGGAATGTGTTGAAGATGAGACAGAGAGAAAAGCTAAGAATTCAGACCACACTCATCAGGGAGGGTCCTCGAGGCCGGAGAAGCAGACAGACTTTTGCTTGTACAGTACAGTGTTGTGCTGGATGTGTGTGTACAAGGCCAGAGTGCAGTCAATAGTGCCATGGCCAAATTTGGTTCTCCCACAGAGCAGAGCAGCTGAGCCCCCGGCCAGGGAGACGGTCAGCTGAAGTTGCCGAGGATAAAGTCAAGGTCCCCCTGGACTGGTGAGTCTTATGGGGCAAGATGGGCCCAGTCTAATGGAGGTGAGCTTGTCTCTCCGCAGGTGGGCAAACGGCGGGGCGGCAGAATCCTGGCCACTGGGATGGTCAAGAAGCAGAGGAAAGAAGCGAAGACTGAGAAGGTTAGTTGTTCCTCACTGATGTTATTATGTCATGTGCACCTTCAGTTACTCGTGTCTCTTCTTGTTTTCCTTATTTCTGCTTCTCTTATTTCCTTTTTCTTTTATTGTCATTTCCCACAAGTGTCTGTCTGTGTGCTGAAAATATTTGTTATTTTTTTCACACATTAATGTATTGATGTAAAGTAGACTTGGGCTTTAATATATAATTTTACCACCTAACTAGTGTTGTGTTGACCTCTGTTCAGTGTTAGTACAGGAGGAAACTTCATATGTTGGTTAAGAATTAATATTTTAACCTTATACTTAAAACCCAGATATAAGGTTGTAGTACAGTACCGTATATGGCGTAGCTAGAATACTGCACCTTACTTGGTACTGACTCGCTCGCTCTCTCCCCTCTGCAGCAACAGTCGGATGATGGTAAAACGGACGCTTGGTCACAATATATGAGCGAAGTGAGAAAATATAAGGAGCAGTCGTGTGAGGAAGAAGGCAAGAGACGACCCTTAGTCAAGTGATTCTCCTCCTCCATACTGTAACAATCTCTCGCCTCAGTTAGCTCCATCCCAGTCTAAAATATTATCAAGTGATTCTTCTCCTTCATACTGTGACAACAATCTCTGCCTCTGTTAGGTCTCACAGTCTAAAAAAATTGTATGATTGAAATTTGTTGAGTTGCTCATACAATTAAATTAACCATGACCCAAGTTAGAATTTTTTTTAGGTTGGTACTTAAGGTTGGATTTTGTTTTGTTTTTGGCGAATCAAATGGCAGACTAATTTATATATTGTTTCAAGCCCGTCGCCAGGGGGGAAGGGGGTTCGAGGGATTTGAACGAACCCTCTTTTGTCTCCAGTACGGGAGGTCTTTGTTATACGTTGGGGATCGGTTCCAGAGAAATGTGACATATTGAAATGCTATATAATGAGGAATTTTCCCCCATAAATGTTAATTAATTTGGGGTATAGTGTTCCATCATATGCAGTAATAACCCTTGAACGATCAAGGTGTGTTCGTAGAAAGAGATATGTTCACAAAGTTATTTATTACCTTTGAGTGATATATAATGGTTTGATTTAGCTTCTAAAAAACTTAAACAACTGATCAGTGAATAAACCAGGATATATGAAGATGCATTATACATTACAATATTTATTAAGTTGTGATAAATAAACTACAACATTACTTACTAAATGCTGAAGACAAATCCTGGGGTAAGCACCAACACTCTTGAGCAGTGACATCAGCGGTGCTTGAGTGCTGGCAACATTGTTAGGGAGAGCAGGAATGATCAGCTGTTGCTGCTCTGTGAACAAGCAACTGGGAATATAATAGTTTGAACAACACAATAACTTATTGGAGGTTGAGTGTGAGACGTTTTGGGGAAAATTAATTATTTTACCATAATAATTTATTACCCCGGCACCAAATGAACTTAAATAATATGGGAGTTATGGTGAAATTACACGTCGTTATTAAGGGATCTTGGGCTGATGGGCGTGGGAGAGTTGACCACTCAGTCAAGCCAACACTCCCTCGCCTCCTCTCCCCAGCTGTTCACCCAGATGTAGTTTTGTAGTTTTCTCTTTCCATTTCTCTACGTGCAAACTATTCATTTATATAAGAATTGTATAAGAATAAGATTTTCTAACTTTTATTTTTTGGTGATGAAACACTTGCATGATTTAAATGTCTGCCATGAGATGTACAGTAGCCTGGCAAGTCACGGTGTGTTGCCAAGATGTTTTTAACACTATTTACGAATCATATAAAACAGTGGATGATGCAGATGACGTATACTGTATGAGAAACAAGCGACGTACTATATATTGGTAGAACGTATAACGGGGACCCCCTGTATTGTATGTGTTCAATATTGACCGCTGAGCTTCCAGACATTGTTTAACTGATGCTCTTAAACACAGCTTTTCCACATTTTAAAACTAAAGATGATTGGTTCTGTGGTGAAACCTGGCAGCTCTACTTATTGAATATGTTTCCTGGTTGAAAGTCGGTCCTTGTGACGCCTTGATCACACCTGTCAACATCGCCTGGTCTGAGAGGACCACCAGTGTGATTGATAGTTTGATCAAGGATGATCTTGGGTGAGACCTGAAGTGTCTGCTAGTAAAGTGGCAAAGACTCTTAAAATTACTTACTCAGGGTTGGTGCCTCTGAAAAGGTGTTTTGCCTAGATCTTAACTGTGATTATACACTACTGTACTGCTGTGTGAAGGCAGTAGATTTTGGGTGGAAAAGAGACAAACCCACACAATGTGTGTGAGTTCAAGGTACCAGAACTCGGCCAGATTGTGAGATGAGTCGCTTCGTTGCTCTACTTCCAGATGCCTCGTGTGACATGCTGCACATCATAGCCTCATGGCTGATCATGTTACGTCACACAGTAAAGAGCAGACATGTGGTCATTTTATTGACAGAAGCAATAATATAAAGGAATTCTTGAGCTTATTCAGTTGGAGAGGACAAATGGTCACGGCTTTGCTCATCAGTTCCTCCAACTTTAGTGTGATGCTCATCTGTCAGTAAACAATGTACAGTACAGAGGCTTGTGGCCACTGCCTCAACTTGGTCCTCTCCCAAGGTGTGGACATAGTGACCTTTGTTCTGTACAGTGATGAGGGACACTACTGTATAGTGCTGACAACCATCTGGGGTAAGCTGTGTGGCTCCTGCACACCATCAGTAACTGCTGTACTGTGTTGTGTTATTTATCACAGTACACGATGGTGGCACCACTGGTAGGCTTCACTGGGTTAAGTAATCTGGTGTTATATAATAATTATTTTTCCTGAATTAAAACATTGGAGTTATTTTATGTTTTACTGAGATTATTTAAAACATGGGATTGTACAGTATTATGTGTCTTACTGTGTATAAATCAATACTGTATTTGTACTCTACGCTCTATCCCAAAATCCATCTCGGAGACGAGAAAAAACGAACTCCCCTTAAAAATCGTGGCGACGGGTCTGTATGTCACCTTCAGTTTTTTGTTTAGTATTTGGCTCCTTGTAAATAATATATCTAGCATAGCTAACTAGTTCACTCATCACCAAATATTTTACAATCAGAGAAACTTATAAATGGTGTCCTAACATACAGGCTCAGAGTAAGTGATAATTATGATAAGTTGTAACGTTAATTTTAACCTTCAATAGTATTACTGTACTGGTTCTCACTGGTGTATAATTCTGAGTCCTGAGAGTAATAGTATTACTAATGTTTACACTCGCCCCAGAAAGCATCTTTACCGTGGAGTCTGAGACAGTAATTAAAAAAAACGGACGCTGCGACTCACCTTGTCCGGGTAGGGTTCTTGAAAATTCCTCTTCCTGTAGTACTGTTCTCTCATACAGAAGGGTAAAGACACTTCCTGGTGCGGGTGTATGTCATTTAGGTTCTCGGCGTGTAAGAAACAAATGTGTGTATAAGTTCCAGACATCCTGCTTTAGTGTTTACAAGTTTATGTTATCGGGTAAATCCGGAGTAGGAAACTGATATTAAATGCTGTATGAGTAGAATTTTGTCCTTTATTTATCACGTTTGGTTTTATTTCGTCTTTTTTCTTAAATACTTTGAGAAATTTATTTTGAATTGAAATTGATGGGGAAGGCTTGGGTGATGGTAGTGGGGGGAGGTATGGTGAGGGTGATGGTAGTGGGGGAGGTATGGTAGGGGTGATGGTAGTGGCAGAAGTCAACAAATTTACCCAACTGGTGGAACAACTTCCTGACTTCGTGAGGTGTATTCCTATTGGCTTTAACCAAATGTATCGAGAGTTGTAATTGGCTCCATGAGGTGTATGGTATTCCTATTGGCTATAACCAGATGTATCGAGAGTTGTAATTGGTTGCAACTTAACTTGGCCATAGGAACTGGTAGATGTAGTAGGTAGTCTTGAGAATCATTTTATCACCAAGCTCTGTGGCTGTGAACTCTGGATGGTTCGGTAGACAGGAATATTTGGATTTTGGTTCCTTTTGTAATGAGGTTCAATACTCCGAGTTGTTTATAAATATTAAAACGGTAACATCTAACATTGGGGGGAGGGGGGGGGGTCAGGTACCATCAGAGCCATAGTTCTTGTTATGCACACCAGGTGAAATGCTTGGTAGACAGTGAAACCTCTATTTAATGGACTATACAGAGATAAAAGTCCATTATATCAAGGGTCCATTAGATGTGAAACCTCCGTCTAACGAACTATATAGAGACAAAATAACATTATATTAACAGTACATTCAATGTGAACTCTTCCCATTCCCCTCCCCCTTCATTTAACAGATTATATGGAGAGAAATTCATTATGGGAATTTCATTATCTGGTCATGAATCTGATCTTCGAGTTGCTGTGACAACTTCAGGACCTCAGAAGGTTAATATATAGCTTTAATGTAGAAGTTCCCTGCTGATCTACCATGCCATTTCCCACAATACGGACAAAAAAAAATAAAATAAAACCCACATGGAGGTCGATTATAAGAGAACTACAGTATAATGCTATTCATTTATTTCCCAGATGACTTGAACTGAATGTAGGCATCATGCTAACCTAACCAATCAATCGTATCCTGATAACCTATCCTAACTTAACAAAGCAATAATTTCGTGCTATCCTATCCTTACCAAGCCAATCAATTGTATCCTAACCTAACCAAGCCAATCAATTGTATTCTGCTAACCAAACCAACCAAATGCACTGTTAACCTACTCTAACCCAATCGCAGCAAACATATTATGCTAACCTAACCAAACCAGCCAAACATATCATACTAACCTAATCTAACCAACCAAATGCATCATGCTAACCTAACCCAAAAAACCGTACGATTCTTAGGTTAGGTCTGGGTTGTCTGCGTTAAAGAGAGATGGTTTTGTGGTCGTGCGTGTGTTTGGTATCACAAGACTGGCTGCGTTGTGGTTTATCGAGATGCTCTTTCTGCCCAGCATCCATGATTATTAGTTGTACTGTGGGCATTAGATATTCTTATATAATTTAGTAAGATCTCGCATATAGAAGCAAAAACAATAATTGGGGCACCATAATTTGTTGTTAATTCCTGCTCATCAACTCTGCTCTCAAACACGCTTGCTGAAGTGTAATAGAAAAGGTTTAAAAAAAATCTAAAATAAGATGTGATCACTGTTCATTTATTGTAATACTCAAGTCTGGCATAACATTTAGAAAATATAATAATAATAATTTCAGCCATTTCCTGAGCTTTGCATTTTATATGTTAGTGCGAACCTTACTCTGGGGATTGTGAGAAATAATTAAAGTTTATGTGTTTGTGTCGTGTCTTATTACCCATATTGAAGAGTTGTGTTGTTGAGATGTTGTGTTTGAGGTGTATAAGTTGTCAACTGAAACCTGAGGATGCTGTACAGATGCCATAGCTACTTCACTCCTGAGCAGTTGCTTCAAGTTTATAAGGGATTCATTTGTCCAAACTTGGAGTAATGCTCTAATATCTGGGGTGGTTCTTCTGTTAGATGGGTGGAAGTGAAGGCATTTTGTCCTATTAGCTCTCCTGCTTAGTCAATAATCTCTCTTCGCTGCTTTGTTAGTTCGCTCTCTTTTTACAGGTACTTTAACGGGCAATGTTCGGTGGATTTGGCATCCTGTGTACCGCTGGCAAGGCAGTGAGCTCGTAACACTCGTCTTGCCTGCGGTGCCAACTGTTTCCGTGTGGATATCGGTCACACTAAACTAACTTGTTATTGTATCGTACATCCTTCTTTCCTCACACAGCCAAACTGTTGAATGCTTTGCCTTCTTCTGTGTTTCCATCTTTTACAATGTCTCACTTCAGAAAGCAGGTTTTCTGGCATCTTTGTGGTGTAGATTAACATTCTCTTTTCTCCAACTTTTTCTTCTTTTTTCCTCTGGTTGATGGCCTGTGTCCAGGTAAGCTATTCCCCATTAACCGAACATGAGCTCATTGTGGAAAATAGTCATGAAAGAAGTATAAACAGGAGAAAAGGATAAAGAATGTATGTGAATACAGAATTTAAAAAAAAAAATCCGACTTCCAAAAATCAGTGTGAGTGTGGCCATAGAGTTTGAAGGTGGCCACAGCATGAAGATGGTCACAAAGGTGGCCACACAGCAGGAAGATGGTAACACTGCAGGAAGGTGGCCACCGGAAGAAGACAGACAAAGAGGTGTGAGTTATATTAGGCTAATAAGACAAGACAGGAAATTGGAGATTTTTTGTCACAGGAAATGTTTGTATATGTGTATGTCCAGTGTGTGTGTGTGTGTGTTAGTTGTGGCGACCCTTGTACTGTATTGGTGATGTGTGGGGCTGAAGTGTGGTGGCGACAGACAAAGACCCACGTCATGGAGGAAGAACTGACGTGCGCCCTGTGTTCAGAGCTGTACACGTCAGGAACAAGAGAACCTATCGTCCTTCCTTTATGTGGCCATGCCTTCTGCAGACAGTGCCTTAAAAGTCTAGAATCTGACGCAGGAATCCTGGTATGCCCCACTTGTCGGACACTGCACCAGGGGGCCACTGTGGCTTGTTTACCCACTGTATTTGCTCTTCTCAATCTTTCTGAGAACTACAGAAAGTGTGAGGTGAGTTAGAGTGAGAAAAGGTAAGATAGAGAGAGAAGGTGAGGAAGAGTGAGAGAATATAACCAAACCTAAACTAACTAGGCAAATATGTAGGTATATTTAGATATTTTAGTGAATTTGCTCTAGATATTCAGCAACCAAGTTTTCTAGTGTTTTATACATATATATATATTTTCTGTTTGTCACTTGTTCACATACAGGAAGGTGGGCAGTGTGTACATCACGGCTCATCGCTGGAGTTCTGGTGTAGCTGCTGTGAGATGGCGTTGTGTGGGCACTGTCTCCTGGAGGGTCACCTACAAGATGGACACCGGGTCAAGAAAGCTAAAATATTCATGGGAGAAAAGAAACAAGAAATAAAGAGTCGGGGAGACGAGTTAATCCACACGATACACGGGAGAAGGAAGTGTGTAATCAATAACGTCATCAACTTCGTCAGACAGGTCACCAGACATGCTGAAGAGAGCAGACTGTTGAGTACCTCTGAACAGAAGGTTGAGGCCATATTGAGAGACACTGGTGGTGTACACAACGTTGAGGCGGTGTTAATGTCATCGACTTTGATGGAGAGTTTAGAAGGCGATGTCCAGAGAATATTGGGACAACAGCAGCCACAGATCACAGATGATGGAGTACCAAGAAGCAAGTACTGTGGTGAGGTACAGACCGCACACCTGTCCATCTCAGACGTAGAATGGCCGGAGACACCACCTTCAGACGGGACGGAACAGCTACCTATCCCAGAAAACCAGAGCCAAGGGTCACTGGGGAAAGACCTTATCCCAGGGCCAAGTAGAGCTGGAGCAAACGAGGGTGGTGGTGGTGAAGGAGAAGTAGCAGACGGTGAGGGTGTAGATGAATCTGTCAAGGCCTGCACAACGCCGTGGCCTCTCCGCTGCTGCGTCGTGCACGGGGAAGGTCGTGTAGGACACCTCAGGTGGGAACAAGACCAACTGCACCTGTACGCGCTTACTGATCAACCTAACGACGCTCACCTCATGGTCCAGGTGAGAAAAGGGAGGGGGATCAGTGTAGAGATGGAGACAGAGAGTTAAGTGTGTGTGTGTGTATGACTTGCTGCTTGAGAGGGAGAGAGAGAGAGGGAGAAACCAGATAACAATCATGCCCCAACACACTGTAATTCTATCTCCCTCACACAGATGTCTCTCCTACAATCTCTCACGAGTGTAGAGAGACCTGAAGTGTTCCTGGACCTGGGTGTGGAAGGAAGGAGTCTTGGTCGAGTTTACATCCGCCTGGAGGGACAATGCCGCCGGGCCCAACACTTCCTGGCGCTGTGTTTGGGCACTCTGGGACCGTCATTCCAAGGGAGCAAGTTCCACGGTGTTGGGAAACGTGGCAGCCCAGGGGAGACCTTAGCTGGGGGAAAATACATCACCCCTAAGGGCACAAGCGTTCAAGGACTAATGAAAGACCTTGAATGGGGTGGTCGATACATGAGAGATAAGACAGAGGGGCTAGTTGTAGGCGCTAGTGGCGGAAAACCTGAATTAGATGCATATTTTCACATCTGTACGAGAGATCATAAGGGTAAGAGGTTTGCGTGTGCTTTCGGGCAGGTGGTGGTAGGTATGGAGGTGGTACACGAGGCTGTCAAGCACGTCACTATCACGGATGTTGTCATAGTTCGTACCGGAGTTGTCTTGCCCGCCTGACGGAGAGGTGTGTGCGATATACTACGAACGTAATCCTCCTCCCTGAAAAAGGTTTTGAAAGGTAATCGCGAACAAGACAGAAAGCCAAAATGGTATGTATAGTACTTTGTACGTATACTTGCACTGTCTATGTACTGTATATTGTATACCTGCACTGTCTATTTATATTTTGTAATGACCTTTATTGTCCAGTGTTGTTTCAGTACAGGCGGAAACTGTAGTACCTTGGTTATTTTTTTGTATATATATATATATATATATATATATATATATATATATATATATATATATATATATATATATATATATATATATATATATATTCAACGAAATATATCGTATGACCATATATTAACAGAAGATTATTTCTAAAACTCTTTATTATAAGAACTGCCGGTAAATGTGGTTTACTGAAAATTTATTATTATTAAATGTTTATCGTTTATATTGGGTCTGTGTAATGAAAATATAGTATTTTATTAGTTTTTAGTGCTGAATGGTATATTGAGGTGTTATTATCAGTGACACATTAGAAATTATTAATCAGGAAAACTTCAAATAATGGGAATGTTCCCGCGTGTTCCAATAATGTGTGAAAGCTAATGTCAAACTTATTCTTATTATATTCCAAATATATCGTCGTATTTTGTGTTTGCTAATTATTATATATTTAAATGATAACAATAAATTCAACGTGCAATAATTTAGGTTAATTTAAATGCGTCAATTTGTTTCTTTTAATTACGGTGAAGAGACTAATGTCACATTTACCTTCACTCTATTTCATTGAAGTTATCCTATTTATATGAACTAAGACAAATGTACATATTTTTTAATTGCCATAATATAAATTTAGTGACACGTTAATAGGTTTAATCAGTGATATATTTAATTTGAAGAAAGTTTGATGTACAGTGCTTGAGTTCCAGACAATCAGGTGTTGTGGGGGACATGACAGTTGATGTTAAACGGAATAACACGAACACAACCACTGACTCAATAACTTTTATGTCGACAGATAAATAGATAAATATTTATTAAGTAAAACTAAGTAAATAAACTTATTAAACCTCAAATAAATTACAATGTGTTAGTTACGATAGATTACTTTTATCCTCTTCACCAATGATCGGGTTGTTAGCCACTTGGGCGGTCTGGCACGTCTCTTGCGGGCTGTTGGCAAGTTTGGGTATATACTGGCTCCAGGAAGTACATGAATAGTCTAGTCTGACCTTGAAAGAACTCATACTCGGTGCCGTCACAACACTGGCAGATTGTTCCAAGAGTTCACAATTTGTACTACCAAAAAGTTTACCCTGACTATTCTGAACTTGTGGCTTCTTCAACCTAAAGCTATGACATCTACTGGGTTTATAATCACTTAGCAAGGTTAGTAAATGCATATTTTTTTGTATTTTATATTTATTTGACAAAGCAACAGTAGATGGTCCATCCCTGATAACGCTCTACAGTAATGTGAGACACTTCCTTGTTTGGAGTAGTCACCCCGTCTCGCCGCGGGACATACAAGAGGCTGTGTACACCGTCTACCTGCGCTGTCTATATTCACGCTCAACTGTATATATGTGCCAATCCATTTATGATCTCTATGACAATTTTACTTAATAAATATTATTTCACGCTCTTGAATATTTTATAATTCACTTACTGTACCTCGGATAAGCCTCGTTGGTTACGATATCACTAATGCACCGTCCGAGTTTGAGTGGAGTGCTGGGATCATGGTCTAACAAAACCTCTTCTATAGACCTTGGCTGGGAGAACAGTCTGGTGGCCCTCTTTTGAACATTCTCAATCACTGACAGTCCCTAGCATATCTCGGGGACCAGACGGGGAAGCACCTCATTCTTGAAGATCGTTACAAGGGACGGACCGTCTAAATATCTCTATTAATACAGTTTTTTCGTCCTGTTGGGACATGGGACCACTCTTGAAGCTGCCACTGATCTTTCTGTAGCTCTTCATAATCTGTTTGGCTCTTAATTTCTCTGAGTAGCTTGGCATCGGCCAAATACGTTGTACTGCGGCAAGGTTTCAAACTCCGCTCTCTTATCAAGGAACGTGTCAGTATTAGTGGATATGACTCCGGCCCCTCCCCATTCTCAGTAGCTATATACTATACTGTTCACTAAACTCAGTATTTTGTTATATAATCTAGTTTAAGTCTCAAAATTAAACAAATAAGGAAGAAATAAGTGGCTGTGAGGTCTTTTGAATATGTAAGTTAACTTTGCTTAGGTTAATATATGTATGTGTCAGTAGGATAAATTATATTAGGCAGTGGGCGCGCGGTGGTCGTGGTAGTGAGGGCAACATACCGCCGCGGTTCTTGGTGTTGACGGGAGGAAGAAGAAGTGAGTCACACACAGCTCAACACATCAACACAACCATCTCTATTTTTTTCATTTTTAGTTTCTCCCCCCGCCATTATGAGCGAGTTTGTGTGGGGCCTCAAGAACGGTGATCTAGACCAGGTGATGGAGGCTGTAGAGAAGGTAAGATAAAGTTAATTAAATAGATATAAAGTAAAAATGATAAAAAGTGGAGTTAACGAGTCGTAATTATCACTTGTTCATTGTAAATTTATTTTGGTTTGTTGATGTGGATATTGTTTTATTATTTGGTCTATGGTTTAAACTAAGATGGAGAGGGATTATATTTTTGTTGTGGCTGACATTTTGTAATGGTGAATATTTTATCTTATTTTTTCTTTCCAGGATCTGTGTTTTTACTCTCCTGTTTCTCCCTCTCTCTCTTTATCATGTTTCTCTCTCTTTCTCTCTCTCGCCTCTCTCTCTTCCCTCCCCCCCCCCTCTCTCTCTCTCTTTGGTAACTGGAGGTGATGGATAACACTGGAATTCGTCGTTCAGTTAGTTCATTTTATAGTCAGTATTATAAAATAGACGACATTTACTAGAACCTAACCTAACCAACCAAACAAACCCACCTACCTAACCTAAGAACATTTGTGTAAAAAATGGAACATTTGTGTAAAAAATGGACGAAAACTCCTTCTAGTGGGAGTCATCTGCTTCAGGATTACCTTCTCTTCACAGTCTGTCACGTTATACAAGATGCACTGTGGATATTTGTCCGGTTGTCAGTTAGGTTAGGTAGTTTTTTTTTTAGACCAGCGCCAGAAAGAAGTTGATTGAATTGAATGAAACTTTGTGATAACTTTATTTACAATCTATTAAATAGATAAATGGAAACAAGAATCCATTCAGTGTCGTTAAGTTTATTTTAAAAGGTTTTTTGGTAAGCTAGTTAGGTTACTTTAGATTAGGTTCTCATACGTTCTGTGTATTCTTGTTTCCATTTATCTATTTAATAGATTGTAAATAAAGTTTTCACAAAGTTTCATTCAATTCGATCAACTTCTTTTGGTGTTAGTTTAGAATAACCTAACCTAACCTAACCTAAATTATGATAAATTGTATAACTTAGCAGTTGCTGTAAATGTTCCTCTGTCAGAAATTCTCATTGTTTAAGTAGTGAATATGGCGTTGGTGGGACGTGTGGTCAGCATGCTCGCCTTGCAAGTGAGTGGACCTCTGGTTCAATCCCCGGGCAGGGTGAAACTATGGGCAAGTTTCTTCATGCCATTTGCCTCTGTCTTCCCAACAGTAATTGGGGACCTGGATATTAATCGATTTGCGGATCTTATTCCGGGGTGATGGTTAGCCAGTGCAGTTGGCGAGTTGTCTGATCTTCTCGGACTATTCCTTGAGACTGGGTCATGCAGCTCGTTAACTCAGGGTGTGGTTGTGGTGTTGGAGACAGCTTCTACACCTTAAACAAATTCATGCCAAGGTGGCCCTTGGGCCAGCCATCCTCGTTACATGAGGGGCAACCATAATTATTTGCTACCAGCTTTACGTGCTGAGATTGTATATACCTGTACAGTATATCTTACTGAAAATGTTCCGGACTTGCGCAGTTTGATCAAAACACCGTTGAAAGCTTGAGGAGTGTTGATATTACCTCTCGGAATATAAAACTAGTTTGCGTTAGGTTGGGTTTGGTTACCCTTTTGCTTGAACTGCTCATACTCAGACCATCATCAGTGGAAGTTAGCAGTAGGGACGGTGGGCATCATCAATGGAAGTCGTCCATCTCTAAAACTAACTTCCAATGATGATGGCTGCCATTTATGAGTTAAATCTCTATTATACTTAAACAATTAACATCCATTGTAAAGTTTAAAGTGATTCTCATTTAGTAAAATTGACCATTGCAGAAAGGAACAGATGTGAACATAGCAATTGAAGGTCGACCACCGCTCTGCCTGGCCTCTGACTATGGACAACTAGACATCATTAAGTACCTACTGCAGAAGGGAGCCAATGTTGAAGTGAGTTACCTTATGTATACAGTAGCTACACGTTAATTATGTATACAAGTTAGGTCTAAATAATATGCGTTGGTACCTGTGTGAATGTCTATTTTGGAGTGAGACCAATAAAGTTAGATGGTGATAGAGGAAAAGTGGTGGGAGGCTTAGTGGTGTTATTCTTACAGGAGAAACACTGTTTTATTATTACAGTGAACCTCCTTGTAATGGGCTTCTTTCTCTCTATACAGTACAGTAGTTCGTTAGATGGGGGTGTTTCATATCTAATGGATCCTTGATATTACAGACTTTCTTTATATACAGTAGAACCTCGATAAATCGGACTAATTGGGGCAGACCGCAGTCCGAAAAATGCAAAAGTCCGAGAAAAGCAAACACCCTCTGCATATGGGGCGGGGGAGTTGGAGATAACACTGCTTGTCACTGAGATGATTGTTATTTACTGATAAGTGTTATATGTAAGTAACAGCAGAATTGTCTTGTGATTAAAGAGAAAACTGTATACTGTACAGTACTATAAAGATAAAAATAAGTACTGTACAAATAAGTGTAGGAGTATATTGTACGTGGAAGACGAATGTTTATCTGGGAGCAACTGGCAGAGTGGAGGGGGGGGGGGAGCATGGGTGGGTACTCCTTCCCCCCCTCTCCCCCAAGGTTCCTTTAACTTTTCTTTATGCAATTTCACCAATTTCTCATATAATTTAGGATCATTTGGTTGCCAACAGTGTGTAACAGAGACGTGATCGATCACCCAAGCGGCTAACTAGCCAATCAAAGGTGAAGAGGATAAAAGTACTGTAACTTTCCTAAAAAAAGAATCCCACAAAGAGCAAACAGCTGATTGGCTTACCACAGTGTCAGACTTCAACACTTAGTAAATTAGTACAGCATAGTTGTGTATTTATCATCACTTAATAAATACTATTGTAGTGTGAAGTATTATGCATCTGTATATACACTGGTTTATTCATTAATCATTTGTCTAAGTACAAGTAGCCAAACTGAGTCATCATATAACACTCAAAGGTAGTAAATAACGTTTTTAAGAAGGTATCTTCATTATACAGTGTGTTATATTGACCCCTGTTGTAAGCTGGTCTACTGAAGGTTCACACAACACATCTGGTTAAAGCACCTTCTGATAAGCTCAGGAGTATTACAAATTACATACAGTATTGTATTATTTCTCTAATACTGAAGATGTTATATTTATCTTGATGAACCATAAACCTGACTAATGTGGCAACACCCGATCAGCCCCAGTCTGCGTACATACTCAAGTGTCATAGTTCTCAGTTGGCTTATAGCAAATATTATTAGACCACTGTAGAGTATTCAGTAAGTGTTGTTCTTTTCATTAGATTTATTTTTATTTATTGGGTATTTCTAGTGACTAGATTATTTCAGAGTCCAAAAAAGGCGAATTTATCGAGGTTTTACTGTAATCCTTTAAATAGAGGTTCTGCTGTACTGTACCGTAATTGTGACATCCATTTATTATTTTTATGAATTTCTTTTTTGTCAACAGTCAACGGACAAGCACGGGATCACTGCACTATTAGCGGCCATCTGGGAAGGACATACACAATGCGTCAAGGTGTTGCTGGAGGCTGTAAGTGATACTGTATATTGACTCTTCCCTCACGAGTTGATGCCTTGCCCTCATGTTTAAGGAGGTAGATTATGGGGTGTGGGTGGGTGTTTGGGGATGTGGTGTGGGAGAAGGTGTGGGTGTGTGTAGTGTGTAGGCTTATTTGTACATTGTATCTCATTTCATTGGACATAGGAGTTTACAGTCACCTGGGAGGCTGAGTAGTTGGTGGTGGTACTGTGTTGTTTGTGGTCCTTATAGGGTGTTAATGTTCTCTCTTCATTCACAGGATGTCAGGGTAACACACACACACACACACACAATATCATTCATCCATTTATCATTATTCCTATGAAGATGACATTTAACCTGTTTCTGATATGACTTGTTTACTTCCAGGGAGCCGACAAGAACGGCACAGCACCGGACGGCACGAGTTACCTGGACGCCGCAGAGAAGGACGAGATTAAGGAACTACTGAGATAAACCAGACTCGGTAGTAGACGGTAAAGGTGCGTGAGACGTCCTCTGCACGGTGATGGTCAACTGCTGTACTGGAGAGGAGAGGTGTTGTGTGGTGTAGTGAGTCTTCTGTGTACGGTGGTGGTAGAGCAGTGTATAGCGTACGGTACCAGCTGGGTTGTGTATAACAGGTATACTTTTTGCCGTGCACTCCTACATTTCTTGGGCATTGATGGTGACTTTTGGAACCGGCAAGGGATCAACGTCGACATAAATGAGCCGGCTCGATCGAGGAATGTTGAGGTTTAGGGTGTCGGAGCCTTCTGATGTTTCTACAAAATTGGCGGCAGATTTAATTGACTTATCCTGACAAACTTAAAAAATCATTGTGACGGCAAAGTATATGTACGTAGTTTACCACGAACCTCAGAAATAATTTTATTTGCTCAAATTTTTATGATGTGAAGTAGGATGATGATAAATTTCATAACGGTGGTGAAATTTGGTTGAAACACTGAAGGATTTATATGACTATTGTATCCTATCATGGTTCTATGTTCTCTACTGGGTAAAAAAAAATGTGCTCTACCGGGATTAATACATTGCCGTCCAAAAGGAAGAATTTGAGGCTAAGTTCACACCAAAACCATTGTATCATTAACACCCTTTGTATTAAGCCCAATTAAAACTCAATAAATCTTTCAACAGTTTAAAAAATTATTAATTTGTTTAGTGGAATTAATGATTTGATGATTTGTGTGAAGCAATGAGTTACAGTAGTGGCTAGTGATAGGAGAGAGAGAGTTGTGCAGCTTAATGGGTGTTTACTGTATGCTACAAATTATTTATTAACACGGCAATCCACTGTACACCTGCTATTGAGTCGTGACAGCTATTGAGTCGTGAAAAAACTTTTAATGTGCAGTATTTAGTTATCAAGTAATTGGGTTAAATAATGTTTAATAAGTTATCAGGTAATTGGGTTAAATAATTTTTCCAACATCAGACTTGGTAAATATTTTTGTTGTTGATACGGTACTGCACGAACCACCGACTGGCTTTGTGGCAGGTTCTTGTGTGAGGTTCTTAAGTAAAACCCCCAACGGTGCAGTGTACGGTACTTCTCGCCCACCGTATAACAACCCAAGTCGGTGAAAAACAACGAAAATTTCTATTAATTATTCCCGAATTCTTCACAACGTGGGTGTGACTCTTAACTCGGACGATCTATACGTTTACATAAGTTTATCCTCAGAATCTAACCAGAGGCTGGGGAATTATTTTGTTGGGTGACCAGTGACCACTCCATACATCAACTCTTGAATTGATAAAGTGTTTAAGATGATTACAGTATCTGGGAGTAAAGAAAGGTTAGTTAGTGAAATGATTATAAAGTTACTGAAGGAGGGCACAAAGGCTCAATGACAACAGTTTGAAAACAAGTTTCCCTGTGATGTAGACTCATGTGGAGAGAACTTCTTCCTCTTACAGGAACACACAGTAAGGGATGACAGTGTACACTACACAATAGAGAACAAAAACACAGTGTACTGTACACAAGAGGGAACAAGAACACAGTGTACAGTACATAAGAGAGAACAAGAACACACAGTACAGTACAAGACACACAGTGTTTGGATCACCACTATGGTAAAAGACAATATACTGGATACAGTATCAGGGTATCGGTCTCCTTAGCTTACTTACCTACATGCTTCAGATGGGTGGGTGGGACGGGATAGTCATAAGAACATAACCAACTTGTGATCGGCCCCTTGTACCGGATCGGGATTAAACTTTGTGATGTAGTTTGTAGGGATTTGTACATAGGCTAACTATTGTACTACGCTGCCAGTCACTCACAACAAAAAAAATGGAAAATACTTTCCTTTTAATCTTCATAAAAAAATTAGCACAAGTAGACTACGCGTTGCTTATGATCACCTGCGTTTTGCTTTTGTACGTGATGCAGTCGCCAGATGTTGGACTTTGAAACACTGTAAATTTACCCGAGTGACTGTAGGGAGGGTTGAGGAGACATCACAACACTCCTATTATGTATAACATGACATAGCAGTGTTTGTAACTCAGCATTAAACAGCACATATTATTATTTTCAACTGTTTCACCTCTTGAATTGTAAGGTTGGCATTGTAACTCGGTTGGTGATGTGATACTGCAGTACCCGCATCAGGCAGGTGAACTTATACACAGTACTGTCTACGTGAGAGGTACTGTACTCGGGCCCATTGGCAAGAAAGGGTAAAAGTCTGTGCAAGTATCAAACATAATTCTTTAAGTGGTTAGTGTAGACTCGGCTACTGATTAATTTCTCTCCCCCCCCCATTGTTATTTAGGTGAATGTGAGGCAGTGTTCCGTTGTAGTCGTGTTAGCCTCGTGGAGATTCTTGTGTCTATTTTTACACTCCTCGGAGAGATTGAAGCCTTTTTAATGAGGTCGTGGCTCTGGGCTCGAGTCTGGCTACTATATTATTTTTACTAGAGGCAGAGGCGGGTGTGTCAGGGTTAAGGTATACTCGCTCCAAAAAGTATCTTTACGATTTTGTGAGAGATTACATGACAACAGACAGAGGATTTTGACAACCCTACTGAGACAACAGGAGTTGCATGTGTACAATATAACAGTCTTTTGTATGAACACTAAACATAAAATCATACGTGTAGGTCTGGCTGCCTGCTGTCATAAACAGTCACTTTCTACAGAGGCTATGACACACATATACACCTTCTTGCTCGCTAGTAAGAATAACACAAGAGCTAAATTGGGGTTAAAGAGCTGCAGCCCTTTTTTTAATAAACTATTCCTGCCCTGGTTCACTGATTTGACCAGCCTAGTAGACATGCTCACCCACACACACCAACTTGAACCCCTCCCACCTCCTAGGACCCTATATCCTTAAAGTTAGCTATCTGACAGCATCTTCCATGGTCTTGAGTTGCTTGCCGTCACTTACGCTTAGCCGCCTCAAACTCTGCTCGTGTCTCTGTGCTTTGCTTAACGGGACACAACATAATGCTTTGATAGGTACAGTACAGGCTCTTTTTATTCCTTTCCTCTCTTTTTTCCTCCTTTCTCTCCCCTCTACCTTCTTTCCTTTTATTTTCTCTCCATTCTCTTTGTTTCTCCCTTCATACCTTCTTTCCTCTCTCTCCCATCTTTCCTCCTTTCTCTTCCCTCTATCCTCTTGTTACCACTGTCAGTGCTGTAAATGCTTGCTCTTCCATCACAGTAGCAAGCCATCAACACAAACCTTACAAGGCAATGTCTGCTTCTGGGTCACACTGAGAGGTGTAACGAGGTTCTCAGAAAAATATATACACACTGGCTTACAGATTTGCGTGGAGATCACCTCATGAGTGCTCACGTAACAGCAGCAATTTTGTCCTCACTTGTGGGATGCCTTGCACATCAACAAGTGAGGAAAATTTTGCTGTTCTAGTACTTGTTTTCACTTGATGTGTGAGGTCACCTATAAGTGAAAACAATGTTGCTTTAATAAGACAAACATTCATAATATCTCTATAAAAATATGTTAGGCAGTGTGTATACATTTTTCTGAGACACCTTGTATGTGGTCAGTAGTTATTACACTTAGGAATCGAGCGACTACGGTAAAGCCAAATTTGCAGGGATTATAATGTGGTACAGTATAGTAGAACACTTGGTAGATTATTACAACATATACAGTACAGAGAGTTGGAACTTGGGGGGGAGAGGAATGTGAGATGGCATGACATTTGCCCCCCAAAAATAAAAAAATAAAATAAAAAAATTTCTCCCTCATTTTGGACACCAGGTCGCAAAACCTTTTTTTTATAAGTCTGCAGATTTGATTCCTTTCTTGAGGTAATAACAGTTGGTTCCTTGCTCTTCTTCTTCCTTCAGACTTGACTTATCAAATGATTCCACTAACTTAAGCTGTTGTTATAGACAGATATAAGTGAATGGAGTTCAGTTGACGTGTCAGTTATACTGTACTGTACATTATTGTGGACACCTAAACCATCTTAAACTCAGACTAATGGAAGACACTCAATATACCCTCCAAGAGGCTACTCTTAGCAAGATCATATAATCTTTTTGTGTGAAGGATTTTATCACTTGTTGAAATGTGAAAAGTACGATAATTTTGTAGCGTTGTGTAATATTCCCGATCAGACTCTGTACGGCCGGGCTAAGATTGTATTTTTCAATGATTCTTAAATCTAATTTTTTCTCCAAAGTAACTGGTATATATATATATACAGACTTCATATACAGTTGCATTAGGTCTATATGGTGGTGAGAAGTATACAGTACTTGTGGCATATCTGTCAATGTTTGGTGTGAAGCGCTCTTCTCTGGAGGCTGTTTATCTCTTGTATCTTCTCCTCCCACGTCAGGACAGGACGCGGTTCTTCTCGTCCGGTGGTGTTTCCTTGACCTCAAAATTCCCTCCCTGTTAAAACTTATAATCAAAAGAAGACTCAAAGTAAGATTTTTCTCTGTAAATTTTGGAACATCAATCGAGGACAGTTTGTCCCTGGCGGAGGAGAGCGCTCAACATCGTCTTCTCTGAGGAGTTACAGTAGCCAAAGTTTATCTTCTTAAACCTCAGAATGTACACAAGCTCTTTACCCCAGAGTCTCTTTGTAAACTAACACCACCAAGTATTGGCTGTCTCACAAATATGTATACACACTGTGAATGTTTGTACTGTATTACTGCTCCATCTCCACAAGAGTGACTAAGGCAGAGTGTGTATACTTTATTTTGAGATGGCCAGTATTTGCCTCACCATTATTAATATTTGTGTGAGGGGTTAGATGGCCTTCCAGTCACCATGTTGAGCAGTCATGCAAGTATCCAGTTTGATCTAAGTGTTGTTTAGACTAGTTCTGGCGGGGTCTCGGCCGTGCCTCTCCATCCATATATTTGTTTTTGTCTTCTGGTCAGGCAATAAATATTAATTGTTTCTCATTTTGATATTCGTTATATTTTGGGCATTGCTTAAGGGGTCATATCTCGAGTTTAAAGTTGGTACAATACTGTTTTTGGAGCTTTTTGTGCTTAATATTACCATCGGTGAAAGTTAGCTGTAAGGACAGCGGCCATCGTCATTGGATGGTTATGTTCCTTGCATTCCATTTTTACAAATACAAGGGTGGAGGAAAGAATCCTTAGCTGCCCAGTAAGGGTGAGGGAAGACATTGCTTGTGTATGGTCGTAAACTTTCATACTATACAGTACTGTACACACAAAAACTCTGGGATACTATACTGCCATTAGAAACAAGTCAGTATACTGCATCTAGATCTTTGTCTTAGGTTCAGAGAATCAAAGTTGTCATCATACAGGGCTACCCACCCTGAGGTACACTGTACTGTACATGTCTTCACTAAACACACAAACAGTAGTGTGCCAGATGTGACCTGTTAAACTCTGTGTGTTTCTAGTTTTTAATGATGGAATGAAACAAATTGGAAAGTATTTCATCTCTTGGGGTGAAGTTTTCTGTTCTAGGCATTGCTTCAACTTCCTCCTGTGTGAAGTTTGTATTGACCATTATCGCAGAAGTTGTTACATCTGTTGGTACAGTAAATTGAGGAACTAATTTTGTAATCAAAACTCTTTTAGACATTGCTTAAAAGTGCTCCCATTAAATAGTCTTTTAAAATTATCACTAAAGGTATATCTTTTTAACATGATAAAAAGTGTAAGAGAAATGTTTGTTTGGGGTAATGTAAATGCTTCTGTTCTTAAGAGTGACCACAGTGCACCATACAGTACAGGTGGTGCACTGTACTGTACAGGATGAGCTGTAGGTGGTGTACCTTTCTGTACCATACTATGAGACACCCTGCATATTAAAGCACTATGGAAAGACAACCCCAAGGAACATCTCCGAGGCAGCAGATAGTAATAAGTTTAATATTTGTTCATAATGATACTGATGAGAATAATATTGGCTAAGTGTGACCATTTGTGCTCCTCAGAAGTTTGCTTATGTGAGAACATTTACGTAATTTCTCTTTATTTTGTGCTGAAAAAGAAAATTGTAGTTGATAATTGTTTGTTTGTTTCAGTGACATTTTATTTATGGTAAGGTTAAGTTTGTTTCGATAAAAGATGAAAAAAAGTAGATATTGGTTCATAATGTGTTGCAGGGTACAGTACAGTATTTAAGTTACATTGTATCACTGGAGACTGTAGTTGTGTTACAGTGTGGCAGCTCTCATTACACTGCAGTACTTTCATGTATCTAGAAATGAGAGTTATTTGACCAATTTGAGAATTTAATAACCCGAGAAAGATTATAGGTTAATGGTTATGAGTTGTTGGTCAAGTATAATAAAACCAGTTTGTTGTGAATTTAATGTTTGTGAGTTTATTAAGTATTAAAATGGGTTGGATAATTTATCGAAGGTTTCAATTACATTACAGTATGTCTAAGAGTCGGTTGGTCAGTAATGTTGCTCTGGGTTCATTTGTGAGAGTCGGTCGGTCAGTAATGTTGCTCTGGGTTCATTTGTGAGAGTTGGTCAGTCAGTAATATTGCTCTGGGTTCATTTGTGAGAATTATGGTCGTACCTCACCGTTGTTTCACTCTCTGACATCTATGAAAGTCACTTATAAAAACCTGATCCAGAACCTTGATTCCAATATCTTCCATGTATGTGTGTCACTCTGTCTTGTTCAGTTTAAGTTTTATGTGATGAGAAATTATTCCGTTTTGAGTCGGATAAAAAAAAGCGATTCCAATTGATCTCTTCCATGTGTGTTAAATCTGCCTTGGGGAGGGGGGTTAAAAGGTGCTGTTCACAGTCACAAGATGCAATTTAAATTCATATTTTTTAATCTGGTCTTATTAAATCTTTGCTTATTTCCACGATGCTTCTCAAGGATGATGATAAAATATACCTAGAAGATGATTATGTTATTGTTTTGTTGCATTTACATTATTTACAAATATTTTACGACGTCAAATTGTGTGGGAGGATCAGAGGGACGGGATAAATGTTCTTGCTTCACATCTTGCGATGCAACATTCCCACTGTCACACGGCGGCAGTGTTTACAGTCAGTTCATTATTGCACCGCCTCTGAACGGTTGACGTATGATGTTAGTAAACATTTCTTCTGGTTGACGTATGATGTTAGTAAACATTTCTTCTGGTTGACGTATGATGTTAGTAAACATTTCTTCTGTTTAATGTTTTACACCAACTTATGATTTAGAGGATGTTGTCATGTAATGTTAGGGTTGTATTACCAAGAAAATGAGAATTGTTCACAAGTGTCACCCAGTAATTTGCTTATCACTGTTCTTCTTGCTTCCCTGATGGCCATGTGAGCTCAAGCTTTATCTATCATCCATTTTTTAATGCCAAAAGATTATTTCACAAAACCTATACAGTTGGCACTGTCAGGATTTACATCTTATTTAAGAATACTTAGTAGTCTCATAGCGATGGAAAAGATTCCTAGATGTAATTTAATTTGGCAATAACAACAAATAGATATTGGGATATAAACTCAATATGCACAACCTTGCTGTCTTCTGTACAGTCCCGTGGGTGTGGCCTTTTGCGGTAAAAAAGAAAAAAATTCAAATCTTTGGCGCATTAATGATGTAAGCCTGCTTGGGTTTTCACTTGTGAGCAAGGTACAGTTTAGTGTTAAGAGTAAGTAAGGAGTATGAGCTCGGCCCAGACGGTCTTGGCTGCCCTTGAGAGACAAGTTCCCACGGGCAGATTATTGAGAGTCGGGAACCATCTTGCCATAATCTTAATGTGGGATATCCGGAAGAATTTGCACGTTATCAGTTGTTAATTATTCTCCTTCGAGTTTGTAAAGATTCACAATGTACCAATGATTGAAAGCATGTTATATATATTTTATACTTAAGTGCATAGTAGAATCTATATTTGCTTTACATGAAAAGTGATGCAATGGGCTTTATTAAAGGTTAAATTGGAGTGCAGTCTGTAGTTGAATTAATCTTTTTTCTCTCATTTTAAATCTCCTGATGTTTGTTTATTTTTAAAGTCTAACTGTGTTATCTGAGTCTTGTCCATTGGAATCTTACTGAAGCAATTTTTTGTGAGTAATTGTACTAAAAGTGATAATTAATCAATAAGTGGCAGCAATACAATATTTTAATACACTTTTATTTGCAAGTGACTTGGTTTAGTTGCATTTGAAAGTTTGTCTTAATTTAAATATCTTGATGCAAGTTACTTTCCAGCCAGAGTTTGTTGAATCAAATCTCTTTACAAGTTTTCCCATAAGTCAGCTTGTCGGTGAAGCAGCGATTAATTAACACAGCGAGTCGAGTGATATTAAATGGTAGAGATGCACTGCAGATGTAACTGACTATTATTGTGTTGTGCATGATCGTCATAATATTATATTTTATTCTCGGTTCCTTTTGTATTTCCTGTGTTGTAAAGCAAAAACTTGTAGGAATGTGATTTTGTATGATCAACTGTTAAGCATTTTTATATCTACAAGGGGCCTACGGCTTGTTTAATGATCTAGTTATTTGCCTGTAACCTCTTCAATATGGAGCAAATAATAGCAATTTTGACAATTGTTTAATTATCCAATGGACACGATTATGAAAATTCACGAATTTAGGAATTGTAAAGAGTTTCTACACAAGATGTAATGAGTAAGTACTGTTCTTTAACTTGAAAAATACTGGACTTTTTGGTCTTCACCTTAACCATCGGTCAAGTGCACAAAATTGGAACACAACGAATATAATTTCTATAGGTGGTCACCGTCCCTACAGGTAACTTGTACCGGTGATGGCTGCCACTTAAGGGTGAATAATAATGGTTATGAAAAATTTACTAAGTTTAAAAGAACTTCTACAATGGTTAGGGACCCAAATCCAGGTCGTAAGTCGAAAATGCTTAAATAATACATAGAAAATCTAAAATGGGCGTCTCTTTTTCTTCTCAGCACCACAAAACACTCACTTTTAAGCTTGCCAGCAATTTTAAAGTGAGTTACAAACGAAAATTTTGCCTGTACTGACGTTGGGACTCGAAAATACGTAATTTGACAAAATTTTGGTACGACTGAGGTAGGTCGTAAGTGCGAGTGGTCGTAAGTCGAGTAGGTTGTAAGTTGGGGAGGAGCTGTATTGGGTAAATAATATAATTTTTGGGTCTGAATTGGATTTATCCTTTTGGTGATCTCTTGAGGTAGATTTTTATAAAGTTAAAAAATGTAAGTGTTATCTATCTCGGTAAACAAGGTTGAGTAGAGTTTCAAAGCGTCTCCTGTCGAGTAGAAGCTTAAGCACAACAATGTGTCACAAAAACAACTTAAACAGTTCCCCATTTATAGACAACTATTATCATACACTCAACACTTCAGAATCGGTATTCTTGCACTTCTTTTTGCCGCGCCTTCTTGATTGTTTCCGCATCTTCTTTTCACAACACTCACTTACCTCTTGGTGTGTTGTAAGGCCAGTTTTTACATCAACTTTATGTGAAGGAAGAACACACTTTTTCTTCTTTTTCTTATGAGTGTTGTCCTGACCTGTGTCCGAGATCTCTGCAGTACACTGGACATCTTTCGTACAGTCTGAGCCTCCATTTACACCGATACAGTTTGTGTTTATGACGTGTGTTGCACCGAGAGTCTCCACCTGATGCTCATGGCTGGTGTCATCGCAGGCTCTTAACACCATCACCCCATCTTCTTTCCTTTCCTTCACTGTATACTTCTCTAAGTACCTGAAATTATACTTGTGTTAAGGCTGTGAACTTAACACATATACACTGTAGTTTACCATGATGGCCCTTCTCTACAACTCAATTCTGGGTAACTGATTTTGTGGAGAGATAAGTCCATTATATGTGAAACCTCTCTCAATGGACTGTATGTGTTAGATGCAGGTTTCACTCGCTATATGTATCACCCACACTTTTGTTGACCTTCTCCATTCCAACATTACCTAATATTTTTTGGGTGAGGCCAGGGGTAGTCATCACGCTTGTCTTTGATCCACTGGGGTGATACAGCCAGCGACAAGCATCTGCTTATCACCTCACCCTGTAAATGGCAAATATTCTCAAAAGTAAAATTCATTCATTCATAAAGTACAGTAATGACATTATCAATACAGGCAGACCCCGAGTTCCAAACAGGTTACATTCCTAGACCCTGTTCATAACTCAATCTGTTCACAAGTTGGAACAGTGTTAATTTCATAGTTTAGGTTAGGTTATAGCACAACCATGCCCATACAAAAAAACATAATATCCCATTCATAACAAATAAAGCTCTGTTAAACAATATACAGTAATGTAAAAAAAATGGAATATTAGTTACAGATTTTTGTGACTAATATACAATACAGTACAGTAATGGAATCCAGTTCGTAGGGGCGGGTGAGAAGTTGTGTATAAATTGTATGAACCAACAGGCAAGAGTCAATCCATGCACTGAGATACAAACAGTTGAGTAAGAGCAAGGGTAAGCTAGAAAATCTGCCACCAACCCTGGATGCCCTACTACAGTATTACACATACGCCTAGCTCACTACCAAGAATTAGTCGGATTAGAATTCTTTGGGGGCAAATCCAGGAATTCAGTGTCCAACAAGAAGAGGTTTGGCACTGCCTATCCTGATGACCAAAGAAGGCCTTTCTGCCTAATGCAGTACAAGACTGGGCACTGTTCATGCAATAGGATCACACTGAAATGTACTAGTGCTTTTAAATGTGATTACGGTGCCAGAAACCATACAATCATGACTGATATTGACTAGAAGGGAGTTAGGATGCTTGATTGAATGTTTTGTACACATTAGTGCATACTGTAATGTACCTATTCTACTTCAGTTAAAGTTTGTAAAGATAATTTATAATTTTACTTAGGTTATTAAATAAAAAAATCAATTCAACCAAAGGGGCAACATATGTGCAGTACAAAGTTTAGTACTGTAGTTATAACTTTGTGTCTATGGCAGAAATCTACCTTTGTGAGCCTGCATGAACCCCACTTGGTCTTCAGTGTTGGTAATGCCTTCTCAAAAAGGCACCTAACATCAGTAGTCAGGATAGTAACATGGGCTTTCTCAGCCAGGAAGGATCCTACATTGATCTTACATATCTTGCCAACTTGTAGCAATTTTTAGGCCGCTTTTTGAGATGTGTCTCCAGACCAATGTGTGATGTGAGGCTGTTAGAAAAGTTCAGTATGCTGTGACACAGAATGTATGGATGGAAACACAACACCACTTTGATGTCTGCATACACACAGCCATAAAAGAACCTCATAGTGACCTTACATAGCTTAAAATAAAACTTTCTGAGTTCTTTATTAGTGTATCTTACATTGTCAGGGTTTTTTTTTTTTTTTTCATAATAAATGTTTAATATTGAGAAGACCATTAGTAACCAATGAGTACCTTATTGTGGTGTTGGCTCTTTATACAGTACCTCATCTGAACAATCAAAGTAACACATTTTTTTGTGTTTCTTCACTTTCTTCTTCCTCTTTTCTGTGGTGCCACCATTCTCTTCAACAGCATTCTCGATAATGATGTTTTTCAAGAGTTGTAAAGGCTTTTGAGCGTCATTAGCCCTGTCATGGCCATCGTTGGGTGTTTCAGTAATTTCCACATTCCTGTAAGATTTAAATATTGGTTTACTTTGAAAAACACAAGACAGAAACAGTAGATACAGATATAAATTTTCTCATTGTAGTGAGGGCCATCCTCCATGGTCCAGTGTTAGTACAGGAGTAAACTGTAGTACCCAGAGAAAACCTGCCATGTTTGGTAGTGCCACACTGGATAACATCTGGACCAGGGGACTGAATCCAGGCACCGCTTTGAGAGACAGTTACTGCTGTACATGTCAGTCACAACAAAACAAATGTCATTTGAAGATCAGATATTGCTATTTATATTAAAATAAAAATGACTTTTAAAAGGTCATTTACACATAGAGGACAGTACAATCTCTAGAGTGAGACCTTAACTAACCAGGACCCACACTAACACCCCTCTCATCTACACACTCCTCCCCAACTCACTTCCTCCCCAACTCACTTCTCTAGAATTCCAGTCAGCTGTTTGGCTAAATATGAAGAGAATGGTGAGGGAACATCTGCACCACCACCATGTGTGTTTCGCCTGGCACTAGATGACACTTCTCCCCGCACCTTGGCACCAACCAGACCGTATCCTGCAGAGGTGAGCTGTGTTAGTACATTTTATAATGGTACCACATGTGTGGTCCTACATATATACATCACTAGAAAATTATACTGTATTGCACATGTGTTGAGCCCATCCACCAGCACGAACTAGGTTCTGAAGGTGTGGATGGACAACCAATCGCTTCAGAGTAACAATTCGTCGTCTTGGCTGTTAATAATCCAGTATGAGAGTCGCGAGATATGTTCAGGTAACATACTTGTTCACCGTTCTATATTTATTTGTTCGTATTACTGTATTATTTATTAGAGGCAGTTTGGGGAAAAAATACTTGGGGGATGTGCAGGGATATACATCAATTTTAATGTGGGTTTCTATGGGAAATTCATGTGCTTTTAACTTAAAAGGTTTTCAGTAATGCAGCATCACAAGTTAAATGGTGAACGGTGGCTGTGTACCACAATACCAGAGATTCAGTAAAGGTCGCTGTGTGTGTGTGTGTGTGTGTGTGTGTAAACATAACACAAACACTATTGAGTTTATTGCCTGATAATATGACAACAGCCACAATATTGTCAACAGAAAAATATTCAAAGCTTTACTCATTTACAAAGGGATACTTGCAGTAAATGTTAGTACAGTGTGCCCTGCAAATTCGCGGCGGTTAGGTTCTCAAAATGGCTGCGAATGACATTTTTACTTGTTTACAAAGAAATGTACATTCCCTTTGTGTTTACCCTCAGGACAATTATTCTGATTATTTATTTGACCTGTATTGTATATGTGTGTGTACTTACGTACATACATACATACATGCACACACACACACAAAACACATACAAATAAATAATAATGGGAAACCCTCTCACAAATAATCAGAAACAAATTTATCAAAAACGTGAGTCTACCCTCAAGTCACATCACTCTATCCTCCTCTATTTCTTACAAACTTGGGGTTAGGTTAGGCTTTTAAGGTGTTTACATTGTTTGACCTTCCACTTTTTCCCAATATCTCAACTGCTGCTCATTTCTGACGGCAATGAGGGACATATTTGTATTAAGCACGATGATTTACACAATACAAATACATTACCAAAAGTAAATTAGGTGGCAATTAATAAATATTTACCCTTACATGAGCTGCTTGTCATCAGTGAACTATGTCGGTATCCCCAGAGTTGGTAGGTTGGCAGTTTTGACTCCAATTGACAGACATATTTTGGCTATTTTGTACTCAAAGTGGCGTTGTTTAGGGTTGATTAGGAGTAAAGTTTGGTATGTAATACCCTAATTACTACCCGAGTATTACCTAAATTATCACCATAAATATAACCTAGGTATTAACTTTTAAGTATTCCCTAACATAATTATATTTACCATTTTCTCTAGCGGTGTTTAAAGACGTGAGAGACTTTTGGATTCTTTTGAGGAGTAAAAATGTCTCTCTCTCGTCTCTCACTTCATCGTCTCTCTCTCTTTCCTCCACTGTCTCTCTCTTATCACAAGTCTTCTTCTTCTCAAACACAAGTGACAAGGTTGGGTCACAAGCTTCTCTAAACCTCGCGTCATCTTCACTACTCGAGGAAGACATTGTTGTTATAAAAGAAAAACATAAACAACTGTGACGTCACACGGCAGCCATTGATTGTGTCCCTTTACGATAAAATAACTTCTCTATAATTTTATCACTAAAAACCTTAAGTCAGCGTAATTGATACAACAAACGACATAATACATATGTAAAATTGTTATAATATTAAATAATTTTGTATTACATGTTAATTCGATCTAAAATTATTATATTTATTGTTGATATAAATCTTAAAAGAACGTTCAAGATGTCTTTACAAAAACGTGTAATACAGTATATCAGTAAAATCGTCAGATAAGTTTACAAAAGATTCAAAATGTGTATATATAATGTAGATATACACTCCAGCATGTATATAGACATAAACTTAGTGGGTTAACAGTTTTTAATGCACTTACATAAACTGAGTAAAGAGTAGAACAATTTGACCAGGGAACCCAACAATGTTATCACCTGCTCGTACCTGTCTATATACATGCTGAACTACACACCTGCACGGCACTAACACTGGACCATGGCAGGTTTTCTCTGGGTATTACTACTAAACCACCATTGTTAGTACTGTACTACCATGACCATCAGGCCATGGTGTTAGTAGCTACACATGATCTCAGACACAAGATTGGGTAAACAAGTACTCAGGTTGATGGGTATCACAGCTCCTTTATTTCCTACTACAACAACATTGCTACTTTAATAACACTTAGTTTATTAACAAGAAATATAAAATCAATATATCTCTATATTATCAGCCTCTGAACAGTATAAATAAAGCAATATATATACATAATGAGATATAGACTATGTTATTATTTTAAGTAATATACTATTGGTATGAACAGATCTTTTAACCCTCAACCAGCAGCTAATGCTTCCTCCACCACCCTGTAAGATCAAATACTGGCAACATGGAACTTAAACTGACGACAGCTGCCATCCCCACAGCTAACTTCCACTGATGATGGCTGCCATCCCTACAGCTAACTTCCACTGATGATGGCTGCTGTCCCTACAGCTAACTTCCACTGATGATGGCTGCTGTCCCTACAGCTAACTTCCACTGATGATGACTGCTGTCCCTACAGTTAACTTCCACAGATGTCTGCCTACAGCTAACTTCCACTGATGATGACTGCAGTTTAAGGGTTAAATGTCTTAATAGAAGATCTTTTAAACGGTGACACCGATGTCTCCCAAGATCTCTGAGAGTCGCTGAAGGCTGGTGTGTAGTGACTCCTGAGACAGCCCGGGGGAAGACCGGTGAAGAAGCTGCAAGGCGTTTATGTACTCCAACTCAGCGAACTGTTTTCCCCGGTTCATTATGCCATTTAGAATTTCCTGAAAGTGAGAGATGATATATAATTTAGTTCACCATATTCTGGGCAGCTGGATGTCATAACCACACATACTCTCACATGCTAGACTCAGAACATATGAACTCTGGTGTCAGGTACTTCATATCAAACACCTTACTTACCCCTTACCCTATGCCCTCAACCCTTAACCCCCTACCCTTTACCCTTAGTGGTGGCCCTAACAGCGCTATACTCACATCAGGATTGTGGTACAACATCTCATAGTATTGTCTTGCTTGGTCTAGTGCCAACTCTCTGGTCATGGTGATGTTAGTAAGCTGCTGCTGGATGCTGAAGATGTTGCGACACATCTTTTTGATGCCGTTCTCGTTGATGCGGCGAATGTGGACCACCGACGTCATCAGGATGTTGGCTATGAGGGGTCCGAGGCCTTCAAAGATGTACTGCAAATATACACATACAGAAGCTAAGTCATTGTACTCAAGGGGTTAAGTCATTGTACTCAAGGGGTTAAGTCATCATACTCAAGGGGTTAAGTCATTGTACTCAAGGGGTTAAGACATCATATTCATGTGGTTAAGTCATTGTACTCAACACCTTGAGTACAATGACTTAACCCCTAAAGACATTGTGCTCAAGGGGTTATTCATCTTGCAAAGCTAATTACTTAACACCTGTATTTTTTAAACTATTTTGGGGATGATAAATCACCTTACATTTATAAAGCAAACTAACAGAACCTAACCTAACTTATATGTAGTGTTGGTGATAACTTACCTTACATTTACGAGGGTGTAGTGTGTTGGTGAGAGCTTCATCTATGGTAGCCAGGTCTTTGATTAACTTGAGGACGTCATTGTCTGGTTCCTGGGAGTCAAGGCCAGAAGCAAACCCTCCACCTCGGGCCACAGGCAGCAGGTAGAAGAAGCAGTGAAGACGAACCTGTCAAATGTGTACTGTACTGTAATCCTTCATACTGGTAACACCTGTACTGTACTGTAATCCTTCATACTGGGAACACCTCCATTGTACTGTATTATAGACCTTATAAACTGTGGTAAAAGGTGTAAATTATTTCAAAACAAATTAACAAATACTTTAGATAACAAATTCCAACCTCCAAATTTAATAAGAGGAGGAATGTTTGTGACTTATATTTATTAAAGGGTGTGTCATCTTAGTCTGCCCACTACTCCTCCAGTCTCAAGGAGGTGAACCCAGCACCAGCCAGCACACTCACCTCTAAGTGAAGCACCAACAAGCAAGTGTGTGCGAGCTCTTCAAAATCTTTGGCCAGAGATGTGAGAGTCTGCACGGAGGCGTCCGAGACGGGAGGCACTTCACCCGACACCATGATGCCGGAAGACGTCGACTTTACTGGCAGCGACGTGGCGAACTTGACGATACAACTCCCGAACCATTCCTGTCAACGGCCATATTGCTTTAGTGAGATTTATTTCCGAGTGAGTGAGTGAAGACCTACCCTGAGTTATAGTTGCGGAGAGTAGAGTGGCTGCCGTAATGACCCCCATCAGACCAGGACTTTTAAGATTGACTACTGTGGATCCAAAATATATCCAACTGGACTCAAGGTTCGTTACAAGAAAGTTTAAAGTTTTATTTTATTAAAAGTTTATACATCAGATAAATCCAAAGAAATCCCATGGCAATTCTCAGTTTGAGTAAAATTTGGTCTAAAAAACAGTTTATAACACGTTGGTCAAATCTTCCTCGTGCCAATCCACCAAACTGTTTATTATCATCACCCCTATCACCATCACCACAGTCATCGTCCACACCTCAAGAACAACCAACTCACCAAACTCTCCTGCAGGTGGCCCAAGGTTCTCAGTTGGGCCGGGTCGGCTAATATCTCATGTTGTGGTATCAGTTGATCGCCGAGGTTGCCAGTCAGGATTTCCGCTTCCTTGCGATTGCGTTCACCCACCTGTTGAGTTGTGCATCATAATTAACTCCCAGCAGAAAACTAATGCAACTCTTGGATGATTTAGTTGGAGTGTGAAAAATTAAATCTATTCTCTTACAGTAAATGTACAGGGTGTGTTATAAGTGATGCACCATATTGTACAGGGTGTCTCATAGGTGGCACACTAAGACTAGGTCAACGAGGATGTACCGTATGTCAGAATATCTCACCTCAGCTCAATGTTCTGGTGGTACTGGATGTTTTCTGTCAGCCCTTGTGCTCTTATGGGGATTATATCACACTGGTAGGGTCTGATACCACTATAAGATAGAGGAATGTTGGGGCTATAGACCGTTGTAGATAATGAGGAACAGAGAAACATGGTGACATGCATATTGCTACTTGTAAATGCTTAAGATGTACTGTGAGGAAACCTTACTTAACCTGACTTAACCTTAACCACATGACCTACCTCTTCAGGATTCTCATCACCCCCAATGGTACACTCAGATGACACTCCGGCCTGAAGAACTCGCCAGTTAGGTAAATCTCTGGAGAGGGAGAGAGAGGGAGGGAGAGACAGTGAGAAAATATAAATTAAAATATTTACAGAACGTCGGTTTATTGTTGTTATTTACACAACTATACAGCGATGATCCAGTAGTGTACGTACAGTATGTATACTAAGTAATCCAGTATAAGAAAATACTAGTTAAATATAAAACAAAAACACCCCATATGTTTTGTTTTTATTTCTAATTAAACAACAAAAGTTCAACATTATTTACACAACACAGACACACACCATTGCACTCCATACATTTCACTCTTAAGCACATTTTGTTGATTATTTTTTCACAGGAATGTATCTCAGTTTGTATAATGGGAGTCTATGGGAGAATATGTCCCAGTGGCTATACTGATACTGTGGGAGATTACTGTACCCTCTGAATCCCACACAACCTAACCTAAACTAACCTGTTTGATTATCACTTGGGATCTTACCATAATGGCAATATTAAATCTGATCTATCATCTATGGGACCCACTTTCCCTTTTCACCTGCATATAATTAAATTCGTAAGACTAAATAATTAAATGGGAGGAAAAATCTATTGACACTGAAAGTCATTAGGACAGACATACCTTAAAAACCTACTGATATCTTCATCTTTAGCCCAGGTGGCAGATATTATCCTCTTGTCCTCTGAATCTGGCTGTGTGATGCCCCTGTACGCTGCCTGGCAAGTCTCCCGGTAGTTCATCAGAGTGTTGCACATCATGGAGACAAAGTGGTCGGCATAGAGAGGTAGAGCCCCCAACAGCCATCTTAATTCCTCGATGCTCTGCCACACGCTAATGCTACTCTGGTGGGAGGGAAGGGGGATCAAGGTAGGAGGTATTAGTCGTCTTTATAAGCTGGTGGATAACGTGGATAATTATAAGCTGGGGAATAACGTGGATAATTATAAGCTGGGGATAATGTGGATAATTATAAGCTGGTGGATAATGTGGATAATTACATGTTTAACTCTCAATAAGAAGACTAAGAGGAGTCAGGGACAAATGACTGAAATCAAAATCCAAGTCCCCAGATAAGATGATAGGTAGAGTTTTAATACACTTGGAGTTGATTAACGAGTTGTATAAACGATCCTTAATGGCTGTAAATGAGTCCGGAAACATCTAACGGCCCGGTTATGTACAGGTTGCTGTCTTTTATTCGTAGAAGGCGTTAAAGGCATTACTTCCTTGATGCCACTGTGATGGGTGTAAGTTTCTCGGTTAAAAAAATAAGCATTGAGCTGTAGATACCTGTAGTAAAGGTCTGTTAACTTTCATGGTCTTAAGGAGGGTCGGGTCCCGGCAGGTGCGCCACTGATCGAGAGCCTTGGTCGCTTGTTCCAGTCTGCCCGCTGTCTCTACGTGCAGCTGAGCCAGGAACGCGTCCTTGATGTAGTCGGTGATGAAGACGTGCAGTGTACAGTGGGTCCTGGACGAGGTGACATAACTTGTTTATTAACACTGTATTGTACTGTAATGAGGGTGTGATGAAGATATGGTGAGAGATAACTAACACTGTATTGTACTGTAATAATAGGGTGTGATGAAGATATGGTGAGATATAAGTAACACTGTATTGTACTGTAATAATAGTGTGATGGTATGGTAGGGTATTTAGTAGAACCTGGCAGACAGACATTACTTGTTGGTACCCATGCTAATCAGCCATCGCCATAGCAGAAAAACACTTGCAAAAACTGAGGAAATATATACTGCAGAAGCATTTATGCATTACCTGGAGGTGAGGTGGTGGTACTAGTGTGTGTATGGTGCTGTATCTACATTATCTGTATTCACACTAAACCAATGATAAACACCCATCTATTCAATGAAACCAATAGAGTAGCTACAGTACAGTAAGGTCCCACTAAACGAGTCATCCGTCGACAAGAATTCACCCAATGAGTACTCCTTTAGCTCTGCATTATACGTGCCTCGTGAAATGGGGCTTTACCGTAAATAATAATAATAATAATAAAAGCTAGGTAGGGACAAGTGGCCCAGTAATTGAGACAGACTATACCTATTATTAAAAACTTGTACAAAATATGAGTGAAGCCATTCATTACAGCATATAGTATAATAGACCAAGATACATACTTTGTGTACTGATGGCTTTCATCCCTGGAAATTTCAGGAAAAAATTCATTGATGCGGTTTATTTTTTCTTAGGCACTTTTGGAAGGTGTAAATATTTGCTCAAAGTAAAAAAGTTATTTCGTCCAAACAAGTCCTTCTGTGTAAACTAAGCCATTGTTGTTTATACTTGATTAAACTGTCTTATTGTTTACTACTGGTTGTGTACCTTTACTGTCTAGGTAAAGGTACAGTATGGGAAGGAAATTACCCAGGGGAGCAGGCTAATGCGTCTTCTATCTCCCTGATGAAGGTCTGGAGCGGGTTGAAGATGGCGGTGATGTTGTGTGGGGACGCCGGACACACTAAGGTTTTATCGTTCATGTTTTTGCCTTTATTGTTGCCTCCTCCTGTGGTGCTGCTGTTGTTACCATCTGTAGGGGTGATGATGGCTTGGCTTACTACACTGTCGGTGGTTATGTGGCAGTCAGACAACACAACTCACTACACTGTCAGCTGTTATGTGGCAATAAAACAACATAACTCACTGTCAGCGGCACACACACACACTCACCTGCAATGGAGAAGTCAAAGAGATCCACCCCAGCTTGACCTGCCGCCTGTTCCATCAGATAAGAGTTCATAGTCATGGCATGGTACGACGCCTCAAACTTGAACAGCGAATAATTTTTGATTCTGGAATGAAATCAATTGACCACTAAACCTCAACAATCAAGCCACTGAACAACTAACTTAAAAATGTATGAATGATGTATATAATCTAATGCAATTGTTTAGACATGAAGGAGAAATGTTTGAGTGGGAGTGTGTGGGGGTGGGGGAGTGGAGGGGGTGGGGGAGTGGAGTGTGTGTGGATGGGGGAGTGGAGTGTGTGGGGGAGGGGTCAAGTTACTAGGGGAAGGGAAGGTGGGAGAGGGTGTGGTAGTGGTGGTAGGGATGAGGGGATACAATGCTACTGATGGTGACAAACATGCTTCTTCAAAGTTGACAGAGACAAATGACGAGCCCTGTTGAGGTGTGGCCGCGGTGAGGAGGTTTATAGGGACACTTTCACATGAGCGACTTCGGAGTAGAAAACTTAACCTCCGACACAGCTGCAGGTGATGGAAATATCTTCACGGATTTGTGTAACGAGATCTAATGGAGGACAGAAAGACACACAGGAAGACAGACAGACAGCAATCCTACAGCTTGACCAGTGAAGGGGGAGTTAAGAAGACACAACAGACCTGGGTGTACGTTTCTTGGTGAAGAACGAGGAGAGATCGGTGGCCGTCTCAGTGAATGCTGCCGGTGCCTGCTGCTGGGTGGTCCCCAGTTGACTCAAGTCCAGGTATTCACTTAACATCACCTGAAGCTGTGAGGTATCACCACAAACTTGTTAATATATCACACTTTATGTATACTATTATGATCATTATTCCTATCTAATATTTTATCTCTTGTTGACTTGACATGAGGAGAGGCTGTGAGTCATCAATGAGAGGTTGTGACACTACCAAACATGGCAGATTTTCTCCAGGTACATTACTACAGTTTCCTCCTGTACTTCCACTGGATAAAGGCCATAACAAAGAACAGATCTGAACAAATGAACGACTAGTATGGCGATAAGCAGCGAGATGATAAACAAACTACTCACCGCAGCCTGGACCTTTGACCAAACATCAGGCATGGAATACAGATGTAATTCAATGCCGTGTTTGTCGGAAGAGGCGCGCATACTGACGAGCACGGACTGGTGAGCTGCCACAATCAACCGGAACTGCTCGAACACAACCTGTGGAGAAGACACGGTTAGGGGAACGGCCGTAAGGACCAGTTACGACGACTTCCATCTCACGTCTGAAGTAAGTCATTCTTCCTTCATGATAGCAAGATGTATTCACTCATTCATTCACCCTAAATGAATCTAACTTTACTCACTATAAATCATTAAACAAACACAAGTAATTATTCTAAGGAGGTATAGTTATTAATTCCACTCTTATATAAATAGTATCCCAGGAATTATTTATAGTTGAAGCAGTCAGTCAGGCCAACACCTCTCACAACTATGTCCTGGGTTCAATCCCCATTCCAGGACAGATATGAGAAGGGAATTATCCAAACAGACTTAACACACCAATAACTCAGGACAATATTACCTCTTAAAATCTACAAGTCAGTGTGTTGAGTACAGATTGTCCTCAGAGTACTATACCTGTAAGAGCTCTTGTAACAATTTGGCTTCCCTGGAGTCCGCTTTTAAGTACGCCAGGACAGAAGGGGGAGGATCATCCGGGGGTGCTGGCGGGTGATACTCCACGATCTGTTGTGTTGTGCGCTGGATGATGACTCCAAGTTCTTTCTGCATACGTCTCTTAATAGTCTGAAACACGGCAAGAAAATCATGTTAACTTAAATCCCTTGTGACCCTGAGACCCCATGTGACCCCATATATTGCGTGACTCAACTAATAACAAGGAACTACCACTAAATGAAGAAATTAACAAGTCAAAAGTGGAAATGAAAATAAAATTCTCGGCCTTATGACATCAGTGTACAGGGTGTTGTTGTCTATTACTGGAAACAAATGAATTAGGGTTAGATTAGGGTTAGGTTAGTTAGGATTAGGTTAAGTTTGGTTGTACTTTAATTCAAGACTGAACGCAGAACAACAAGGGGGCCAGGGCAAGCAAAGAGTTCAATCTAGAGGCAGAGAGGGTTAAAACACACACACACATGACCATTATCACTCTCCCGATAACCTTTATCTCACCTCCACGGCGTCTGGCAACTTTCCCAACAGCGCCAGACACTCTACGAGGATCGCCATAAAGTGCTGCGTGTTAGCCTCGGGGTCGACTCCTCCCACGTCCTCCTCCAAAGACTCCCCCTCGGCCAGCCCTCTGTTGGGTCGAGTTCTTGTTAATACTGTGACGGCAATGTTAATAACAGGTTTAACACAACAGTATATTTTGCCCTGGGGTTGGGTTGTGTTGGGTTACATTGGGTTGGGTAAGGTTAAGTTAGGCAAAAACAAAACAAAAAGTGCATAGCATTTATAACACTCAAAGTTTTCCTTCCTCTTCTTAAAATAATAATAAATAATAATAATACCAATAAATAACAATAATAATCAATTAATACCACACCCAGTACTTACTTAACTGGTGTAGTAATCATCTCGAGGAGGTTTTTGCGTGCTTTGTCGGCTTTCCCGGTGCCGAGACTGGCACGGTCCGACCCGGCCCGGGTTAGAGTGTTGGTGGAGTCTCGGCCAGACCCTTGTCTCCTGAGGGCCAGCACCTCCTTGGTCCAGCGCTGGTATAAGTGTTTGTGGAGTTCGTCTATCAAGACCTCGTGCAGTTTCTGGAATAATAAAGACAATCGTGAATAGATGGATGGATGGATGGTGGATAGATAATTTACTGGGAAATGAGATAATGATAGAGATATCAATAGTTAACAGACCGTCATGAGTGTTGTGTTGTGGTTATGACATATCAACAGACTGACATGATCGTTAAGACAAAATAGAGATACATTCAACAGACACAAGAATTAACGCAAATATTGACCTCTTTTCTGGCATGGAGATCTAAGTTGACGTCCTTGAGAGCTTCGACCATCTTGAGATCGGTGCCAAGGCGGTTGAGGGAGGTGACCAGCAGCTGTGTGGCGTGCAGGTAGTGCTTCTTGTTCACGTAACTCCCGACTCTCTCGCCAACGTCCCTCACTTCATCGCTGTTTACGTACCGAAGTTACCCCGTATTTTAATATTTCTTTAACGCGTTTGGTAATAAATATCTATGCACGTTTTTTAGGGTAAGACATTTTTTATTAATAGATAACCAAACCCTATTTATCCCATGACAATATATTATGTTATTTGAGATATAAAAGTTCACCTCAGGAATGGTTTTCAAGGAACTAATCCATCGGTGAAGTGAGGACTACCTGTATGGTGCAATGACTCACATCTGCTCCAACAGTAACATAACGTGCTTGTGTTCGACGCCCTCTAACCATCGTTCCTTCAGCTCGTCTCGTTTACAATGCAGGAGACGCTTGCAGGCGGCCAAGTTCTCCTTGATGGTGCGAATCCGTTTACGAGCGTCCGCAAGACGACCCGACACCTCCCCAAAGATCTGAGAAAAGTAGAGTAAAAAAAATTCTCTCAAACACGGAACCGCTCTGCACCAATTATTCCAGCTAACAGGGGGATTACTGTACCTGTGCCTACATAACATATATAAATACCTACATAACAGTCTACAGTACAATACCTACATAACAGCATAGATATACCTACATAAGTCTACAGTACCTACATAACACACACACAGTATACATGGACCTACCTGACACATATATATCATACCTGCATAACATCTTTCAGTGACTGGTCGTGGTTGGTGATGAGGTGGTCCAGTCGCTGATCACTCTTGTGGTATTCCCTCTCCAGTCGGGCCTTTTCACGGTCTCTCTGTTCATTACTCTCGCTGGCAGACAACGTTCGGATCACTGACATCAACAACCCACTCTGGAGGTACGGAGGTGGATGAGACACACAACAAATATCCACACATAACTTGCCGAGACAATGAGTAGAAATATCCACATACACTTGTTTGTATATCCTCAACTTACACACATTATACAAAGGTTTGGTTTGGTTGGGTTAGATTAGGTTAGCATAGGTATGGTTAAGTTAGGTTGGGTTAAATTAAGTTAGTATTAGATTAACTTAGATTAGCCTACATTACTTAGTTTAAATTATGATAATTAATCTTAAGGTGAAACAAACTGGTGGGTTAAACCTCAAATGAAAATTTGTCTTGAATGACAACAAACTATCTATCTATGTATATACCTACCTGTAAATATCTTTCCATCTATCTATTTACAAATGATCTGTCTATCAATCTATCTATACAACTATCTATCTATATAACTGTCTATCTATATAACTGTATCTATATAACTATCTATCTATATAACTGTCTATCTATATAACTGTCAATCTATATAACTGTTTATCTATCTATCTAACTGTCTATCTAGCTGTATAACTATCTATCGATCTGTTTGACTGTCTATCTAGCTATATAACTATCTATTTATCGATATACTGTACCTGTATCAAATTACCTTTATATAACTATATTTAAATATCTGTTAATTTATCTATTCATTTATATCTAACAATCTATCGACCACCTATTTATCTATCTAGTCATAAACGTGGATCTATTTACTTCTGACTAATCTGTTTATTGATATTTTAAATAACCTTAATTTTATCTCGACGTAATGATGATAGTAAAGGCTGATATAAATGATATTAGTAGTTATAGTGATGAATAATTAAATAAATGGTTGTTATAGAGATTATTCGAGGGTAATATTTAATAATGATATATAAAATCTTGTGGTTTTGGGGCGAGTCTCAAAGTATGATAACACAAATGGTGGAATTCAACATTAATTATAACTTTTATTTGCTTTATTTATGTTGTATGGGTAGGATAGTGTAGTGGTTGTTATATTGGTGGTAGTTAGTTGTTTGTAAAGGCCATACCGACTCCTTAGGGGGTTGTTTCCCTGTTCTGGCAGGTCTTTGAGGCGTTCCCGTGTCCGCCATCTTTGTTGACTGTTTTAACTCGTTCATCTACTCCTTTCAACTCGAGATTTTATGTCAACTAATTACATTATTTAGGCTTTTTTATGTGTATAAGTATTTTATAGAGATATATAAAATAATTTGGTAAATTATTTTATTATACAGAATAGTATTATACGCCAAATATTGATATGTTTGTTTGACATTTCATCAGTCTATTACTCCTTCGAACACAAGTATCAGCTGTCCCAAAATCATTATCCGGTGACACTAATTCAAGCTTTTATAAACACAAAATAATCAAAATTTCAACAGATCTTATTATTGAGCACAAACTATACGTGGCAATCAATAATTTATAATGTAATTTTATGTAACATCGTTTTATATCTCAATTTTTTAGTGTAGAAGTTTGAGACGAAGTAAATTTTAAAGGGATTCAAACATAAGTGTAAATATTGTATACGAGTGACTACGGCTACAACTACAGTGTGACTCATTGTAAAATTTATTAACTGAAAACAAAGAATATAAGCAGAACAACATACCAGAAATTTTCAGGCTCCAATGCACTGCACTTGCCAACAGTGTAAAAGAGCCAGTTGATTGAAAATGTCCAAAAGAGGGCCACCTGACTGGTGCCGGCATTTAGGCACCTCAGTTACCCAGAGAGATTAGAGCGCTTGAACTTGCCTAGCTCATACTACAGACGGGCAAGGGGAGACATAATTGAGGCGTATAAACATCTCAGGGGGCACTACTCAGTCGAGTGTCCATACCTGGAGCTGGGACGCGGTCACAGCTCGAGGTTGAAGAAGCATCTCAGGGGGCACTACTCAGTTGAGTGTCCTACTTGGAGCTGGCGGACGCGGTCACAGCTCAAGGTTGAAGAAGCATCTCAGGGGGCACTACTCAGTTGAGTGTCCTACCTGGAGCTGGCGGACGCGGTCACAGCTCAAGGTTGAAGAAACATCTCAGGGGGCACTACTCAGTTGAGTGTCCTTACTTGGAGCTGGCGGACCCGGTCACAGCTCAAGGTTGAAGAAACATCTCAGGGGGCACTACTCAGTCGAGTGTCCATACCTGGAGCTGGGACACGGTCACAGCTCGAGGTTGAAGAAGCATCTCAGGGGGCGCTACTCAGTTGAGTGTCCTTACTTGGAGCTGGCGGACGCTCGCCCCACAAGGGGTCACAGCTCAAGATTGAAGAAGCCGCAAATCCAGAAAACCGTGAGAGCAAACTTTTTCGGAGTGAGAGTTATGAACGCTTGGAACAATCTGACAGTGTTTTGACGGCACCGAGTGTGAGCTCTTTCAAGACAAGACTTGACCAACACTGGAGCAGGTTCAGGTACATTCAGGAGCCGGTGCATGCCCAGTACATGTCAACAGTGTGTAACAGTGCCGGGTGAGGCTAGGTTAGGTTATGTAAGGCAAGGTTAAGGCAGGTTAGGTTATGTAAGGTTAGATTAAGTTAGGTTAGATTAAATTATGAAAGGATAGGCGAAGTTAGGTTACGTAAGGTTATATTAAATTAGGTTAGGTTATGTAAGGTTAGCTTAAGTTAGGTTAGATTTACTTGGTAGACATTTTGTTGCTGTGGTTTGACCCAGGATAAGACGCCCCTTAAAGCCCAGGTCTGAGTTGGTCTGGCTGATACGTTTGTCATCTGTTAATAATTCTCTTGTATCGTCGATAACTTCTCTCAGTCTTCTAATAACTTGTATTGGTTGATAACTTCTCAGTCTTCTATAACTTGTATTGGTTGATAACTTCTCAGTCTTCTGATAACTTGTATTGGTTGATAACTTCTCAGTCTTCTAATAACTTCTTATCCACCTAGTTTGCATTAACGCACTGAGTAAATTACGTGATTCATGCGTGAATGAAGTAAATATGAATAAATAACATCTAAATAACTTCTTATCCACCTAGTTTGCATTAACGCACTGAGTAAATTACGTGATTCATGCGTGAATGAAGTAAATATGAATAAATAACATTAAATAAATCCGAAAAAGTAAAAAGATGAACAACCAAATTAAAATCACCAATCAACCTCTGTTATTTACATATCAGAATGAACTGTATATAAGTTTAATAATGTAAAAAACAGAAACAAATCACAAATGTTGTAAATTGTAAATAAATCGATAAATAACGTTGTAATTTGTAAATAATATGGAGTGATGGGAGGAGCAGGTTGACGCGGCACTGTTGTGTATGTTACTGACTAACACACTCACTCCCTCACTCCCTCCAATTACTTATTTAACCCAATCAGCTATTCTTAAATTGTCTACTGCTGTCTCTCTCTCTCTGTCTTTCTTTTTCAATCTTTATCTCACAATTGTTTAATGATGTTGGACTTGTGGATTATTAAATATTACGCGGTTAAAAAAATCTTCGTTGTTGAAACTCAATAATATTGTAATTAAAATATGTACGAATGTATTAGTTAATTTGAACAATACAACTACATTATCAATATGTAAATTAGTGATAGGTTAACCCTTTATTCTAGACGATTTTATTTAGATGGGAGAAACAGTTACCAACCTATAGCATAATATGTTAGTTATACCAAACTCTCGATTACTTGCTGATGTTACAGAAAACGATAAGTGTTCCGTGGTTTGGTAAGGATGTGTCCAAATCTGTTTACTTTAGGCTGTTTAAAAGTGAAATAAGCTGTGGCGGACATTTATCCTCTTATATACAGTAGTTCTCCGTGAGATTCTGTTACATTTAGTGGACATGACTTAAGAAGTGCGTATATCCGCCAAGGATCTTTTAATCACATATGCTGTACTGTACTTAAAACTGGCTGTCTGGTAAATGTGATATATCCGGCCTGATATATAATACCATAGTGTATTTTCGTTGCAGCCCTAATTTTGGGTTTAAGGTGATAAAACACATGGTATAACAGCGAGGAAAACATGCTCAAGCATCATACTGCTTTGATTAGCCGTTGTATGACGTCGCTCACGCTGCGGTGCCAAATTTGTATATTCGTTTTACCTTTTTAGTATATGTATCATTGATATACCACTTTACTCTTTAATTATATAATGAAATTAAATATAAACATATTTGAAATTATTTTTTAGACATATAATGCTATTATACGTATTTTAAAAATTTAATACTTTTACATTTGGCACCCTGTCTCGTATACGCAGTTCACTATATCTTTAAATTATTAAACTATTTATTGTTATAATAAATTATTTGTTACTAAATGCCTTAAATTATAGATTCAACTTGAAATTTTTGTTTTTAACAAAACAAGAATGGAATTAAATGTAAGATTTGGTAATATTAAAAGGGTGTGTTTAGAAGACAATTGGCACCTCAGCTGACAACAACATCCTTCTTCATGTTAGAGACGTCCCACGAATATGATATAGGCCACTACCCGGAATATATGTTACATTTGTTTTTAACCAAACAACCTTATTATGACCTTACAGCAGTATTGTAGTTATGATGCAGGTAAAATATTTGCCCAAGCGGCTAACGAGCCGATCAGTAGCGGAGAGGATAAAAAAATTATGAGTCGATTCACGTCTCCCATTATTAAAATGATTTGGATAATTTACGACCACGATCATATTTAATTGGCTAATATAAAGCCTTAAATAGTTATACATTTACTAAGATCGACTTAATAAACTTGTTTTTCTAGAAGAAATAAATAATTTAGGCATGTGAAGGGGGTGTCGTTCGTGTTATCATTCATAACATGGCTAGTCTTGCACAATAACAACAGGTCAGTCTAGTGTCGCCAGGGAGGGAGGAGACATGTCTCTCTTTCTCTCCATAACTACCTTATAACCCGTCAAAACACCTGCGAACTTACCCCATAGAGATGTGTGTCATGGCCGGCGGTAAAGGGATCATTATTCAAAGCTTTTAAAGATAAGTTTGTACCATCGTAGTTTAGTTATCCACTGTTAAATCAACTAATTGTGGGGGTACTTGTCTTCGTGTGATGTCATGTTCACGGTGTTTCTCATCTCGTAGTATAATTGACGTCATTCAGCTGGTGCAAAAGTGACATCGGTGACCAGTGTGAGAGAGAGTCATCATGGGAGGAGGCTACACAAACTCACAGACGTGGGAGGTGAGTTACTGCCCTTATTGATGATTACTGCCCTTATTGATGACTACTGCCCTTATTGATGACTACTGCCCTTATTGATGACTACTGCCCTTATTGATGACGATGATGACTAGTAATATGCAACTAACAATCACTTTACATCATTCTGCAAAGTTACTCTATATTTGTGGTAATATTGCAGAAAATATCAACCACAGAATTCCGGAAGGTTAGGTTAGGTTAGGTTGGTTAGGTTAGGTGATTCTTTGGTTGCAAATTTACTGTATTTATAATAATTTTCATGGTACTCAATATGACTTATGTTCTGTGCCTTAAAACCAACAAATTCGCGAAACTCCTTTGAAAATATTTAAGATAATAAAAATACGATTAAAAATAATACAAATATGATTAAAAATAATAAAAATACAGTTTACATAATAATAATAATAGATAAAATAATAAAAATATAGATAAAATAATACAAAATACAGAAAAAAATATGATTAAAAATAAGGCCCCCCCCAAAAAAAAAAACTTAACCTAACCCCAAGCCAAACTTACCTTAATCTAATCTACCTAACCTAACCAAATGCTCCTCGAGTCTAAGCTAATTCGACACCAATCAATGCAGTTATGTGTACTATAAGCAGATCATCTTTCAGGCCTGGTGGGAGTCTTTGGAAGTGTCTTGGAATAACACTTCGTTTATCTTCCTGGCGTCCGTGGCACTGTCGATGGCACTGGTCGTGGCATCGTGGATGACGTGGTCCTCGGGCGACGACCTCGACCTCGGCCACGAAGACGAGAGCGAGAGGACGAAATTACAGGACGTCCAGGAGGTGAATTCGGACCAAGAGTCAGAACACGAGGAACCAGATGAGGGGAAGGAAGAGAAGGTGAATTATTGTCTCTAATTTACTCTAGTTTACTCAATTTACTCTACTTTAATTTACTCAAGTTTACTTACTTTACTTTACTTAATTTACTTTACTTTAATTTACTCTACTTTACTTATTACTGTATGTAGGATTCCCGCAACTGGATATAATAGGGATATAAAGGAAAGATCAAAGCATGTTTTCCTCTATTTCCCTCTGTTTCCCTCTATTATTTCCCTCTGTTTCCCTCTATTATTTCCTTCTGTTTCCCTCTATTTCCCTCTATTATTTCCTTCTGTTTCCCTCTATTTCCCTCTGTTTCCCTCCTCCCCATCAAATCCACTCTTTCCCATCAATCACCTTTCTCACAACTGCTATAGGGGTTAGTCTACGAATCAGTGGTCGAGCTTGGGTCATAACTACAGGCCCGGTGTCGTGTGTAAATGGAACTATTCGGGTCAAGGGTTAGGTTAGGTTTTAGAAAAGGGAACATTTACATTAGGATCCTTTATGGTGAATAAAGTTTGTCTCGTTCAGGTGAATAGGATTTTAAAAGTGTCGTCTCTGTAGTTACCTAATCTAACTAACCTAATCTAATTAACTTACCTAACCTAATCTAACTAACCTAATCTAATTACTTACCTAACCTAATCTAACTAACCTAATCTAATTAACTTACCTAACCTAATCTAACTAACTTAATCTAATTAACTTACCTAACCTAATCTAACTAACCTAATCTAATTAACTTACCTAACCTAATCTAACTAACCTAATCTAATTAACTTACCTAACCTAATCTAACTAACCTAATCTAAGCTTTTCCTGTTGGGTTTCCTGTTGAGGTGTTTGGCAGTACCTTATTTCTTCGGGGTGATATAAGTGACAGTGTTGTCATCACCACCATCACCATTTTACAGCCATTTCCCATCATAATATTTCCCATTCCCATTTCACCCCACCAAAGTAAAAAAGTAAATAAATACAAAATAACAATAATAATAAATGTAAATTAATATCAGTGACACTCCAAAACCGCGTTATAAAAAATTCCCATTGGTCGATATCGTTGGAAACTCCCGATACCCATAATTCTCATTGGTTATTATGGCAATACTGTAGAGGATATTAATGTAGTATTCCAGCCTCTATGAACAGGGGAGCCAAGACCCAAAATTGCCTGTTGTGATTTTGTGTTATTGATCTATTGAACCTGACACAAGATGAAAGGCTGAATTGATTCTCTCTCTCTCTCTCTCTCTCTCTCAAACATAAAATCATTATTACTTCTTTTTTTACTGTAGTTCATCAATCCCTAACTTAAACCTAACCTAAATCTAACCTAACCTAAACCTAACCTAACCTAAACCTAACCTAAACCACTCACCAACCAATAATGATCAAGCTACATTATTGGTTTCCTGTATGTAATTAGGGTGTAGAGGTGGAAGGTATTGATTGGTTAATGGAGGCGGTCGTCAGGCTGGATTATCCCGTGGTTGGAGCACCCGGCAGCACTGTGGGGGGGTGTTGTTGTTGGTGAGAGAGAGAGACGGAGATAGATTGATAGATAGAGAGATAGAATGATAGATAAATAAACAAAGAGTAAGAGAGGTTAAATAGGCGAGCCACCAACCATATGTTCTCTCCTCCTTGTCTAGAGTGTGGAGGAAGTGTACGGCCTGAACCACCAGCTGACGGGGGAGGTGAAGAAGGTGGAGCGTCGGGCCCTAGAGAGGACTGTTGAGAGCCAGATGACCGACGAACAGAGGCAGGCAGAGAGGGAGTAAGTATATGGAGACCGGTTTTACACAGGTACTGACTGACCCTCACGCTGTTCATTTTCACTTTATTGTAGGCCTACCAGTACAGTTTTGCTTCACACACAGAGCTGAACATTTCTCGTTTTCTTAAGTAACAAATTAACGAATATATGATTGCATAGTCAGGGAAGAAATATCTAGGCAATTAGAATCTACTCTTATGATGACCTATACTGTATCTTTGTTTGTCAGTGTTCCTATGAGTTAAAATATTGTTGTGTATCACTGGCAGATATATATTTTATATTAGAAATTAATTAATAATGTAGATATAATTATAGAGAAGAGTATAATTGTGTAATACTGTGATAAATATTACCACGACACACACACACACAGGGCACAGACTGAGCAGCTGGCGGCCATCTTCAAAATGATGCAGGATCAAGAGGATAAATTTGGCCAGACTACAATAGACGACATCAAGGACCAAATGAAGTTATATTGTGGTTAAGACGCGACACAACACACAAGGGAGAGGTGTAGCCCGGCCTATACCTAGACAGTGAGAGGAGTGACTTGTATCATCACTTAAAGATGAACCATTTTGATAATTATTTTGTTCATTATGCCATATGTTAACCTCTTAAGTGTTCCTGGTGAATATATCGTGTGTGTAGTGTCTTATGCACGTTAATTTAGAAATTTATCTATATTTATATACTTGTACTATATATAAACACACATATTGTATTGTGCACATAATTACTGTAAGAATAATATTTACTGTAGTGTATTGTTGACTTGATAGATCAGTTTGGTTGATATTTGGCCGAGACCTAACCTAACCTAATTCACCCTAGCCAAACCTAACCTAACCTGACCTAAATAAACAGAATCTAACTGAACCCAGCCTAGCCAAACCCAGCTTAGCCAAACCCAGCCTTACCAAACCCAACCTAACCCATCCCATCTTAATCTAACCTAACATAACCAAGCCAAACAACACATGACCTGACCTAACCAGAAATGACGTGCTGATTTTATTATATGTGACGCTGTGCTCCTTCTGGGGTATTGGTTAGGTTAAGTTGGATTGGTTTAGTTTATGTTTGGTTGGGTTATGTTTGGGTTAGATAGGTTAGGTTGGTTTTGATTAGGTTAGGAGTTGTGGCTTATGACTTTCTTTCCTCTTGAGTGAATTTATCGGTCGCTGTTGTTGTTCTGATACATTCACCCCCAAAAGAATGATGAAAATGAGGTGACCATCAGTGTGTCTTAAGGTGTAGCATATTTGAGACACCCTGTAAAGTATGGTGCACCACTTATGAGACACCCTGTAAAGTATGGTGCACCACTTATGAGACACCCTGTAAAGTATGGTGCACCACTTATGAGACACCCTGTATAGCTTGTTGTATGACCATGGAAATCATTAAGGCAGCATGTATACATATTTCTGAGACACCCTGTGAGTTGTTTTTTTTTGTATGATAAAAAAAGTATGTTCCTAAATAATCCTATATATTAAAATTAAACACTGAATTAAGATGACTTTTCAAAACCTAATTTAACTAATCTTGAATAGGGAAGCATTTATTTACCTTTATCCTCTTCACCACTGATCGGCTCGTTAGCTGATTGGGCGATCGGTCACATCTCTGATTACTATTCCTTAACTAATCTCAAAATATTACAGAAATAGTGGAACAGTGTGAGGTCCAGTTCACAGCTCAGGGGACAGCTGGGTATTGAGAGTATTGGTCAAGTTGTGTAGAGGCAGAGGAGATGATTCAGGCATGTGGAGAGAATGTTATGAGAACAATTGGATCAAGAGGTGGATTGAACCTACATGTGGAGGAGAGAAGAACTAGAGGTAAGTCAAGAATAACATGTGGAGAGGCTGTAAGAAATGACAGAATTCAGCAATTGTAGAGCTGTCATCAGGGACCAGCTATAAACCCCCACAAGCATAGAAAATGGCCATTAAATACATAATAATAATGACAGCAATGTGTACTGTAGCTCTGATGTCAAGAACGTTGGTGTTATTCTCATGACGTCACTCCCTCTCGGGTCCCCCACTGTCTGCCACGACTTAACATGTTCGGTGATTGGTCGACTTCCTGGCCAATACTGTCATGACTGAGCTTATCTGTCTATCTGTCTGTCTCTTATCTATTTATCTCTATCTATATGTCTGTCTGTCTGTCTATATGTTTGTCCATGTCTGTCTACTTATAAGAAAATAAGGAGTCTGCAATAGCCGGTTGGCCTGTGCATGGCAGCTCCTGTCGAGAGTTACTACCACTCTCTATCATCCATGAATCTATCTAGGCTCCTTTTCAAACTTTCCAGCATTCCAGCACTTACTACAAAGTTGCTAAGCTTGTTCCACTCGTCTACCACCCTATTTGTGAACCAGTTCCTTCCTATCTCTCTCCTAAACCTAAACTTATCCAACTTAAATCCGTTGCTACGAGTCCTATCCTGCTCGGATATTATAAGAACTTTATCTATATCCCCTTTATTGATTTCTTTCACCCACTTAAATACTTCTATCATATCTCCCCGCACTCTTCGTCTTTCTAGGGAATACAAGTTTAGTTTCTTTAACCTATCCTGATATGGAAGGTTTTCTAAGTCCCGGAATCATTTTAGTCATTCTTCGCTGCACCAGAACTGAACCGCATAATGGAGGTGCGGCCTGACTAGCGCAAGATATAGTTACAATAAGACCTTTATGGCCATTTACCTGTCTACCTACCTATCTATCTATCTGTCTGTCTACCTGTCTATATATCTGTCAGTCTGTCTGTCTACTTATCTTTCTATCTGTCTATCTATCTATATCTATCTGTCTGTCTGTCTGTCTACCTATCTATCTATCTATCTGTCTACCTGTATCTATTTGTCTATCTATCTCTGTCTGTCTACCTGTATCTATTTGTCTATCTATCTCTGTCTGTCTACCTGTTTATCTATCTTTGTAATTCTATCTGTGTGTCTATATAGTATCTATCTGTCTATATATCTATCTGTGTATGTCTATCTGTTTACCGATCTATCTTTCTGTCTATCTGTCTGTCTATCTACCTGTCTATCTATCTATCTATCTATCTATGTCTATTTGTCTACAGGGTATCTATCTATCTATCTATGTCTGTCTGTCTACCCATCTGTCTACCTAATAACAATTTAAAGTCATGAACAGTAACATGTAGGAGTTATCGCTCAGCTACAGGTAAGTGTTTAACATTACTACAACTGTTTTATATTAAAGAGATAAATATTGATTTTTTTATGTATTTATTTTTAGAAGTCGTCCGAATACTCTATCTTGACTTCGTTTACTGTAAATTTTCGTATAACTCATATATTTTTAATAAAGTATTTATTTAATTAAATTTGAGGAAAATCAGAATATTAATATACATTTTTTGTGTTTTTATTGTTTAATATTAAGAAAATTTGAAAATCTAAAGTTTCAGAATGAAAATCGGACACCTTGTAAACACGACCTGTCATCAGAAAGGTAAACAATGTTAAAAATTTACCCCTACAATAATATTTTCCTTTAAAACAGACTTTACAACTGATAAAACCAAATCAAGAGAAAAAAATATAGAAAATTACAATTAAAATTATTTTAAATAAATTTGGTAAGTTTAAATGACAGAGTAGATAATTATTAAACCTCAGGTGTTCGAGGTACAATGGTAACATTGTCCAAGAGCCATAGATGGCGTCGACAGCTTGATTTTACTGTCAGTTGCTGTGTAATTTTACCTCAGTTACTCTCTCTACAGCTTCTCTTGTATCTGAGGCACCATGATTCACAGCCTCTTTATCATCAACTCGTCTGGGTAAGATATAAAAGAGGATTTAATGTGTTTTGTTGTTTGTCACGGAGACCCGCTTGAGGGAGACTGACTCGGTGTGTTATACAGTACACGCAAATTTACCATCAAGTTATTGGATGAATTTTATTGTAATTGATTGTTGATTAATAGTGTGTGATTGGTGACGTGTATTGTGAGATTAGTGATTGGTAGTGTGAGATTAGTGATTAGTAAATATGAGGGAATACAGTTTAATTTAAGGAGAGTGACCCGGCTGAACATGTCAACTCGTACATAAATATACACAAGTTACAGTCGCCTTCATTAATTAAATTCCAATACAGATGGAGTCAGTTAAAATGTTTATTCATCAGTACAAAGGGTTACAGCCATGTTAGTTTAATATTAATTTCGTGTATTATATATAAAGGATTATATTGTTATTTATTGCTTGTGTTAATGTTGGTTGTGGAAAAATTGGGATAAACACTACTACAACTATTACCCTACTAACCTAACCTAACCAAACCTAACTAAACTATTGCCAATTCGTAACTAAAAAGAATCCTATTGATAATGGTAAAAAAAAAAATCTTATGTTATGATCCCTTCCCACTGTGACAACTTGTACACCTTAAACATTGGGTCATTAAGACTTGGTGTATACAATGTGCTCGTCTTGTATACTATTACAGGGACGTGTTTATGGAGAAACACTGGAAGAGCGTCATCCCTCGGTCCATCTGCGACTATTTCTTCGATGCTCAGAGGAAAGCCAACAACAATGAGGACATCCCCCCCGTCATCACCACACCTCACCACTACCTCATCAGTGTGCTGCGTAGTAACCTCTTCTTCATCGCTGTCTGTATGACTGAAGGTAACGCTCAGTTCAGTATTAAGCTCAGTGAGTCGTCTCTAGTCTTTGACTGACTGAGAGCACTTGGATATTAGTCTCCAGATTATTTAACATTAAGATTGTAATGTTAACCTAATCTAGCCAAATATAACCTAACCTAATCCAACAAAATATAACTTAACCTAACCAAATATAACTTAACCTAACGAAGGTAGCATTAGGGTGTTCAATCATCACGTTTAGAATCCTCTTAACACATGCTGTATCTTTGCAGTTCCTCCACTGTTTGTCATCGAATTTCTGCACCGGGTTGTTGACACGTTCGAGGACTATTTTGGGGAGTGTACTGAGACCATCATCAAGGAGCACTATGTGGTGGTGTACGAGGTGGGTCAGGTCAGGTCAGCTGTTGTGTTGCAAAAAATCAGGAGTGGTTGGTGGAAGTTTAAGTAGCTGTTTGGCTTTATTGACAGCCTAAGGACTTTCCCTCTTGAGTGACTAGGAAGATATAAGTGTGATGTGTGGCAGTGAAACGTAAGCAGAGGGTAACTTCAGTAGACTAATAGAAATGAGAATGGTGAGGTGGGTGTGTAAGAGGTCTAGTTCAGAGCTAAGAGGACAGCTGGAGAAATAAGAAACGAAATGTGGGTTTTTGTGGTCGATATAACAGTACTGTACGTTGGCCCCCACAGCTCCTGGACGAGATGTTGGATAATGGCTTCCCCTTGGCAACTGAGAGCAACATCTTGAAGGAACTCATCAAGCCTCCCAACATCCTGCGTACCATCGCCAACACTGTCACCGGCAAATCCAAGTCAGTTCTTATTTGATTTTCTGAATAATTGATTTTTTTTTGGTACAGTGAAACCTCGATATAATGGACTTTCATCTCTATTTAGTTCATTAAATAGAGGTTTCACTGTATGTTATGCAGGCAGGTGTTGAAGTGTAGTAAGCTTAGACCCCAAGATTATCTCACCTGATGATTAAACACCTTAACACTACCTGGTGGTTAAGTAATATTCAGACCATCCCAGTAAGCCAAGCAAAGGTATTATTGATATTACCGTTTGTCACAGGATCACCTAATGTTAACAAAACCTAACCTAACCCAACAAAACCTAACCTGATTTAACGTAACCCACTCTAATCTAACCTAACCTTATATAACCTAACTCCCTCAGGTAATATTAGGGTGCTTAATCATCAGGTGAATTAAGCTGTGGTGGTATGGAGAGGAACTAACCACTGGGTCATCAAAGATCCATATCAAGTGGCTGTTTCTTTATCTATTGTTGCCGTAATTTATTATCTTATTATTTTTTCAATAGTTGTTTTTTTTTTTTTTGGTTGTCAAGGATTTAATAATGGTTTCACTTAATCTGACTGTGTGTGTTAACAAGTATGTGTGGATGTTTCTAACTGTTGTCATCTTAACACTTTACTGTCACTTTGTACACTTGTCCTGCACCAGTTTCACTCTTAGCCCCACACCCCTCCCCTTGTTTGAGGTCTGTGTTTCGCTCGCAGCATCCAACACTAAAACGTTTGACGAGGAAAGATATTAAAAAAATATTTAAATACTTTCAAGAATTAGAAGACTAGATTTAATTTGTTTTATTACAGGATAAGAAGAAAATATTGCTAATTGTTTCTTTTTTCTCTTGTAAACAACAGAGAATATCGGTAAGTTTTATTTGATTTGGACGGTGGCGTAGAAGCCCAGATAATAGGCTATAGCTTAAACCATACTGATGATGACGTACATAAACTGCAGTAATTCATATGTAGTTGACACGGTCAATTGATTTGTGGTTAATTTGTTGAACAGACAGTAGATGGTGACTGTTGGTTCGTGTGTATGAAGGTAACATATACAGTATAGTAGTATCTCTAGACTGGAGTAATTAGCGAGCAGTCATATTGCACAAAAAGTCGTTCTGTATTACATAACCAGCTCCTTCCCTAGCTGCTGGTTGGTCGGCTGTCCATCTTTGTAAACAAAGCCTTATATTGTTTAACATCACTTTATTTACTGTGATGGTTTCGTTCGCCAGTACAGTACATTACTTTAGATGTGATTGACTAATAGATAAATTTAGACTCATGTTGTGACTGCCAGGATAATGATGGTGTGTATATCTGAGGTAATGGAAATAGTTCAAATGCTTTTATTAATTAACATACAAAGGCTTAATTATAATAAACAATAAATAATCATCATGCAAGACTGTGTAAAATGTCATGACTCAGGATACTGGAAACTGACTGTACAATCTGGGTGTTGTACAGTATAGGAGAAAGATCAGTATACTGTACAGGGTATAGTGAAGTTCAGTATAGAAGGGTAATACTGTATTGTATAAGCTTAGTTGATCTGTAGTAACATAACATATGTAAGCTTAGTTGATGTGCATTAGCTCTACAGTACAGTAATTAAGTTAATCTACATAAACAGTGTTTGTTGACAAGCTTAATTTACCTGATGATTAACCTAACCTAACCCTACCAGTTTAAATGAGGTTGCTTAATCATCAGATGAAATAAGCTTGGGGTCAAATGAATAAGTAATACATTTATTCATAGAGTGTGTGTGTGTGTGTGTGTGTGTGTGACAGTGGGTAGTACAGTGTGTGTGGAGATGTGTTACGGTGTTACAATAAACTAACGGTGTATGGTACTTTCTCTTCCTTCCCCGTCAGTGTGAGCGCCACGTTACCGACCGGCCAGCTGAGTAACGTACCCTGGAGGCGTTCGGGTGTCAAGTACACCAACAATGAGGCTTACTTTGACGTGACGGAGGAAGTGGACGCCATCATTGATAAATCCGGTGCAACAGTCGCGGCAGAGATACAAGGCTATGTGAGTACGGTGCTTCACTGTCTGGGTAAAGTAGAGATATCGACGGTTAATTTGCTATTTGAGACAGGGGTGACTGTTCTAAACCAAGAGCTGACTGTTCTAAACCAAGACCTGACTGTTTTAGACCTGTGACCTGACTGATTTAGACCAAGACCTGACTGTTTTAGACCAGTTAACTGGCATCATCTGAGTACCAGGGATGTAACCTGTGTTGGTTTTGATCTGTCATCAATATTTTAAACGAGGTGAAATTATCACTTAATAAACTAGACCAGTGTTATTGAGCTGAAGGTGGATGCGAGTTGCCACTGAAGAAGTGGTGTAGGTAAATACTGTATGTCCCCATGTCCATATTCCTCTCTGTGTTAATATAGGAGGTAAATATGTCCCTTTGTGTTAATGTAGGAGGTATATATGTCCCTCTGTGTTAATATAGGAGGTAAATATGTCCCTCTGTGTTAATATAGGAGGTATATATGTCCCTTTGTGTTAATATATGAGGTATATATGTCCCTTTGTGTTAATATAGGAGGTAAATATGTCCCCATGTCCATATTATTCCCTCTCTACAATATATGATGAGTAATATTAATATTTTTTCTCAATGTTCCCAGATTGACTGTTGTATAAAGCTAACAGGGATGCCGGACCTTACGCTGACCTTCATTAACCCGCGGCTGTTTGATGACGTCAGTTTCCACCCGTGCGTGAGACTGAAGCGTTGGGAGGTGAGTCACGGGATGTTTTTGTTGTTGTTTTGCTTAGCATACTGTACTTACATATACTATACGTGAAGTGTTTTTGTCTCTCTCTCTCTCTCTCTCTCTCTGTCTCTCTGTCTCTCTCTCTCTCTCTCTCTCTCTCTCTCTCTGACAGATAGTTCAGGAGATAAATTGCTCAGGTCCTAATGAACTATTGTACCGTACCTGCGTCATTAATCGGTGATGACTGATCGTGTATCAGTGATGACTGAACGTGTTCCGTTTATACCCCACAGTCGGAGCGGGTGTTGTCTTTTGTGCCTCCAGACGGCAACTCGCGGCTCCTCTCCTACCACATCGGCTCCCAGTCTGTGGTGGCGATTCCCGTCTACATAAGGCATAATATTTCCTTCCGAGATGTTGGGGGCGGAAGGCTGGACATCACTGTGGGACCCAAACAAACTATGGGGCGGTCGGTAGGTGACTGTGTGTGTGTGTGTGTGAGACAAACTAGTTATATATCTGCATATAAATAAATTAACTTTTCATTTTCTCTATAGAACACTGAATAACTTTTTTAATGTATAATGACTGGCCACATTTACAAATTTATAATACTCGTAAATCGTGTAAATTCACCTCTTGATTTACTTGCACAGGTAGAGGGAGTTGTACTGGAGGTGCCGATGCCCAAATGTGTGTTGAACTGTACCCTAACTATATCCCAGGGCAAATACACGTTTGACCCCGTGTCCAAGGTCTTGCGTTGGGATTTGGGACGCATCGACCCCACCAAACTCCCCAACATGCGTGGAAATGTAAGTTGTAGTGTGTGTGTTTGTCTGTCTGTGCCCCCCCCCCATACTCCCACTTTTTTAATTTGTTTTTTAAACCCCTTTATTGTGAACTGGGAATCCCTCTAAGCTGAATTAAGCCATTGGGCATTAAAAAAAAGAATCCCATATTAAAGTGAATAATAAATACTCTAATCCTACCAGGGGGAGGGGGGGGGGTCAGGTTAATGTCAGATTAGGTTAGTGTTAAAATGATAGAGGTTAGGTTAGGTTAGGTTACTATTAGGTGAGATTAATCTTAAAGTTAGATTAAATTAGGGTTAAGTTAAGTTAAGGAGAGAGAGAGAGAGAGGTGGAGTGTAATGTGAAATAATTCAATTCTTTATTTGTCGTACAGATCAGCGTACAAACTGGCTGTCCCCCACCAGAAAGTAATCCTACTATAAACGTGAGTATAGATTGATAGATAGTTAGATCAATTGATAGAAGATAGATTGATTGATTGATAGATAGATAGATATATATAGGTATTTATTCAGTAAAATTATTATGTTAACAGTGCAAGTATATAGAGGTCAACCACCACCACCACTACCACCACCGTCACTACCAATATCATCATCACCAACCATTACCATTTTTTACAGCCATTTTCCGCACTTGTATCGATAAATGTCTCCTGAATCGGTGGTAATAACGACCTAATTTAGAGCTCACTAATTACAGGTAGTAGTTCATTATCGTGTTCTTAATCCGCACAGGTACAGTTTACAGTCACCCAGCTGGCACTGTCGGGGCTGAAGGTGAACCGTTTAGACATCTACGGAGAGAAGTACAAGCCATTTAAAGGAGTCAAGTACATCACTAAGGCGGGGCGCTTCCAAGTTCGCACATAGATGTCTTGCGATATTGTAAGGAATGGGTGACATGAAGTTTAGCTCCCCCTCCCCCACCCTCGGTTTACCAGTTTATTCATATTAAGATTGATGTTAACTTAACCTATTGCTAACCTAACCTAATGCAAAATAACCTATTGCTAACTTAACCTATTGCTAACTTAATCTATTGCTAACTTAACCTATTGCTAACTTAACCTATTGCTAACTTAACCTATTGCTAACTTAACCTATTGCTAACCTAACCTATTGCTAACTTAACCTATTGCCAACTTAACCTATTGCTGACCTAACCTATTGCTGACCTAACCTATTGCTAACCTTACAAAACCTAACCTAACACTAAACTAATCTTATGCTAACCATACCTGTCCTAACCTAACCTAACCCTACTAGGTCCTGTAATAAGCTGGGAGGTAATCTTCACGCGATCCATCGAAAAGAAGATAAATTGTCACAACTTTGAGGAAGAAAAAGGAAAACAGATTTGTATATTTCTCTGTTGGTGTTGAGAATTTATATATGAAAGGTTTACTGGGAGATGGTTCACCAACTGAGAGTCTTTAGTTTCTCACTTAAATATAATATAATGGAGTGGAGAGTCATAACCAAATTATAAACTTGAGATCTGATAATATTTGTTCATATACTGTACAGGTAAACCTCGATAAACGATGTCTTGTTCACCGATATTCCGCTTTAACGATGGTCGTGAATTAAGACCATCCCGCTAAATACGATAAAATAAATCGCTTTAACGTTATCCATCAAATATAGATTGGTGGATAATATTTTTGTTTATCTCTTGGGCAAACTAAGGGTTGTGTATACTCAAGTTAATTGCTACCTTGCAAGGATTCCAGCATTTTTTTTTTGGGGGGGGGGGCACTTCACTATATCCTTGTGTAAGGTAAAGAGCAGAAGCGTTTACAATGCCCAACAGGGAAGCATGCTAAGTTCATGCTTGCCTTTATGTCTCATGAGTTAAGGGTGTAGAAGCCTGAAGAGTCAAGGGCATAGAAGCCTGAGGAGGCAATGGTTTTATGTCATCAAGTTATTGGAAGCTCCAACAACTTGTCTCTGAATACGAATTTGCAACTTTCGATTCACACCAGGTACCTACTTTACTGCTAGGTGAACATGGACTAATGGGGACTAGGAAGTATGTCCAAACAACTTCCACTGGCCCGGGAATCGAACCCATGACATCTCGCTTGCGAAGGCAAGAGCGGTACCACTCTACCACCAGCGCCCCCTGGATTCTTGTCAAGTCAGTGACATTTTATAAGGAAACAATATCTAACCCTATACACCACCATAGGTACCGTAATGCACCTCCTGCTGCGGTAATATGTACCTGCATGCCACCACACGGCCAACCCACGCACTACAGTCCTGCACTTGTTCTTTGTCGATTGCCCCACCTCGTCATCGGGTCGCTCCATGATCATCGTTCAGCGTCGTTTGCTGTATGTACGGTACTTATTATCGGTGTTTTTTCTTATAGTGAGAGGACAGCACTAACACGTATATTGAACTGTGTTATGGTGAGTGTGAAGTGATAGTTTGTGTATTTGGTGACTAAAGTGCTTCACCTCTGTTGTTGGGATAATGATGTGAGCAGTGTACCTCTGAAAATGTCTGGGAAGGCCAAGGCATCCAAGACAACTGAGTCTCTGAGGTGAAGCAGCAGCATGAGACTCCCCCAGAGGCTGTGTGGGAGTGACGTCTCCACTCCATCTACAAGAGTACCCTTAGGCTTGTTCTTTATCATGTGGTGAGTCTTGTTTAATTGTTTTCTGTTGATTTTATAAGTGTAGGAATTTTTTGGTCAGTAATACATATGTATTTGGGGACTGGCTGATAACGTATCCCATTGAGCCCCATGTTTTAATGGTCACGGTCTACGATATTTCACTTAGCGATGGGTTTTTTTCAGGAACATATCCCCTTCCTTTATCGAGGTTTACCCGTGTATTAATATTTTGGCAAATTTGAGTTCCAGCATAAATATGGTCCATGAATCATTCCGTTGTTGCTTAAGTTTTACTCGTGTTGTGTGAAGCTTAGTTGTGCATGTTGTGAGGATTTTTTGAAGCTTAAATTAGGATTACTTGAAGATTAAACACCCCGGCATTTTTCACTTGATGATTAAACACCTTAATGATGACCTTACCTAACCTAACTTAATCTAACCAAACAGATAACAAATGCTAACTTAACATTAACAACCATAACCCAACCCGACCCAACCCAACAGGCAGCTTTAGGGTGTAGCATAATTATCAGGTGAAAATATCTTGTGTTGTCTAATCTGCAGGTGACCTTTAAGTTCTATTCAAATGATTGTTTGGTAACTACTGAACACATACTTTCTGAGGCTATTAGTTCAAAGAAAGCAATTGATTAAAGTATATTGTAATTTTTTGCATTACAAAGTTTTGTATGAATAAAAATCAATGTGAGGTGTCTAGTGCAACAAGGGCCAAGTCACCAATCTGGCAGTTTCCCATTTTCTGTGACTACAACACTGAGTTCATGTTGTATCTGGGGTTTGGGGGGGGGGGTGTCTGGCACGGACAACAACCTTGTTGACTACTAGCCTCACCACTCATGCCAGACATAATCATCCTGTGTTATTATCTCCTAATGACCCCAAAATAAACCCTCTCTCTTGATTAAGTTGTCAAAAAAAGATTTGTTTAATTTTTATTTCCTATAAATTTGATAATAATCCAATAGTAAAGGATTACAGTTCCTTTATTTACATTCATGTGCCTCATTTACATTATTTTTTTAAAGAATTTTTGTCACTAATTTATGACAGGTAATTACTGAAGGATAATTTACTGGAGTTAATTACGAAAACACAAATAATTTTTTTTTCATTGTCTTCTTTCATTTCCTTATTTTGCGTCAAAACTGAGTGATCTATAAAACATGATAATTGGATTGTATTTGTTGTGTTATAAATAAAAATAGTATAACTATAATGTGTCTTACGCTGTACTACACTACTGTACGTATCTCTAAACCCAATTTTGGCGAGCTCACCCTTGTTGTACACGGCACCTTATATTACCCATGTATGTGTGTGTCCCCTCCTTATTTAGTACAGTAATAAAACATCAGTAATGTAATGAACTCACCAGAAACTTTTCACCTTTGTACATTTGTAGGAATTATGTCAATACTTTGCTTGTTTTATAATACTGTACCTGTAGAATAAGTGTTTACCACTACACATCAGGGAGGGGGTCATTTATACCACGGACTAGCAATGTGTAACTCCTTACCTCAGTGTTTTTCTAATGTCATATTGTTTGTCAATAGAAGGTATCCATTACTGGTACAGTATTAGGACAGTAGTTACTAATAATATCAGTTTTAGTTTCACAGGTGTTATTAATCTGTTCATTGACTATCAACTTTGGGTCATTGTACAAGTCATGACTCTACCTTTACTTTAACTCTTGTAAATTATCTTCAAGTTTCTTTTAATGATCAAAATGTTGTCATTCACCATAAAGACACATACAGTACAGTACAGTATAGTATACTGTAGTAGTATAGTACAGTATAGTATAGTACAGTACAGTATAGGATCTCTTTTCCTGTTGTGTAATTCATTATTTCATGACAATGAATATTCTATTTATGTATAATTTCAATGTTTTATTTTCCACTGTAATGTTTTAAATGTTTCTGAAAAGTGAAAGAGATTATTTTGTCAACAACATCAGTAAAGAGATGAGTGACTAGTGTGACGAACCACTGACTGTCCTGGCACTGAGATGAGGAGTGGAGGAACCTGAGACACAAGGGGTTATGTTTACCTTGGAGGAGACCTAATACAAGGCTGAAGAAGGTTACTGTAACACATACTATAAGAAGGTGATATAGAAATAAGGGTAAAGATTTGGAAAAGTCATCCATGGAGTATTATGGTGATGGTAGTAGGCAGCAATGAAACAGGGAGGTACTACTGCCTGGGAAGATATTGGAAGCATAATGTGTTGTCTAATGGTAGACCCTGCTGCCATATGTGACCAAGTCCCAGGTTGATGATCTGACTTTCTGCTTCATTGACACACAATTGCAGGATTAGGGAAGGGTGGGGAGAGGAGGAGGAAGAAGGGTAGAGTAGAGGTGGAAGAAGGGAAGACAGGAGGAGGAACAAGGGGAGACAGGAGGAGGAACAAGGGGAGACAGGAGGAGGAACAAGGGGAGACAGGAGGAGGAACAAGGGGAGACAGGAGGAGGAACAAGGGAAGGGTTGAGTAGAGGTGGAAGAAGGGAAGACAGGAGGAGGAACAAGGGGAGACAGGAGGAGGAAGAAGGGAAGGGAGGAGGAACAAGGGAAGGGTTGAGTAGAGGTGGAAGAAGGGAAGACAGGAGGAGGAAGAACGATAGGGAAGAGGAGGAAAAGGGAAGGGAGGAGGAGGAACAAGGGAAGGGAGGAGTAGAGGTGGGAGAAGTGAAGAGATGAGATGAAAGATGAAGGGAAGAAGGGTAGGGTAGGAGTGGAGGAAGAAGAGTAGGGAAGGGGGAAGAGGAAAAAGGATAAAATTAGAAAGGGTTAAGGAAGAAGGGAGCATTATGATAGTATATTCAATGATTTACTATGAAACATTATATATATACAGTACAGGGTGTCTATATTATATTCTGATTATGAAACAATAAAAAATAACTGAAAAATATAGGATAAAACGGTTTGCTGCTATTAATAGAGCAACTTGGGTGATATTGACTTATATATTATTAAAATAGTAAAAATATCATAAAATTTTTAAAGTGAAGATAAAAATATTTCGTTATTGTGGATTTCTTGTAATTCGCTTCCATATTTGTTTGATTCTCCATCCACTAACTTCAGTTTTATTAAAATGAATAAATCATTGGTATTGGTAATTTAAACATGAAATATTGCAGTATAAGCCAGATATGGATATATATATAAATAAAATTGATTTATGACATGGGTTCATATAATTAACCACAAGGAAAAGTTAATTACTGTACATGAATCGCGAAGAGAGAATCGCACGAGGTCTGGTAACAGGCGGCAACAACAACATTCGTCTTGTGTATTTTTGTGAATTTTCTCACTAAAAGGTTGAGTTTTCCGTCTCCTGGACAGTAGAGGAAGTTGTTGGTGAGTTAATTACTTCATGTATTAAGAGTATAGATATAAAAGGTGGACCAGAAGGAACCAGTAGAATTAGACCAAAACTTCCAGACGTTATTTACATGGGAGAAACTCAGAACAATTATCACCAGAAGGAGTTTATAGAATCTTCATTTTTTCCACAAAGATTCTTTGGAAATTGGATGATGGAGTAATGTGTGAGAACAACACTACCACCAGGAGTTGTAATTCATTTTTTACACCGATGTTCTTAACGTTATAGTAAATATTTGGGCTAATATGGAGGACTTCACAGCCGCTTCCTACCGTCTCAGTAAGCTCGTTCACGGCAGATGTAAAGTTATGCTAGGTTAGGTTGGGTTAAGGACGGTTAGGTTAGACTAATGTTAGGTTAGGTTTAAGGTTAGTTAGGTGTCCACTATAAAACACAACAGGTTATTGGTTTTGATTTTCATTTTCTTAATATGTTTTCATGATAAATTTACAGTTTCAGCCCCAATTTCCTTTCGACCATAATTTTTTGTTTTTCTCCTGATATTTGCTGCGATTCTTTTGAATTTTACCTTTATTTCCATCGGAAATGATTTGTTTTGGAGTTGTCACCCCCCCGATAAAACATTGATCTTAACCGACCAAAGAAACCTACATAACCTTACCTAACTTCCTAGCCATCTCTGCCTTGTTAAATGGGAAGCGCGTATTTTGATATCTGGTACCAATGAAAGCAACTTTGTTGGGTAAAATTATCGTTTTGGTCATGTCGCAA